AATACCAACAATGGTAAGGAACAGACGATACCAACAATGGTAAGGAACAGACAATACCAACAATGGTAAGGATACAGCAATGATAAAGAAACAACAACAGGGGCAATTACAAACATACAAGAAACATACATACATGGCAACATGAAGATATATTCAAGGCATATTCCCTCTATAGTCAGACCAAACATTGTTTTTGTACAGTGATTTAAATCTATGAATGTCTTGGCATTGTTTTAGTTGGAGATCAAGAACATTCCACAATTTCACGCCACATACAGTCACACAGAAACTTTTACGAGTCGATCGGAATTTTGGAAGTTTGAAGTTTCCAAGACCTCTTAGATTATATGTTTTTTCATTAAGAATAAAGTATTGTTGTATTTTACATGGTAGCAATTTGTTAAATGCTTTAAATAGCACAATTGATGTGTAGAGCTTAACAAGGTCTGGAAACTTCAATAATTTAGATTGGGTAAAAAGTTCATGAGTGTGTTGTAGGTAGCTTGCTTTGTGAATGATTCGCACAGCTCGTTTTTGCAATAATAATAAAGGTTTTATTGTACAATGGTAATTGTTCCCCCACACTTCGACACAGTATGTCAGATAGGGTAGAACCAATGAACAGTATAACGAGCGTAGTGTGTGAGTATCAAGGTAGTGTTTAGCCTTATTTATAATTGAGAGATTTTTTGCTATTTTGGTCTTTATATGACTTATATGAGCTTTCCATGATAAGCTGTTGTCCATAACTACCCCTAGGAATTTGTTTTCAGTAACATTTTCAATTTCGGCTCCATCAATGAAAATTTTTAAATTTGGACATGCTTTCGTGTAACCAAATGTCATTACTTTTGTTTTATTTACGTTTAATGACAATTTATTTGTGTCCATCCATTTTTTAAGTTTATTTAGCTCAATATTTACAGTGTTGATTAATTCTGATGAGTCCGAACTACTGTAGAAAATGTTAGTGTCATCTGCAAAAAGAATTAGTTTTAAAGACTTTGACACATTGAAAATATCATTAATATACAGGTTAAACAACATAGGTCCCAACACTGACCCCTGGGGGACACCACACGCAATGCCAAGACTTTCAGAGACATAATTTTCCATTTGAACAAACTGTGCTCTTTCTGTGAGATAATCTTTTAGCCAGTTCCCCGCTACACCCCTGACACCATATTTCTGAAGCTTTACCAACAATATTGAGTGGTTAATGGTATCGAAAGCTTTTCTCAGGTCTATAAAAATTCCAATTGCATGTAATTTGTGTTCTATTGCATTTGTTATCTCTTCAACTGCCTCAGTTAAGGCCATGCTGGTGGTTCTTTTCGCTCTGAATCCATATTGACTCTCATTTAACAGCCCATATTTTTCAACAAACTTTTCCAACCGAGCAGCAAATATTTTTTCTAAAACTTTTGAGAACTGTGGCAGCAGGGAAATTGGTCTGTAGTTTGTAAAGCTATGGCTGTTCCCACTCTTAAATACTGGTATAACTTTAGCAACTTTCATTTTGTTCGGAAAACAACCAGACTGGAAGGATAGATTACAAATGTACGTCAGAGGTTTAACAATATTATGGATGACTAATTTTACAAGTGCCATGTCGATATCGTCACAGTCTGTAGAAATTTGAAATTTGAAATTTGTAGAACTTTTAAATTTGAGTACTGTTTCTTTTACTTCTTGTTCATCGGTTGCTGTGATAAAAATTGAGTACGGATTTGTTTCGATTACATCACTGCTTGGTGGGGAACTCTGAACAGGGATTTCATTTGACAATTGAGGACCAACATTTACAAAGAAACAATTAAAACCATTTACTATTTTGTTCATGTCATGATTGTCACCACTTATATCTTCAAAGTAATTAGGATACACTTTTTTAGATGATCCTTGTTTTATTACACTATTTAGTATGCCCCAAGTTTTTTTAATAGTATGTTTATTTTCTTCTAGAATTCTTGTATAATATAATTGCTTACTAGACCGAATTATATTTGTTAGTTTATTTTTATAGGTCTTGTACCTTTGTTCAGCGTCTTCAATTTTTTTTGTATTTGATTGACTAGTCTTTAGCTTGATGAAGATTCTATAAAGATTCTGTTTCTTTTTACAACTGTTCAGGATTCCCCTCGTAAGCCATGGACTGTTGCAGGAAAAAATCTACAAAGGCTGACATTTTTTCTGTAAGTGAGCCGATGGCTGAAACAATTGGTCTGCCAGGAGGAACATCTGTGAACTGCTTATGTATTTTAGGGAGAGTATACAGAACAGGGGTGACCGGATACTCCACAGTCATGAATGCATGTTCTTGTTTGGTAATGTCGTTATTAGTCAAAAAATGATCCAGTAACTCCTTGATCGTGGTCTTGAACCCAGAGGTGGGATTATGGTCAAGTTTCTTATAAACAGTTATGGGATTTCATAACACTTTGAAGCAACATTTGTTAAAGTTAAACTCATCATTCTATCAATGTGCAGAAGCCAGTACTTTTCCCTTGTTTTGTCTATCTGAAGGCCAAGCTACAAGCACACCGTGGCAGCTGCTGATTGGAGGTCTCCATGCCTCCGCTCTGTATAATACACTTGCATTCTCTTGTATCTGTGATTGTGTGCTTTGTTCGTGCTGTCTCTGCCATCGACGGTGGAGCATGTCTTCTGTCTGAATGTAAGACGCGATCCCAGACTTGGTACATCTTCTTCAGGTGGTGGAAGGATGCGGGCCTTGTCTGTAACATCTAGAGAACAGAAGACTTTTTTTTTTTACACAAAAAGTGTTTTTTTTCAAGCCAAAACTGAAAAACCTCAAGAGAACCCATGCATCTGGATCAGCACATGGACAATCTGCACAGCCCCTGATTCCACTCAGGCTGTGAGCTGCTGAGACATGGACAACACCAGCGTCCTCTTTTGCAAGGACTTAATTTGGAACAATTGGATTTCTGAATCTGGACACTAAAGCTGAAACGTGTGATTGAAAGACACGTCACAGAAGAATTCATGGCTCGACACAAATGCAGCCTGAAGAAATCAACAGAGAAGTGGGAGAGACTGTTTTCAAAGCAATATCTGGAACCATCGACTGATGAAGTTTGGCATTTTACTGAAGATTGTTGACAAGTTTTATGAAAGATCCGAACATGTTTTATGAGTTTTTGAAGTATTCCGAGTTCTGAGTTTTTGAAGTACCGAGTGAAGTACCGAGTTTGAGTTTTTGAAGTATTGAGTTATGATGTTATGTTGCTGTTTATCGATCCTGATGGTCACACGTGAATGTGTGACCAGAGGGGGGAATGTGAGATTTCATAACACTTTTAAGCAACTTTTGTTAAAGTTAAACTCATCATTCTATCAATGTGCAGAAGCCAGTACTTTTCCCTTGTTTTGTCTATCTGAAGGCCAAGCTACATGGCACCGTGGAAGCTGCTGATTGGAGGTCTCCATGCCTCCGCTCTGTATAATACACTTGCATTCTGTTGTATCTGTTGATCGTGCTGTCTCTACCATTGACAATAAAACATGTCTTCTGTCTGAATTAAAGACGCGATCCCAGACTATGTCATCTTCTTCACAGTCTTATTGTCCAACTGACGTTCCACCTCTTTAATATAAGCTGTGCGGTCCTGGATCACAATGGCTCCCCCTTTGTCTGCACTTTTAATAACGATGGAGTCGTCTTTTTGAAGAGACTCCAGGGCAAGTTTTTGTTCTTTGGTGAGGTTTTCGGCCACTGTGTATTGTCTCTTCTTTGAAAGTACATGTGAAACATCTAGTTCCACCAGTCTGCAGTATGTATCTAAAGAGGCATTCCTCCTGGGGGGTGGTATGAACGTGCTTTTACCTCTGAACGGAATTCTTGGTCCCACTGTTGATTGTTGATTAGTGCCTAGTTCCTCTGGGGGTGCAGCAGGCTCAGGTGTAGTGGTGCCTAAAGTCACAGAATCAAGAGATGAACCAAATTTATTGCCGTTGTAAAACTCACGGAGCCTTAGTGTTCGAAAAAATGTATGTAAGTCCACAATCACGTTAAAGTCTTTGCAGTATGTGGTTGGTACGAAGGATAGGCCTTTGCTCAGAGCCATTAAGCAGGGTTCAGATAAAGCTTTGCTAGACAAATTGATGACATTTTTTACCTCTGTGTCCGTTGGTTCCGTGTTTGGTATGGTTCCCTTGCGGCGTGTAAATGAGACAATGCCTAATAGATCCAAACGAAGATATAAGGTCTTGGCGTGTGATTAGCCATCCATAAAACGTTAATATTACATTAAATGTATATGCCGGTTGGAACACTGCCTTTTATGGTCTGATGGCTTTAATCAGGCTTTAATGAGTTTGAGTTTAATCTCAAACTCAATTTTTCTGCCACTACAGTGTCAAGCTGCATTTATTTATCACTTCTGTGTGCAAAAACTGAGCTATGCCCACACATAAAATCAAACAGCTAAAATTGCACACTATTATAATTTGCAAACGCAGTTTATTGCGCTAAATTTCGTTGTGTGCCTCTTATTCTTTTATATTAACAAAGTAAACTGCTTTGTTAGGACTCAGAAACACAAAAAGAATCAAGCGTTCATTTGACTGTTCTTTGTATGTGACATTTTAAAATCATGGTATTTTGACGAAATTATTACATTTATTGAATATGAGTTTGATATTTCATTTATTTATATGAACAATAAGAGCTTGGATCGAAGCAACTGGACGAAAAGCATTGAGGCTTCGAATTTCTATGGTCAAATAAATGCTCAGTAGGGGCCGTACTCGCATTAAAGTTTGATGTCCACTAGGGGGCCACACAATACCTCTCTGATACCACTTCACTATGATCCATCTCCGTCTGCTCCATCACTGAAAACACCTGCATCTGATTGAAAGTAATTACTGAGCTCCTGCAGAGACCCGTGGACCAGGTCTTTAATTCACCTGCATTTGCTTAATATAACATTTTATATCTGTGTGGAGCTGGCCTTTTAACTATAGTCTTCATCATGAGTTCTGTCGATGATTTTATCCATGATGAAAGCGTTACCAACCAGTGTGTGGACATGGAAATGACTCTCAATGACCAACTCAATGAGAAGGTAACGTTCACACTTTTGTCATGTTTGCATCCTGTTTGCATTTATCAAAGACATTTTTTTTCGAAGATCTAAAAATACAAGACCATAATCTGGTTAACAAGTCAGACCATACCATTATCTTTTCATCCTATTACAAAACATATCTTTTTCATACTTATGACAGCCCTGTCAACTTGTCTTTGGGAGTGAGCGCTGGGATGGTCCTATTTTTCACTTTTCTGTCTGAAAAAGATGTAACAAACCAAAACATGCATCTGGAAGCTCGTGATACTCATTATAAGGGAGAAATGTGTTTATTTCAATATAAAGTATTTAGAGTAAAATGGTTACAAAGTGATTCCCGAGATGGATAAAGCAACATGTACAAATGTAGTTTATAGTGAACTGTGTTTTTGTCTTCAAGGTTCGAAAGCTAAGTGACTGTGAGCCACAGACGATGGGTGTCTATCTCCGGATCAGGCCTTTCTCTAAAGAGGAGCTCAGCAATTGGGAAGACCAGGTGACAAATGGCAGATTTAGACTTTTAGCATGATGTGTAAGTGTACTACATGAAGTGCTAAACTTTAGTCATTTTATTCAGGAGTGTGTAGTGATTGAAGATGAACAGACTGTGACCCTCAATGCACCAAAGGGCTCTGCCACCATGAAGAGCAGTGAGAAGGGGATTGGCCTGTCCATCCACAAGTTTTCATTCACTCAAGTCTGTGTTGTACATTTATTATGCAAGCTTCTGTTGAACCATCATTAATTTTGTGCTAATTGTGTTTGTTTGAAGATATTTGGCCCAGATACTGACCAAGCAACGATGTTTAAAGAAACTGTCCAATGTCAAATGTCAGACTTCTTAAATGGGAACAACGCCTTAATATTTAGCTATGGTGTCACGAATGCTGGGAAAACTTATACTATTCAAGGTAAGAAACCACAATTTTCAAACAAGTCTATTGATGTATACATTTTAAAACAATTTCAGGCTCTCCAAAGGATCCAGGCATCCTCCCTCGTGTCTTGGATGCTACATTCCAGCACATCAGCGGTCACCAGTACGAAGCCATGGATGTGAAACCTTATTTACGGAATGATGCGCAGTTTCTTACTTCAGAGCAAGTCAAGCAGGAGAAGGGCATTAAGGCTTCTGTTTTTGCTTCTTGTAAAGAGGTGAAACTCTACGATGATTTTATTACAAACTGAAATCGCCTTTAGATCTTTCAGTCTCAGTTCTTGTGAATCAAAGCAACATCTCAAATGCCTCTTTGATGCAGAGACTCTTTTTTTTTTTAACAAGCTTTTGAGTACATGCAGTTCCTCAAATATTCTGTTTTTGAATGAATCACATCTTTTAAAACTTGTATTAATATAATTATTTGGAGTACACTAAACATGCTAAAAGCTTAGGAGGAAGGTTAAAATTTGAGGAATCCAACCCCGCCTTAATGATCTAATGAATGACTCAACCATGTAATATACAGTGATATATGAACGGTACTATAGTCATTGTTTCTTTACGAAATATTAGTTTAGTGATTCAAATATTGCACACGTCTGTCTTTTATAGTTCAATGGTCTTTTTAATTGCACCTTTCTATTTCCGCTCACCATAGCTTTACAATCATTCAAATGTTGCTCGTTACAGGACACGGACTGTTCAAGAGGCAGCGACGGAAGCAGAGACTCTTGCTGTTCCACACTTGAAACAGGTCCGTTACTGCGTTTGCAAGAATTAATTCCATTGTTTAGGACAAAGGTTTTCGGATCATGAGTTCGTTCTGTGCATTTCTTGTTGTGGCTTCTGGAGGATTTGTATATAATAAAAACCCTTTCTTTATCATGATTTGTGCAGTGGTAGCAGAAGCCTCGGGGAACATCGATGGTCAGTTCGCCTTATGGGTCGCATTCTTTGAAATCTACAATGAGTCTGTGTTCGACTTACTCCAGCCTTCTCTCTGCTGTAAGTCCAAGAGGAGGGCTGTTCTCAGAGTGTGTGATGATGGCGCTGGAAATGCCTACGTAAAAGGTTTTTATTTTTAATGTATAAATATTTCTGAAATATTTTCTTAAGTTGCTTTTTCCTGTTTATTTACATGAGCCTTTTTCAGATTTGAGATGGATCAATATCATGAATTTGAATGAAGCCTCCAAGATATTACAGTATGGAAACAAAAATCGAAGTGCAGCTGCTACTAAAATGAACCAGTCGTCCAGCAGAAGGCAAGTTTACAAGGCAACAATGGAAAATGCATTTTAGATAGATATACTTTATTGATTCTTGGAGAAATTCAGGTGTCCAGTAGCAGCAAAAATACAATGTATCATTCTAGAATGCTAATAGTCGTAATCAGCAACAGCCCTTCAGGTCAGCAGCAATTAGTTGATAAAGTAGGTGCACATTAAAAGGACCCAGTATCTAAATTCATGAATTGTATGGGACTGTGTTAACAGGGATCATCAATATCTGGTCAAAATTAATATAAATAAAAGGTTTTTACAACTTCAAACCAAATCGAAATAGCTGTTAAAAAGCAGCCGTTAACGTTGGCTCTGAAAAAATAACTAAATAAAACTCAAGGGGGAAAAAAACGGTGGCTGACTACAAACTGCATCAGTATTGGCACTAAAAACAAACAATAGAATGGTGTAAAGGCAAGAAAACACATTTACATTTCAAGGAATAAATGCCTTCGCACAAATGTTCACACTGAATTAGTGCTTCAATGTCGAGGCCTGCAGGGATCTAAATGAACAATGGGAGTATTACTTTATCTACTTAGTTTATTCAACTGGGATTTACCTTTTTGTTTAAAATCAATATTCAGTGCATCAGTCCTTACATGCAGACATCTGCTGGTGTATTCTATCCAGTTTCAGCTCATGTGTAATTAACTGACATTTACATTGAAAAGACAGATTCCCCTCTTTGAAACCTCAGCCCCACCCAACAACTTCCTGTTTCCTCCTCTACCCTTTCATAAAAACTGTAAAGCACAACTGTTGTATGGAATTTATAGAGGGTGCTCTTAGATCTCGGTTCCTTCTACATGGAACCGGTTGCAAAAGACTGGAAACTACCAAACTTATTTCATTGAATGATTAAGTCCTCATCGAGTCTTATTGAAAATATAGCTGTTTTTATCTGTAAATGTGTGTAACCGTCCTGGTTGAATAATGGTTAAATAAAAAGATGCACAACACGATGCTCAATCTGTTGATGGCAGTCCCAACGTCTGGAATGTCCTTTTTGTTAAAGCTGTTAGAGTAATTATTTTGTGTTTACAGTCACAGTATATTTACAATGAAGCTGCTGAAGATTGACAATGATGCTGTCAAGGCCATTTCAGAGTGAGTATTGAGCCTTGTTTTTACTTTTCTGACTTCAATACATGGCTTGCGGTAAGATGTCCATTTTATCAAGACGTTCGAACCTGTGATAGACGACCTGGACACTAATGTTTTAATGGCCACTTGTTTGTTCATCCATATCCATTCAGTGCTGAGGTTGTTGTAGTTGTAAACTTCAATGTTTTCCTCCAGGTTTTCTCTGTGTGACCTGGCCGGCTCTGAGAGGTGCAACAAGACAAAGACTTTTGGGGAAAGACTCAAAGAAGCTGCGAACATCAACAACTCTCTGCTCATCCTGGGGAAATGCATCACAGCTCTGCGCAACAATCAGAGTGACCGGTAAAAGGACAAGTTATTCTAAGCATCATGGGTTCATTTGGCCACCGGAAAGATTCTGTAGAAACATAGCCTAAACATATTCACCCTTTACTTAAACTTATTTTCCATAGTTAAGAGAATATGCTGAAGGTTTTGAAGTTACTGGTTGAAAATGAGCAGTAGATGTGACAAATTTGCTGTACCACAAAAATCAATATCATTTTTATTGCCACGTAAGTAACAAACAAAAGTTACCACTTAGAAATTGTTTTGGCAGAGAGCGTGCCACTTTGCCATTTGCGGCGCTGTGTGCAAGCAAGAAACGGCAGAGAGCAATACGTTTCACAGACAATTGGATACAGTCAGCTTTGTATAAAACACGGAATTTATTTTTTCTTGGGATGAGCACCTCCGACTGCCGGCCAATGTGGCTATCAGAGGGGGGGGGGGGGGGGAAGATAAGCCGGAAGGACAGTAGGGAGTGGGAGGGAGAAGATGGAGAGGTCGAGGTAGGCGGGGAGAGGGGGATCCGAGCTGGAGCTGCAAGTGAAGTTTTGCAGAATGGACCTGGTTATCATTGGCCTTGGCCAGTAGGAATATGAGATAAGAGTAGAGACAAGCCACAGCAAAAGGGAAAACACCTCGCCTTGAGAGGGACAATTTATATGCAATGTAGCGGTCAAAAGCAAGGCAGATATACCATAAATCCAATTAAGCCGAATTGCGGCGCCCTCAGAACCTCCGTACACTGGGGCTTATCCATGCCGGGTCAAAGAGTTCAAGCCTGGCAGACAATGTCATTCAGCCGCATCTCTTGTGTCTTTTGTCCTCCTCTGTCCAGTCACGGCACTCTCAACCACGACACGGCTAAACTCCTTGTACATCCCATCAAAAAGACTATCTTGTCGAATTGCTCTCCCTGTGTGTAGTGTCTTTGACGTATATGATATGGGGTATTCAATTTTAGAATCTGGTGCATATTAACATAAACTTTGTTAAACACTTACAGTATGTAAAAGTTCTGTTTCTGTAGGTCTATCCTAAAAAGTACAGCAGTGGACTTCCCACTATGTAGTGTACTGGTTTGAGATGGGTCAAATGGTTCCTCTGAAAAGCTAGATTGTTCATGCCATCCATCCATCCATCCGTCCATCCATTTTCTTCCGCTTTATCCGTTGCCGGGTCGCGGGGGCAGCAGTCTAAGCAGAGACGCCCAGACTTCCCTATCCACACACACCACCTCCAGCTCGTCCGGGGGGACCCCTAGGCGTTCCCAGGCCAGCTGAGAGACATAGTCTCTCCAGCGTGTCCTGGGTCTTCCCCGGGGCCTCCTCCCGGTGGGACGTGCCCGGAACACCTCCCCAGGGAGGCGTCCAGGAGGCATCCTGAACAGATGCCCGAGCCACCTCAACTGGTTCCTCTCGACGTGGAGAAGCAGCGGCTCTACTCCGAGCTCCTCCCGTGTGACCGAGCTCCTCACCCTATCTCTAAGGGAGCGCCCAGCCACTCTGCGGAGGAAGCTCATTTCGACCGCTTGTATCCGCGATCTCGTTCTTTCGGTCATTACCCACAGCTCATGACCATAGGTGAGGGAGGGAACGAAGATTGACCGGTAAATTGAGAGCTTTGCCTTTCGGCTCAGCTCCCTCTTTACCACAACGGTCCGATACAGAGACCGCATCACTGCGCACGCTGCACCGATCCGCCTGTCAATCTCACGCTCTATCCTCCCCTCACTCGTGAACAAGACCCCGAGATACTTGAACTCCTCCACTTGAGGAAGGACCTCTCCACCCACCTGGAGAGGGCAAGGCACCTTTTTCCGGTCGAGCACCATGGTCTCGGATTTGGAGGTGCTGATTCTCATCCCAGCCGCTTCACACTCGGCTGGGATGTTCATGCAGTTATGTTTTTTGTCTTTGGTCATTAAAAGCAAGAATGGTTTTACTTTTTATTTTTTCATGGCCGAAAGGGTTCAGGCTGAAGTGTAAAAAGTTTGCCTAATTTTCAAATTAATCTTGCTGTTCTTCAGATCAAAAGGCTGCGTTCCGTTCAGGGAGAGCAAGCTCACAAAGCTCTTCCAGTCTTTCTTCTGTGGCAAAGGAAAAGCCTCCATGATTGTGAACATCAACCAGTGCGCCTCCACCTACGACGAGACCCTCCATGTCATGAAGTTCTCTGCTGTGGCCAAACAGGTGAGCCACGTTCTGCACTGGCACAAAACGGGCAAGGGATTCTTTCAATACTTGATCATACAAACGTTCTGACGCAACATGAAGGCAAAATAAATCACATTGGTTCTTTGTTAGATGCAGATACAGTTTAAGAATTTTGTCATGCACACAGCTTGAAAGCAGTCTCAACAGATTATCTTTTTTTTTTATACATTGGATGTGAAGCAGACAAGAACATGAGACCTACGGGACAACTAAAAATCTATGCTCAAAATTTAAAAAGTGGGGAAACGCATGTGGGTAGCCAGCTCTCTGTATTGAAAATGTCCTTGATTTTATGAACTTGGTATTGCTCTTACTAAACTGCTATTTTAGAAAGTTTCTTATATCTAATTGACTCAAAGTAATCCATTCTGGTTAAACATGTTTTGGTCCCTGTCTGTTGATCATGTGTGTAATTAAGAAACAAATAATTATAACTCTATAATGAGCAAATCAACAGCTTAACCTCTCACTGGTGCAGGTGGTGCAGGTGATGCCAGAGCGCGATGGGAGGACTCTTCTGCGTCCCAGTGCAGACGTCCCAGTGACGGAGGGTTATCTCCCTGAGGAGGAGCTGCTGGATGATGTCTTTCTGATGCCACAAGATGTAAACTATTGGAATTTCAAGAATATTGCCTTTATACATCCACATTTAAAGTATAGTTTTACAGCATTTTGATTATTAGGGGTCGGAATCATGGTGAACCTCACAATTCTGGTTCAGACTGCCATTTGATTTATAAACGATTATTGATGCATTTTGAATGTGTATTGATGCAATTTTCCCACATTTCCATCGTACAATTAATGTCAATTATAATTAAATTTAGGTAGTGTTATTTTATTACTTTGACATAAACTTACGTTTGTTTCAAATAAGTCAGTTACAAATGATATGGTCAGAAGGGTCTGACTCTAAAAGCATAGATGTCAAAGTTAAAGCCCAGGGGCCAGATACTGCCTGCGAATTCATTCTCTTCCCCCACAATATTTGCATAGTATTAGAACCGGCCCGCACAGAGCCATAAGAAAATATATAATCAAAACAAACTTTTTTTGAAGTTGTCTGTCGGTAATTTCCAGTGAAAACATTTTTCAAGAGGCTCAGAGCTATATACAAAAATATTTAATGATTAAATAAAGATTATTCAATCAAATGAAATAAAGGACACTGTTGCATCTTTTTAAATGGATTACATGCAATCATTTTAATGTTTTAAAAATATTGAGTCAGTCAAGCCCTCGGTTTGTTGCTAATTTGTTTGGCCCTATAATGTATTTGACTTAGCGGTGTCTGGTCTAAAGGGTCAGAAGGGCCTATAATAGATCCATGCCTATTTCAGAGACTCGAGGTCCGTGTTATTGTTTCTCTTCCTGTTTACACAAGGCTACTGTGCGCCAACCAGCTTGAGCGTTTGTAATCAATTGAGTCAATATTTACAATTGTGAGATGTCTCTCAAATGTGCAGCAGCTTAGTAAGGGACACACACGTTAACTACTATGAGATTTATTTGCTGATTTCCTTTTGTTGGTGTGTAACAGTATCTCCTCAACTAAAGAAATTACTGCTCTAGAATGGTTCCAACAAAGTCTCCATTGTCTGAAATGGAAGTTATACACAAATGTTAACACTGTTTTCTAGGAACTTCGCAGTGTGGTTGAGAATCTAAAGGCTCTGTTATTGGCTGAACGTCGGAAAAATCTAGTTCAGGAAATGGAAATTCGCAGCGAGATGGGAGACGCCATGATGCAACAGATCCTGGAGAGCGAAGAGCTGCGCAGGTAAAGTCAGCAGAGTTGAGTTTGATCCAAGAAAATATGAATTCTTTTGTTAAAGCCGCCAGATTGAAGAACTAAAGGAAAGCTACCAGGAGAAACTGGAGAACACTTTTGAGATGTACAAAAATGCTATCAAAGAACATGCGTATCAGAGCGCCATGAGGAACCTGGAGGATGACTATGTCCCTTTGGATAAGTTCACAGCCGAACAGGAGAAGGTGGAGGTATGTTTCAAGCTTAGAGTCCTACTCTTGTCTCTTACGGATTTATAACTTGCAGCTTGTCTGACATTTACATTGAATTTGTGAAAATGTTGGCATTGATATGGTTTCAGGGTTAAATATCCCATGAGTAGTTGCATTAGACCAGTTTAGTGTTTTAGTCCATCACTAAAGATGTTTACATGTCACTCTCAGCTGGTTATGGCGCCCCAACGGAAAACCTATCAACAGAATTTTAGGCCTATATCAAAGATCCCCCTCTTGGCCAAAGTTCTGGAAAAGTTAGTCTATAATCAACTTGCAACGTTCTTGCAGCCTAACATATTTGACACTTTCCAGTTTGGTTTCAGGAAGTTCCACTCCACTGAAAGGGCATTACTAAAAGTGTCATGATGGCTGCTGGTAAATGTACCTGTTAGACTTGCCGCCTGCCTTCGACACGGTGGACCATAGTATCTTGTTTACTAGACTGCAGGGTGTGGTCGTGATGTCAAGCTGTTAGTGTGGTTTAGACCTACCTGAAAGAGAGAACACAAAGTTCTACCTGATATTTAAATTTTCTAACCTACATTATGGTGTACCCAGTGAGGGCCGGTCCCGGCTCAAAAGTGGCCAAAATGATGTGCGCTGTCATGCTTGGAATACCACCTCGGGCCGATGGGGTGGATCTGGTCTGCCAATGCTAACATATAGCATTGGCAGACCTCTCAAACGTGTTTACTAGATGAATTTTTGAAGTCTCTCGTTCAAATGAATGGAGCATGCGCAGATGCGTTTTTTTCAATTTTCTTGTGGGCCGGACCACTTGCGGCCATTTTGGATAGCTCCAGTAGAGCGTTTTTGGCCCATTAGTTAGAACGGCGGAGATAGACCTGACTACGTCTATTTTTTTTAGTCTATGGGTTGTTTTTGATCCAACACCCTTAAGAGATCTCATTGAACTGCTGGATCAGCTCACCTTATCTATCAGCTTTAATTTGTAGAGCACCTTTCTGACACAAGGCAACACAAAGCGCCTCAAAACCCAAAATCACATCACACATTATAGCTACCATAAAGATTAAATACAATAAGAATCCCACAGGGCAGACCATCTCCAGCTGTAATGTTCTTTTTAAGCCTTCTGAACCCAGATTGGATTCTCTCACTGTCTGGCCATAATATATTGTACAGTGCATTCGATTACCCAGCACGTGGCGACCTCAGCAGTGTGATTTTTATTTTTTTTAAATGGACCTTGGCGTAACTTTTGATGAATAGCTTGATGTCCCAAACAGTTCAACACTTCCATTTGCAACATCTCTCAGCTCGAACACATATGGTCTTTCGTTACCTCACGACGGGACTTCAAATTCAATCAGCAGGTGTTGCAATAGTCCAATTTGTTTCGGCAGCTTTCTCCCCTCACCACACCAGTTCATAATTCTGCATTTTAGTTTTTGTATCAGACTTGTATGCGTATATTTTTTTTCTGTTTTTGGTTGTGAAGTGCTTTGTGATCCTGACCTGTGAAAGGTGCTAAACAAATAAATTGACCTACTTTCTGATAGTTCTTACTGCAGTAGGCATCCTTGTCTTGCATCTTACAGGAGCTGAAGCGTCAGCTGAAAAGTGTTACAGGACGATCATTTGAAACGACAGATCAGTCGACTCAGACCAGTTCACCCAAAGAGACAGAAGCAGCAGGTACCACACATTCGTCTCCACTGCAGCTGACTCACTGAACTAGTCTGAGTGTTTTACCCATACACTATACAATCTATTGTCATGATTGGGTTGTAAAAGAATCTCTTGTATAGCCATCATTTCTAGACACTCACTTTCTAATGCTCCATTCATCTTATTTTTGTATTTCATTATTAACTTCATGACCAATTTACAGAGGAGAGGTGCAAGAGGCTTTACAAGGAAAAGTCTGCTTTGGAATCTATATGTGAGAGCAAACAAGAGGTATGCATAGTGCTCTTTTCATTATTAGAATTCAAATGACAATTTGCATTGATTAGAAATATTTTGTTTCAGTTGATTTTGTCTTTGGAGAAGAGTCTCAAAGATCTCACCGAGGGGCACCAATGGCTCACGAAAAGCCTTACAGAAAAATCCCGGGAGGCAGAAACGGTGAAGAGCAAAGCTGAAGACATGGTAATCAAATGTTCACCCTGCATGTAGCCTACTGTTTAAATGTTAATGTTGAATCTGACTACTGGAAGCTATTCGCCATGGACTCGTTTTCCTACAATTAATGCCAAATAAGCTAAATGTATTTGCTTTGAGATTTCACAAAAGGATGATTTCTGGCCACAACCTCATTTCCAATGAAGCCTGTAAACTCTGCCGTGTCTGGAGGAATGGGATTTATAACCTGCAAAAGTTTTCACAACCGGTCTAAAATCCGGGTTTTGTCTGGAACACTTTACAAAGTTTCCTCTAAAATCAAACACAAGGGTGTGCAATTTAAACATTTATTTAGTCTGACTTTCTGTGAATGAGACGTGCCTTTATTACATTGACTTAACCAAATGTATCTAATTTTTTTTTACCACCAGTTCAAATCTCTGGAGGAGGTCTTGCTGCAGAACAGTGAAAAGGACAAAGAAATTGAGTTTCTTAGAGGAGAGCTGGAGAAGACCATGATCTCAATCCCCATGAAGCCCAAACGCAGCCTCTTCGCCAACATCAAAGACTCCTGCTCTCCTCGCACCCTGAGGAACAAGCCTGCCAAAACCTGAGCTTTCATGCCATGTTTTTAAATGTAAAATATTTTATGAATTTAATGTTATTTGTGATTCTTTTAAAATAAATACAAATTTAAAAAAAGCCTAATCCTTGATCTGCTTCAATCCAGTTATTGTGGCTCTATTAGCCTGCCACATTGTCGCGTTCAAGTTTGAAAAAATTGTTCAGTCTCTTAGTCTGGTGTAGTAGTCATTGTCTAATGCTATAAAAACAGATAAGCCCTGCCCAATGGTTGAGGTAGACTCCAATTTTAGAAGCTGGGTCTGTCACCTATGACTTGTTTATGTATTGACAATCGTTTATGTATTGACAATCGTTTAATTGTTCAAAGTAAAGTTCAGATTTCAGAACTCCTCAGTTTCCTTTCCTGTTTAAACTCTTGTAAGCGACTATGTCCATTGAGCCACTCCACTCTACTCTAATTCCCAGTAATGTCGACTACTTCAGTTTTCTCTATTCAACCTGCCAGTAAAACTTGAATTCAGAATTTCAGACGACCCTTGTTTTTGGGTCTGGTTGGTACCACATATGCGGCGGAATGTCGGCTCGTCCTTCAATTCGAGCTTTTAAGTTATCTGTTAGATCTGCCAGTCTTTACTGAAAATGTCAGGCCTCAAATCTATTTAGATTTTCGCGTCACCAATTTTCATTTGATGTCAATGAAAGTTCACATCTGAGCGTTTCATAATATGGTCCTGACCTCGTCCTTTCAGCGAAGTGCCTTTCTCACTCCTTTGTGCACGAGACGGAACACCTCCAGTCACGCCACAGATGGGTTAAATGAGGTCGTCCATTTTCCTGAGAGCGCAGGGAAGAAAGGCAACAAAAGAATGTTTCAATCAGGAAGTGGCGCACAGCCTTAAGTGCACGGCTATTCATTTTCTTTCTGATTAATTCATTTTACACATAACTTCCCAAATGTAAAGCTGCTGCGTTTTTTCCCTTTCGACTACAAGCCTTAATGACATCCACCATAGTCAACTAAATGCTGAAGGATTTACATTGTTAATGTCCAGAAATAAAAGCTATGTTATTAACCAGTCGTAATGTTGGAAGTAGTTACTCTGAGTTTGCACGCGCTGACAGCTCGATAAGACTAACCTAGGGCCACAAGCAACGCCACCAAAGGGCCTCCATTTTTAAAAGTAATAAGACAATTAATGAGGGGATTATGACTTTAGATCAGCTTTTATCCCAATGGCACATGATCAGTCAATCAGCTCTCAGTCTAAAGCCTTACACAGAGCTTTTTCTTACAGGTTTGCAAAAGAGAACATTCAGCAATTTACAGATTAAGACAGCTGTGGTCTGACTTCTGATAGTTAGGTGAACTTTGCTCTTTCTGTGAGGATAAATCAAACTAAGTACAGAGAGGCCACCTCACACTCAGCCAATCAGCTCTTGGACCAAAAGGTTAAACAGTGAAAAAGTGAAATGTTTTTCTTATATTACAAAAAAATATAATACATAATATATTTTACTGCTTCACTGGGGAAAGCAAAAATATACTCCCTTATGAACATTGTTCATACCATAGAACACTAACGATGAAAGCAGTTCTGAACAGACCATATTAGAGAGTGAAAAGTATATGGGGGGAGTATGCTGAGCTTTGTCCTGCCTGGTCTGGGATGTAGCAGTGACCCTTTACAGTGGAGTGGAGTAGCACAGCTCAGCTTCCCACTTAGTAAAAGGACCATTGTAGTAGATACAGCAGCTGCATCTCTCCTCTCCCTCAACCCAGAGATAGTTAATGAGATTACCTATACGCCTTATCCTGCGTCAGGACTCTGCATAGGGGTCAATCACAGGATTAGTTTGCACCTTGTTACTCGCTCACATGACTTTATTACATTTTTCTTCTGATTTTGCCGCTTCATTTGTCTCTGAAGGATGCTGAAGACCTTTTCTGGTTTTCCACTGGACCAGAGTGCCATTTTTGGACCATGGCGACAGGGGAGTGAGCACTGGACCCTCACCTGCTGAATGAAGCGTCTTTTGAGGGGTAAAGGACGAGCAGAGGCGGCCAGAGAAGTGAAACTACAATCTGAGGCTACGAGTGTCTGTTCCTCATGCCACTAGTAAATAATAAAGTGGGCGATGAATGCACGGTCAGCACTGACAAATCTTCGACTGATGCAAAAGCTCTGGTGCAGTCCCTAATCAAGGTACAGTAAGCCAATGCCATAACCATAAACTATTTGCATGTGTTAAAATTATTTATACAAAATCTTGTGTGGGAGAAAATGTACTATTTGTGCCTGCCCCATCCCGATAATATCGAGCAATCTGCAACAATCTGCTCCACAAGGCATAACATTGGTTGGTATACATGTATGTTTATGCGTATGGTCTAACAAAAAATATTGTCTGCAAGTACGATATTTTAAACACAATCTTTAAACAGTGTATACAAAATTTAAAAAAAGAAGACAAATCATTAGAATAAGCAGCTTCAGTGATATATTTTGGTGTACCAAACATCTACAGAAGATTTGCTTGTCCCCTGTGGCAAAAAAGGCACTCTCCCTGAAATATTTCTTGGTCCACTAAGTCCTTTGACTGCATTTGTCTGACATATATTCACCATTCTACCACCAGTCTCAACACTGACACATCAATGGCAAGATAAACCATGAATCAAAGCATTTGGATGATAGCGTTTCAGCACTTTTATAATGTATATGTGTTGAGGATGAATCAATCACTGACTTACAAGTGGGCCTCAAGCTGCGGCTTCACAAGGTTGTTATGGCTTATCTCGAAATAGATCACACATAATGAGATTAATCATAACATTTCTTATTGTTGCAGGTATTCATCCTACCTGAAAAGGCCTAATTATAATATAGATAAGCTTAATTGCTGAAAACTACTTCTGTTTCATAGCAATATGAAACATTATTGTCCAGTGCAGTGTATGAACTGCAGTGATATTGTAATTCCCTATACATGCAATACAAAGTAATGGCTTTACTTGTCCACGTAATTGGCTCCATGGAACACATTGTATAAGTGAATTGATTGCTTTTTGCTTGATAATACATAAAATAAAACATCCTCATCCTCATAACAGCATTAAAAATAATGTAATAACATAAAATGATAATAAATGCCTCCTGGACGCCTCCCTGGGGAGGTGTTCCGGGCACGTCCCACCGGGAGGAGGCCCCGGGGAAGACCCAGGAGACGCTGGAGGGACTATGTCTCTCAGCTGGCCTGGGAACGCCTTGGGGTCCCCCCGGACGAGCTGGAGGAAGTGTGTGTGGATAGGGAAGTCTGGGCGTCTCTGCTTAGACTGCTGCCCCCGCGACCTGGCAACGGATGAAGCGGAAGAAAATGGATGGATGGATGGATGGATGGGTTTCTCTAATATAGTGCTAACAAGAACAGATATTTTCAATTGCATACCACCCATGGATTTATTATAATAATGATACCACCTTCTAAGATAACCAATCCAAAGTGGTGTTCAAGCCTATCTCAACAGAAAATAAGCAATTCTGTGCTTTGATGGGAGACCAACGTGGATACCACAGCCCAGTAGTTGTTGGGTTTTTTTCTTAACGTGGTACATCATGTTGGTACACCCCCTGAAATACAACATGTATATATCATGTATTTGTAGGTGGTAGCATGTCACCGTCACCTGGCCTCATGTGTGGGCAGCTGCACAGACTCCTTGCAGCTCAGAGACGAGCTCAGAAAGACACGAGAGAGAGCCGTGGAACTGGCCACGTCCATCTGCTCCCACCTGACCAGAACTCTGCGAGACAAGAACCTGCCCCAGGTGCAGAGGAAGGAAACGGAGCTGCTCTGGGTGGGCTTCTCCTCCAGCCTCGAACTTCTGCACCTGGACATGTGTAAGGTCTTCAAGATGGCTGATACTTTTACTCTGGCCGATAACGTCTCCCTGGTGCAGACAGGATTACAAGGTAAATTCATTTAGCCCAGTAATTATTGTTGTTTGTCTAAAATATTTTATGTATTAGTGTCCACAAAAAATATCCCTAATGGACACTATATCTCGTTCCTTCACTCAAATCCTCCTTCTACAACTCCCTCTGCTAATCAGAAATCAGCTATAGCAACTTTCCTCCACACCCCCAGCATAAACGCCAATATCCCTATACCATACCGCACATCTGCCTTTAAGGTCAACAATTGAAGGTGCATCTCCCAGAGTTGGCAGATTGTACCCAGATGTTTGTGTTTTTGATTCCAAACACTCCAGGGGTTTGAAAGTGTGGAGGATAATTTACCAATCACACTGTTCCTTATACCTCCAGATCCTATTTAGTCGTACAGGAAGGTCCCAACTTAGCCCTGTTTGATATGAGATATTGCAAGCTTAAGCCGGTCTCCAGCAAGGTGGTGTCATAAAACCTACACTTCTCTCAAATTTTAATGGGGATTTTAGTGTCCCTTTTCACCCTGAACCTTTTGTGCAACAAACTCATTCTGGGTACACTCTGTCTAACATTTTGGCCTCCGTCGTGCTGGCATACGCCAATGACCACAGACCATTGGTTTGAAGAGGCAGACATGTTAAAGTCTTCAAGGCATGGGTGGTGAGCAATCTAGAACCACAGAATGTTACAATAACTGTTCTAAAACACAAGAGAGTCTGGATCTCTGTCCCAAGTTTGGCATTTCATGAGCCGTGTTGGGTTGTATTTGATTGGATGGTTTGAGTTTCGCTTTCTCAGTTCTGAGAGCTGAGATTGGAACGGCCTTTTACCCTTTGAACATGTGTGTCAGGATGTAGAAGGAGTACAGGTGAGTCCCACTCACAGCTTCTTTCTTCTAGGAGGGGCGTGTGAGGTATGTGCCAGAGCTCTGAGTGTAGCAGACCTTCAGCAGACCGAGAGCACAGCGCCTCCTGCTGATTTGGAAGGGCAGGAGCGCTGCAGCCTGGAGCAGGACATCAGCCAGATGGATCACATGATCGACGACATGGAGACCAAGGTGAACGTGCTTCGCTGGATGGTGGAGCCTCAAGGGCCGCAGTTTCCTCTCTGCAGCACAGACAGCTCTTCCATGGCCCTGTTGTCTGTGGATGAGGAGAGTCCCGGGACAGAGGAGGGACCTAAGCCCCTGTGTCAGCGCAGCCTGGTGTTTGTGCTGCTCATGTTGTGTGGTGTGGTCGCTGTGGCCACCACTCTGTCCATCTGCATTGTCTTCTTCTCATGAACATCTGTGTCACATAGTTGTTCAAATTTACGGAAATTATGGAAGCTTAAGTATTTATGGCACTTTTTAGAAGAGATTTTAAAATATTTATTTTATTACTGCGGTCTTTGATGATTATTTCATGATGAGGAGCAGCTGAGACCTCAAATATCAAAACCATGAACTGTAGCTTTTGTCACAAAAACACAGTTTGCTGTTTACGGTGTTCTGCTCCTGCAGCGGCACCAAAGCTGCATGTTCTATCCCTTTGCTGTTTACCACATTTACAGCTTTTTTGGAAATTACTATTAAGCTATACTGTATATGTAAGCTTGTTATTCTAACTACTGTCGGTAAAAGCTTTTGCTTTCGGTTTTAAGTAAACTCTAATATCATTGTATAATATGATGTCCTACATTTGATTAGGAATGTTATAGAGAATGTAAATTTGGGCTGAATTAAATGTGAATTTGTAACCACTTTTCCTGTGTCTTTCTATAGCTATACAAACACTGTCATTTCAACATATGGTTCATAATCAAATCAATGAAGGTCAGTTGCTCTTAAAGCGATCACTTTGAAGTTTACGTTTCAAACCGATTGTATTAGTGTACTTTTCAGGAATCATTTTAATTCACACACCCATTTCCACATAGAAAAGCATTAGTTTTGTTTAGTTTTCCATTTATTAATGGAATGCCCCTTGAGATGTACCATCTTGTTTTTGTGGGTGTCCATAAGCACAAAAGACAGATTACAATTCCCAAAACACAAAAACAGGACAAAACGTTCATTGAGAACAGACCATTACCACCTCCAAAATCAAATAATTTATTCCTTTTCGATTTACTTGGTTTTGGCGCGTTCAATCAATGCAAAAACAAGCTAATATTTTTCACCATCGGCTTCCCTGTTTAATCATATTAAACACATTTTTTATTTATTTGAGTGGGACGGTGCATGTCAATGAACAGACACATCAACAACATGAATGTAAACATGCCAGATTATAGCCAATGACTAATTTCCATCTGTAGTCCATCTGTAGGTTAGGGTCACAAGGGGTCAAATACAGCAACATCAACAGAAACAAAAGAGGAAAATATCAAACAAAAAAGCAGCTTGCATTTCCGCACAGCCCACACATTAGCAGTCCACCAAAATCCACAATGAGTCCGCATCATTGCACACACCCAACAATTGCACACATCAAATTATTGCACACATCTCGTTATTGCACAAATAAAATCATTGCACACATTCAATTATTACACACACCCCGTTGTTGCACACATCCTTGCTTCACAGTCAACCAAATCTTACACATGACATAATTACAAACAAAACCCTATCACACACCCCCAACATTATCAATGGTTGTTTGTTTGAGACCACCTTATCCATTCTTTTAGGAGACTTTTAAATGAAATAAAACTAAGGGCCTATCTTACAGAAGTCGACAAACTGTTCCATTTTTATTAATCATATAACTCTTGAGTTTCCTGCAGTGACGTTGTTCTAACACAACAAGACCATCAGACGTTCTCACCGTGTCATTGATTTCAGGGTAGTTCTATCTTTGCAAAGGTTTTCTAATCTGCTCTCGGCAAGTCCTGCAGATGACTGCAGCTGTGATTCAAGTTTGAATCAGACTGAGCAAAGCAATAAGATCATATTGTCTTTTGAATAAATGTTTCACTAATGATACTAATTATCAAAATTTATATAAATATCTATCTATATTTTTATCTTTTCTGTATAGCTGAATGTATTTTAATGATGGACCCCAGGAAGACTTGTTGTCCCTTCAAGGACGATTAATGGGGATCCACACCGGACAAACCATATTAACCATATTTGTGGTCCATGTCTCAAACGAGATGCTTCTTCAGGGGTTTTTCATGAATTAATTTATTTTAAACCACTTCAACAATTTCTCCATGCAGACAATGGAACGGAGTGTTCTCTACAAAGGTTAAATTGCACACCTTTAAAGCTGGGGTATGTGGTATGTCCAGTGGGGGAGGGTCCCAGCTCAAAAGTGGCCAAAATGACGTGCGCTGACATGCTTGCAATACCACCCCGGGCCGATGGGGGTGGACCCAGAAGAAGAATTAGCCAATGCTAACATATAGCGTTAGCAGACCTCTCAAAAACGTCTTTACAGGATGGACCAAAAGTCTGCCCGTTAATATATACAGTCTATGGGTATGTCCCAAAAAAAAGAGTCTTGTTTGAGTAATCTTTTGTGAGTCAGTCCAAAACATGTGGTTTTTATCTAATTAGAAATCATGTTATCTTTAACATCCTGCTCGCTGATTGGTTGAACAAGGCTGGTCCTTTTTAGAGGCCGATGATGACCTCCGCCACTGCCCAAACACCTTTTGCTATGGCTGACACACAATTACACACATATTGTGTCTAGCAATTGACCATTGCACATAAAAGTCCACACGTCGTTTGGTATTAATTATAATGAATGTTTATTATGCATCTAGGAAAACATAACTCCATGGAAATAAAAAAACTAATGGCACGTCCCAAGTTGCACACCAGAATAAGTCAGAAGACATAAGGGCTCATTTACACTAGACCTGTGCTTGATGTGTGTGCCCTTTTATCCTGCTGTATGAATGAAGGTAAGAGCAAGTTATATTTTAAAGAAAAACAGCATTTCAAGAAGTCTGCATTACTTAGTTTATTCACCATTCTGAATAAAGCATTACATTGTCCATTCATTTATATTTATTGCAAAACTTCATCATTTGCACGAGGCAAGCCCATAACCGAGACAGGCCCACTCATTGGTCATCTCCATAAAGTCTGGCTGTGCAGAAAGACCACTCGCTGCAAGAGAAAATGCACAATATATAAAACGTTCAAAATGAATATTGAATTTTCTTTTGTAATATGTTTTTTATGGGTGTGCGACCTGAGAGTATATTGTAGAGGTTACAGTAGTTGAGGCCATTGTCGAGCAGACTGGTGAAAGCTATGGACTGGGAGTTGGCCTATGAAGAAAAACATGATTGTTATTCAAATAATATCAATGCACATATACAAATCAATATTGTGGCATTCTTTCTCACATTGACTCTACAGCCTCCCGTCAAAACACTGGGGAGGAATTTGAAGCTGAGAGTTTCGGCCGTGAGTCCGTCTGGAGAGGTGTGGTTTGCCAGGATGGCCAACGGCGTCACTGACACCAGCTGAGGAGACATGACGAACATAGATCACAACACACAACTTGAAAGTTACAACCATAAAACCATCAACTTTTTTTTTTTTTTTTTTCGGATTTTAAACTAGGAAGGAATCTTTTTATGAATGTCCATTTCAAAAATATGTTAGCTCGTTTTTTTTTTATTCCACAATGAATACATGTCTGTGTCCCAACAAAAAGAGTCTGAATCCGATCACACCATGCCATCTTCATCGTATTATAGATCATGTTAGCTTTGGCATGCCAGTGCGAAAGAGGCATCTGACTCTTTCAGCTGAGTGCTGATTGGCTGAGTGAGGGTGGTCCTCTCTTATTCACTTTTCTGTCTGAAAAAGCTGATCTAAAGATGTGACAGAGGCCAAAAACCTGTCCTGAGTGTGAGGAACTAATTAGATGGATTTTTAAAATGTGTTGTGGTTTGAAAGTTTTGTACCGTAGCTTTAATTATCCAAAAGATGTTGGTATGAATTTTGCCCCCAGCCATTTTAGCAGTGAACATTTTCTATCTTCATAGCTGCATTTAAAAAACCTAGTATAGCTTGTATTATTGACAGAGGGTAAAGAGGGATGGCAGTTGCAATGACAGGTGAAATGCAAAAGTGAGGAGTAAGACGCTTTCTTAAAAACAACTTACATTGTAAAAGCAGTTTCCGCAACCGGTTACCGGACTGAGGGCCACAATCTGCTGCTCCAGGGCACTGCTGATCGCCGCACACGGAGTCGCAAAAAGCCTGCAGAAAACACATCACACAATAGTTCATGAAACACTTAAATTGGTCTTTAACATTATCATGCATTTAGTGTTTCGAGGGACACAAGACTCGTCAAATTTAGTTTTTAGTTTGATTTGGTCCTTGGCCTCCAACTTTAATATCCTTTAAATAGTTTCAATTTCTGTGTTTTAGTGTTTGGTCCTCAGTCTTGTCCTCAGTCTCTGGTCCTTGATATCTGGTCCTTGGTCTCTGGTCCTCGGTCTCTGGTTCCCGGTCTCTCTGGTCCTCGGTGACTGGTCCTCTGTCTCTGGTCCTCGGCCTCTGGTTGTCAGTCCTGGTTCTCAGTCCTGGTTCTCACCACATGGATCTGCAGAAGGCATGGTAGGGCACTGGTCCTGGGATGGGGACAGTGGAGGCAGAGCAGAGCAGAGCAGCCACAAGAGCCAGAGGCAGCAGCAGAGTCTTCATGTTGCTGATGTGAGAGAGTGCGTCCTCCTGAAACAACTGCTCCGGCTTTATGTGCAAACAGGGAGCCTAAAAACATCTGCCCTGAAATCAATTGCTCCGCTCTGAAGGACTGACGGTCTTGTGGTGGACTTAATGCTGTCATTGTTTAGCAGCATGTAACAATATCTATTAAAGTCATTCGGTGTGTAGCAGGAGCTTTTGTAATGGCTGAACCTCTTATGATACTGATTATTTTATACTCAATCTTTTCAATGCTTATAGCCAAGGAACAATTGTTTTTACAAAATCGTTCAAAGCATTTGACATTGTGAGAATTCCTATTATTTTTTTGTTATTATTATATTATTGTCCTATTATGTTTATATCACTACCAGTACCTCTCTATTTTCATTTATTTATGGATTAGGTTTAAAAAGAAGTGCACATCCATGGCAAAATGCAAAAAAACAAAAAACAAAGCAGCTAAAATAAAGTTTGTTTTAAGAAGAGCAAAGAAGGTGGTGCTACGTCTCCTCGTGCATGTCATTCATTCATTTTCAAAACTTTTAATTTTACAATATGATCTTTCCAACAAAAAAGCTATGGAGAAACAACATGTCATTCCAAAGCCGAGGAGCCCAAGTCCGATTGTTAATATTTGTCATTATAAATTTTTTGGAGGACTGAATTGGACGAGAAGAATGCAGGTTTGAGACTCATAAAAACTTCCAAATAGTCACAAGGTAACAATGTGAGATAAAGGTCCCTGTATCTCACAAGAAAATCCCTCAATGACCTACATCTGTGAGAGTCACCAGTTGACAATGATCATTAGGCCTTCTCATGCAAATCACAGACAAACTGATTATTTACACTTCATTGTCCCACAAGCAGAAGGCCTAAATGAACTCACATGCTTTAAAGGACAAACTTCACAAGGAGTTCATTAAATTGTTCACTTTATTGAACATTCAGACACCAGACTGCGATAAAAACACGTACCTTTTTTGGGCCAAGCTTACTTTACATCATATGTCATCTACTTTTCCATGAGTCAACTCTGCAATTTTATTTTGAACCTGCATATTCAATGTTTTACCCCCAGCAAATGTCATATACAAAGCAGAAGTTTAATTTGTGACAAAATGATGAGGGTGGTATTGTTTGTGTAAAAGGTAAGAAAGATAAAATAGTTCATTTTCCAAAACCACTAAGTGTCTGGTTTACACACCACTTGCCCTTTACAAAGTAGTTGGAAAACAAATACATTTTCACCCCTTCTTGAGCCATATCAAAACATGTTGGAAATAGTAGCTCGAGGAGTACGACTTTCAAAACCAGGATATCTGTTTTTTGCAAATTAACGTTACAATTTTACATATAATTTAAGTAATAATATATTCCATTTGGGAGGCATAGAAGCTTCTTTGAAAATCTGCTCTCCCACTGTTTGGACTTGCTCCTTCTCCATCTTATGTCTCATATAAAAAAAAACAATAAAACACATAGGGAGTAATATAATTTTTAAAAACGAGAAATCCAATATAGTCATTTCATATACAGTCTTATTTAACTGTATTTGCGATCGTATTATTATTATTTTTTTTTCGTCTCATTTGCAGGCCTTTGTTTTGAAACGAACCCCGGTTTTCCAAAGTTTGTCTTGTTCCACTAATTTCCTGTAACTTGATAGATTACTTTGAAAACTACGGAGAGGTGAAGCGATGGCACATCGCGAACAGCCAGAGCCATAAGAGTTTAGCACTATTCTGGAGTTTATTTTAAAAATGTTGACAACAATAGTCAGGCCCAGGCTCAGATTTACCAGATGTGTTGGAAGTAATAGAAGTACAGGTCATGTTAATAATCCATCCTGCAGCTCTCTGTCACGGCTCTCGTCATGCGCTGCTGTGACATATTGTAATATTCGCACTTTTCAACCACGTTTTCGCGACTTTTTGGAGCCAGAAGAACGACCCTGGTCAGCTCGAAGGCTTCTGTTTGGGAAGACCCTGCGGAAGTCCATCAGAGGTACATTGGAAACGTCAAAGGAAGCGTGAAATGAGGCGCTGATGTGTGACATAAACAGTCTCTGTGCGTGACAGGCGTCTGACTCTTATTAGTATAGATCCATGGTCTGACTCTACTGCATTAAGGCAATAGAGACGCGACCAGCTTCAAACAATGTCACTGTCTCTTTGAATGTCATGCTAAGACACTAACTTACTTATAGCATAGTCATACCGCAATATCTGTCCAATATCCAGGCCCAATTAACCCTAGTGTGCTCCCAGTGCAGTCAATTTGACGGTCTGTGTGTATGAATATTTGAATATTTTGAATGAATATTTTTTATTTAAGTGTCGTACACATACAGTATGTGCCCAGCCCTCATGGGCTTATATGACACTATCAACAGAAAGGAAGATAAAGCCACAAAACATACAGATGCAGATGTGTGTAAGTGTAATTACTTAAAGGTATATAGGAGGATTTTCTACTTCCGGGTGGATCATCAAGACTATTGGTCCTCCCAATTGTCAATCATTCTGGTGATACGTGCTCGTCAAATAAGATCACGAAAAGTGGAGAGGGAAATTCTTTCCTAAAATTTGGTTTTAACCAGTTTTTTTTCCCCTCAGAATTCCATTGTTTTAAATAAGAGCAGTCAAAATGACGGCTCTGGGAGTTTCATAACTGCGGTAATCCTAGTTAATGTGGTCCAGTTCCTCGCTCTCAAAACAGTTTGGTTCTATCAAGAGCTTTCATGCCTCTTTGTCCCAGCTACAGATCAGCTTTTTCAGACTTTTTCTTTTTCTTCAGTCAGTAAATCTGCTCTCAGCCCAAAGTGTCAAATAGTGACTCACTATTTACTTACAGCTATGTAAAATGTATAATGTTTTCTAATAAGATGAAAACAGCATGTGGCGGTCTGATTTGTTCTTCACTTCCACAAGACTTTCTAATGTGGGACAAATAAAACATATTTTTCATCAAGAAGTTATGAGGTACTCCAGCTTTAAAGGGGGCAGAAAATCTTTCTCTGTATTTTTCTTTTTCTGAAGCATCATTTCTTCTGACTCAATACATGGGGCTTTATTGGCGGAGAAAATGTATTTAGCTCTACTTTATTTTCCATTTAAAAACCCTAAAGCTGTGGCTGAACATGTGGAAATTGGTTGGCTCAAACTGTTTTGAGAACTAGATAGTCTGAATACATTTACGGCTTGAAAATGAAAAGTATTATATTATGAAAATGAAATATCTATTGCTACCATTATTGTTACAGAAATGGGCATTATCCCTATTTTACGAATATGTATTTGTTAAAAGAACTGTCTGTGTCACCTGTCCTTACACACATACCAAAACACATATCGATTGTGTTACACAGAATTAAGTTAAATCTTGTGAGTAGACAGATTCTTACAAGGATGTGTGTTTTAAAATGACACAATCCCCTATTCTGTGACTGCGAGCACCATGTTTTTGTGTAAATGTCCCCAGGCGCTGATGTTTACTAAATAACTTGGGAGAATAATGGTGTTCCGAGTACTTTGTGCTTTCATTTGACATGCACTTGGATGTTTTGAAAAAGCATGCAACCCTGTTTTTCTACTACTGTAATCCTATCATTTCAGAGTGTTCATCATCAACCACACAAACAATACAATATAACTTAAGTCCAAATATCCCAAAGACTGAAGGGAGGAAGCTGTATTTTGACACGCACACTGTGGTCTGTGTTCTGGAAGACAATGGTGAGATTCCATCTAAACTCAAACAACATACAATTTTATCAATCTATTCATACCATGTTTTTTTCTATTTAAGGCTTCACGACGCAGCAAGCTGAAGCCTTGGTCAGCATTTTGGTCCAAATGTCAAACTCCAATATGGATATTATTTACGCCGACATGGTCACTAAAGTGCAACAGGTGACAAGTCTGCCACTATATGAAACAATGACAACATTATTCATTATTTTCAGTCAGTTATTTCATATTTTACTTGTGATTTTTGCAGGAGATTATGTTGCAGCGAGTAATGTCTCAAATTTCATCTGTTAAGAAGGACATGATTATTCTTGAAAAGAGCGAGTTTTCCACATTATTAGCAGAGAATGAGGTAAATATTTACACATCAATCTGAGTTTTATCATGATAATATTTTTTTTCTCCATAGAAACTGAAAATCCAGTTATTGCAGCTCAAAGTCCAGATTGCAGTGAGTGGTATTTTTATTCAATTAACACAATCTGAGAGCTAGTTCTGCAATCTCAAAACAGTTTGGTTCTGTCACTAGTTTTCTCATTCATGGATTTTTAGCCTCGGTCACATCTTCAGATCACATTTTTCAGAGAGAGATGTTGAAAAGATGACCACCTTCACTCACTCAACTCCCAGCCCAAAGCGTTAAAAAGTACAAAGATAAAATGGAAATAAGATCTGATTTGTCCACAAAGTACCTGCACTTTAACTTTTTGCTTCATTTATTATTATGCTTCAAAAGCAGAAATCAGCGCACACTTCTTCAAAGTGTGTGTTTGTAGGCTTACTGACTTTAACATTCTTAGTACCTGTGTACTAAGAATGTTAAAGTCAGTAATTTCCATATTTAATTCAGAGAAAATTAAATGCAAATTCTTAATATTAGGACAAAACGAATACAAAAACAATATGTTTACGGGGAAATTAAAAGTGGACCCGACATTTTGTGTAGTTTTTTTATTTTTATTAATTCTGTAATTTGGTAAAACTTGAAACTGTTGTTGAAGAGTTTCCACCTCCCATACACAGATTATAAATGTGTGGTCTGTCATTTCTTTAGGATATTATGAACAAAGTGCGCTCTGACAATCTTATGGACATGAATTTGGAGAAAAGTCGAGTAAAGGAGTTGGTGAGTTTTTTTGAAAAATGTATAAATTGCTTTCGGATTATAGCTATTAGTAGTGATAACACTTGCATTTTTGGTTTAATATATTTCCAGAAAGCGGAACATGACAAGAGACTCTTGGAAACACGAACGGAAATAATGGAAATGGTTGATTTTCAGATTTACATAGGTACATTTTGCAACAATAGATAAACGTTGCTCCTAATTTGACTCTTTCCTCAGACTGCTGAACATGAGTGCCACCTCACTCAGACCAATATGAAGATCGACACTGAAGTCGCCGGGTTAAAAACTATGTTGGAGTCTCATAAGTTGGATACAATCAAATATATGGCAGGTACATGTCTTTGATCTCTTGTGTTTTTTATTTCTCAATTCACCTTTATTTAACCAGGAAAGTCCCATTGAAATTAAGAACCGAAATTAAGAAAACAGTGACATATATATTATAAAACAGTTACATACAATTTCATAAAATTACGAATTATAAAAACAGTTACATTTCAATGAGGATGTCTCAAGTGCTCTCAATCTGGATGTAAAAGCATTCAATGAAATATATTCAGATAATTTTCAGTCTTTTTGCAACAAATTGTATAATTGGCCGATGTGTAACGGTTTTGTGCTTTTTAGGGTCGATATTCACATGTCTCACTGTGGTGCTCGGCTTTTACCGTATTTGGATGTGAAAAGAAATGTTGAATTTTCACTGACTCTTTGGAGAATTGGATGCTTCATGTGCTTCGGACTGTGTCAGCATTGTCATCATTGGCTTTTCTAATTGTGTGGTTATTAGGTCTCCGTTTGAGGTGTGCTTGCGATCCAATATTCCATATTTTGTTGTTCATAGTAAATGTTTAGATATTTATTTTAACATTATACATTTTGATTGGCATTTTAACCATTTTATTTTACAGTGCAGCAACATTACTGATTATCACTGTGCCACCTGTTACTCAGGGAAATACTGTTTTTATATATTTTTTGTCCCATAATTAACATTTTATATTTAATTTTCTCTGAATTATATTTGGAAATGACTGACTTTAACATGTTTAGTACTAGTTCAAGCCTACACACACAAACACGAAGAAGTTTGCACTGAATTCTGCTTTTTAAGCACATCAATGATCAGTTAAAATATACATTTATATAAATATATTTTGTAGGCAATGGAAGAACCACTAAAGTTGTTTATCAAGAAAAACACAAAGTATTACATTTATTATGTTTTCACCAGCAATCTATAACACAACATCTACTTCCATGACACTTTTTGAATGAAACACTGTTTTTCATTTTGCTGTTGTTTATATGTGTTCTTATATGAATGGTTCATGTGGTGAATGTCATAATAATAATCATTAATATAAAATGCTCAATGAAAATAATATATATCAGTATGTTCCATATAATAAATGTACAAGCTGCACTAGTACCTCCTTCTGTATCATTGTCCTTTTCTTTTTCTTCTTTCGAGCTAGAGTAAGGCCAATGAAAAGACAGTAAAAACATGGAAGAGATCATTCCGGCACCAACGTTTTTTGTGTCCAGATCATGGATCTATTATAATAACAGATGTCCTGACCATAGGCTGTAAATATGAATACATTTCTCCTGTGTGAGATTAATAAAGTATATCTTTATATATTATCATTGTCCTGACACGTTGCTACCACACGATGGCGCCACACTACAACGACAGGAAGCGCTTTATGCTGAAAGAGCGCGTGCTCTTTGGACAGGAAGTTATTTCATACTGTAGTTTTATTTTACACGTGTGCCACTGTGGTAACTGTCAGTGAAGTGTTATTGTCATATTGAAACTTGTAGGAGTTTAAAATGTTTAAAACAACATATTAGCTGTGCATCAAGGTACGTTAGTTTACTCTTTTACTCTTTTATTTACCTCTTCTCTCTGAATATTTACAGTCTATGCTTCTCTCGCTGGCTACTTTAGTTTATCAAGCTATGTTCTGATTCTAAATTAAATTGTGAATGAACCGTTCAATAGCGTTGTTTATACATTAAATCATTTCAATGTCTAATAACCATGAATCTGGCGATGGCATTTGACCATATACAAACATTTGACGCGTACAGGGCTTTTGGGATTCTCAAAGACGCTGTGCTTATAGCCCTTTATTGTAGCCCTTGTGGAATTATGCACGTATTTCTAAGTGATAAAGTCCACAGTCACAATTCTCATCCATATTGACTGTATTTGTTATTGATACAATTGCAGTGTTTTGTCTGGATCATGGCGGACCCCTTCAGCTCCAACTCTGAGGACCTGATCCAGCGTGTGATAGAGGTCCCTCTGAACACTGCTGCTTCAGGGGACAAACTGGGAGAGCTTTATCAAATCAGCGAGACATGTGAATTCATTACCAAGCATGATTTTAAAAAGGTGACGTACCGTTTATCAGCTGTTGTATGAGATGAAGGCCCAGATGAGGCAATGATGTGGCCATTGTACCAGTATGACCAGCGTCAAGCACTATCTCTCTATAGCCCACAGACGCACTTAAGTCTCTGACTCGCAAGTTCAAATCAGGTCCAGGTCTCTGGAGTTCACCCCTGTCAGCAACTGAACACTGGACACTTAATTTTGGCAATCCGTAACATAGACTTGTTTCTGAAACAATCTCCATGTCAGCACTCTGCTTAAGTGAGAAACTTGTTGAAATGTACAATTTCTGTTTTTTTAATGCCCTAACAAACCCAATTAACATCTTGCAATACAACTGTACAGACACGTGCAATAATTTGACCTGAAACATAGTCTGCTGTTATGGTGTTTATTAAAACAAAAAGGTATTTAAGAAATAATCAGTGTTTAAATAATCAATTATTTGCAGATTGCTCTCCAGTTTCCTGACAATCTATTGGTGGATTCTGTTGCTGTTGCCTCTGAAATAGAGGGAAACACAAAAGCCAAAGTGTACATTTTGGGAGACACATCCTATGGCAGGTAATGCACGTTTGCTTTGATACTTGCACACAAATCGACCAAGTTGAGTTGAATATAAGTTACTCCAACATGCATGAATAGCTCTTAAAACAACTGCAAGAGTGTAAATGAACAGGGAAAACTACTATAAGGATAGTAATAACAACATTATATTATATACATTTCACATTGTATTCTGCCCCCTTTAATGCCATAGTAAGGAACATTCCAAGTATAGACATAAGATCTCCATCTAGAAGCAGGTGGACACTAGGACACAAAGTGCAACAGGAATTATTTTTCTCTTGTTCAGCTGCTGTGTGGATGAGGTGGCTGCAGAGCACATAGGGGCAGACTGCATAGTGCACTACGGCAGCTCCTGTCTCAGTCCCTCCAAACGCCTCCCGCTGATGTACGTCTTTGAGAAACGACCCATTGATGTGGAACAGTGTGCGGCCACTTTTAAGGAGCTGTATCCGGATCTGCAAAGTCACATCGTCCTCCTGTTCGATGTTAACTACGTTCATGCTATTGGTGAGATCTGTGTTTTTCTTTGTGCACACATTCAAAAAGCACTGTCCGGATGTAGAAACGCTTTATGAACCAAAACTATATACAGCAGCATAACAACAAGATGGTCATAAGGACTGTACGCAGAGTTATTTAAATACTAAGACCAGATTTATCCCCAATAGTACCCAGGTGAAATAAGAATATATTTCAAAGGTTGATTTATTTCTGCAATTCAACTTATAACGGGAAAGTAATATTAGGCATAGACTCATTCATGACGTGTGAAATCCAGCCTTTGTTTGTTATTATTTTGATGATTACGGCTTACTATGGAAGCCCGTTTCCGCCATGTAAAAAAAAAATGTTGACTTTAAAACTCAAAATTTCGACTTTAAAACTCAAAATGTTGACTTTAAAACTCAAAATGTTGACTTTAAAACTCAAAATGTTGACTTTAAAACTCAAAATTTCGACTTTAAAAGTCAAAATTTCGACTTTAAAAGTCAAAATTACGAGTTTTCAACTGCGCATGTGCAGTTGAAAACTCGTATGTGTTGTTGTCTGGAACGGTCTCTGGTCATCCCTGTTATAGATCCATGAGCCATGACCATGGGTCATCCTCTACCTGCAGATTATGTGAAGATTTTTCCTACAGACAGTGACCACATCCATGAAGTAGCAGCAATAATGTTGTGGTAGTAATCGCGTTAAAATGCAAACGGTCTCTCCGTTTATGATTAGAATCCGCTTCAGAAGCCTCTATTTAATTTATTCTAAACGGACTGTGGAAGATTAATAAAACACATGCGGCTGTTCAAAGTCATTGAGCATCAACTGGTGACATCTGGTCAGTATCACGCTATCGATGGATGCACCAGAAATGCACTGAATGATATTGTGACTGACAGAGAGACCGTTCGCGATGACAGGACAGTGAGAGAGGTCCGCAGACAGAGGCAGGAGAACCACAGACAGAGGCAGGAGAACCACAGACAGAGGCAGGAGAACCACAGACAGAGGCAGGAGAACCACAGACAGAGGCAGGAGAACCACAGACAGAGGCAGGAGAACCACAGACAGAGGCAGGAGAACCACAGTCACGGGCACTGACAATACCCTTTTGGAATTGCGATCAGTGCATTGAAGAGTATGTGACGTGTTTGCATGCACGCGGGGGTAAAGTTGTTGGCGTATGAGCAAGAACACAGAGACATACAGGGAATAAGTACCTTGTCTGATTATTTTATTGTGACAAAATAAAGCCCACAACTCTTTTAGCAACAATCCGGAGAAATAACTCTGCAGATAACAGTGAGGGTCTTTGAAAAGGGAGTTAAACCCATTATAGATGCATGAATAAAACCCCGTACTCAAAACGTAGAAAGCACATCATTTCAGCCGTGGAAATACTCGCTCCGTGTGGACCCTCTCAGCGTCATCGTCTGGTCAGACGATGATTGGATTGGAATCATGCAGATTGGATTGGAATGTCTCGATGGCTCATTTTCCTTTGATTTATTATAAAAACGTATTGCTCACATTATTTGTTACTATGTCGAAATAAGAAGTCGTTTGATTTAAATGTTGTATATATGTAAATTGAATTTAACATAAATAAATAAAAAGACAGCTCCCCCCTGCCTCCTACGACCGCGGTCTGGGGCTTAAACAGGAAAGTTTAACAGAATCAATCAAACAACATTATTTCTGGCTACTTCAAGGATGCAGTGGTCACTGTCGGCAATATCTTCTCATAATCTGCAGGTGAAGGACGTCCAGAGACCGTTCCAGACAACAACATATACGAGTTTTCAACTGCACATGCGCAGTTGAAAACTCGTAATTTTGACTTTTAAAGTCGAAATTTTGACTTTTAAAAGTCGTAATTTTGAGTTTTAAACTCAAAATCATGACTCTCTGTTTGCTTTTTTTTTTTTTTTACATGGCGGAAACAGGCTTCCATAGCTTACAGACCATTTCCAATGTTTATTTTGGGGTTTCTTTACAAACTGTAAAATTAATTGCAAGCATTTTTAGCAGTGAAATGAAACAAAAGGCTGCTCTAATGTGTTTGTTTAAAAATAGTTATCTAAATGGATAATCCACACTTGGTTGTAATTTTCTCAGCTCTGGAATGCGTACAATAGAAATGTTTTGGTAACACTTGAAAATCAACTAAATACAACAGATTGCCTGTCATGTGTGGTTAAAGATTCTATAAGAAAACTAAAATCTATATTAATTCAATTCATCAGTGGCTCAGTTGGTAGAGCATTGGCCTTTGAGCCTGAAAGTCTTCTATCCCACTTCAAGACCTACTTCATGACTCCCACTGATGTCTACTGTCGCTGTGTCCTTGGGCAAGACACTCAACCCCACTTTGCCTGAAGCCCCCGCTGAAAGATCAAGGCTCCTGTGGACTTACCACCTGCAGGAGGATCAGTGAGGGGCTGGTGCTCTGTGAATTGGGTGCAGCTCTGATTGCCACCCCCCCAACTCAGATATGGATTAAGGGGAAGAAAATAGATGGATGGATGGATCATCAAATTCAATGATTTGTTTTAAGCACATTTAAGTTCTAGTTTACTTCTGTAGCTCTAGTCATACACAAGGCTCTACACCTAATTTCCCTGAAATGCTGAAGCTTTTGATTTTTATCTGACTCAAACAAATTAATTATATTTATTTGATATGACAACTTTGAGCAATAAACAAGCCATTTATCTCACTCTCCAGGGAATCTCCGGACAGCCCTTCAGGTGGAATACCCAAACCTCATCTTCTCTGACCTGGTTTGTGAAGGAGAGACTTGCTTCAGCCACCGCCACATTCAAAACAAACAAAACACTCCAGACCAAGAAAATGCGGTGTCCATTCATCAATTTGGAAGGAGATTTTCCATAAAAAGTGGAGTAACCCTGAAGGACTACAGTATATTTTATATTGGCCAGGAGGGAGCAACATTGACAAACTTCATGATGACTTGGAACGGTTGTGTATTTTGCTCTTTTGACCCGAGCACGAGCACAGGAAGAACTGAATCCATCAAAATCAACCGTGCTTTGATGAAACGATATTACGCCATAGAAAAAGCCAAGGACGCCGCAGTGGTTGGCATTTTAGTCGGGACTTTGGGAGTGTCGGATTACCTGTCTATAATACCCCAGCTGAAAGAGGCCATCCACAAAGCAGGGAAGAAATGCTACATGTTTGCAATGGGGAAGCTGAACGTGCCGAAGCTGGCAAACTTTCTGGAAATAGATATTTATGTGTTGGTTGCTTGTCCGGAGAACTCCTTGATAGATTCAACTGAGTTTTATAAACCTGTAGTGACGCCTTTTGAGATGGAGGTGGCGTGTAATCCCAACCGGGAGTGGACCGAGGAGTATGTGACCGACTTCAGACATCTGCTGCCAGGTTTGATCAAAATCTTATCTATTATTTTACTACATCATGACACAATCCAACGATACTTGCGACTTGTTACACATTTGCCTTTTACAATTTGCGTGATGGCCCTAAAGCCGCCACAGCAGCAGCTAGATATACTCTCAAATCCAGGACACTTTCTATGCCGCAACCTGGCTTCCCGCAAACGTTTTTTTCCTACTTCTTTCTTACTTTTTTTGGTATTTTTTTCTGTAATTGATTTTAGTTTTTCTTTAACTTAATGTTTTTCCATTTCTGATCAAAAGCTGCCAGCACTTTTTCTTTATGTGTTGATCAATCTAATATATCTGCTCTGCATATCTTCAGTGACTCTAGACTGAGTACCTATCAGGACTTTTAGATATTTCTGTTGTGTTGTCTTTGTAATGAGCATTGGTTTTGTGATTGACCCATCCAATCACAAAACCACAAGATGTTCTTTTGATCATCTAAAAATGAATCTAAATTTTTGTCCATCTTCTACTTAGATTCTGTTCTGACATGAACTGTTCCCCTCTCACACATCTTTAGGAGGACAAAGCCATGTTCCTTTGGCAGAGCTGAAAGACTACGCTGAGGCTGACGTGTCCTTGATTTCCGGGGCTTTGAGGCGTCAGTGTCTGGACTCTGAGTCGGACCTGGCTCCAGAAAGCTCCTCTGTGGTTCTCAGGAATCAGACCATGAGTGTAGCCAGCACCAACTCAGCAGGTAAGAGGCAAATAGTATGCAAAGATCCTTACACATGACAGTAATTCTATTTACAGTATAGTTTTTACACATTCCAGCACAGGTTAGTTCTCATGTTTTCCACAGGAGGGAGCGGCGGATCTGTATTTCATAGTTGATACTTTAAAGCCGGAGTAACTTGTTTTGTTTCATTGTTTGTTCCAAGTTACAGAACAAGTCTTTTTGAAGTCAAACTACAACATGCTGTCTATACTATATTAGAAAACATGTATCTGCATACTGAGAGCTGATTGGCTGAGTGGCCTGGTTCATTGAATAAGAGAATCTAAAGCTGTGACAGAGGCCAAAAGCACATGCATTTTATGACATCTATAGAACCAAACAGATTTTAGCGCTAGTAACTAGTTACATGGGGCTTTATTTAGTTTATATATATATATATATATATATATATATATATATTTTTTTTTTATATATATATATATATATATATATATATTCATATTCATATTCATAATGTTTCTATTACTGGTTAGTTTGACATGCCCTGCTTTATCTGTTATACAACTTATACTACCTTTTGATTCTATAAATTTTTCAATTTTCTTTAAGTATTTGGTTCTTTTTTTTTTTTTTTTTTGTAGCCTCTTTTCTGTCCGGGCGCAGCTGGCAAGGACTGGAGAAAAAACTAGGAGAAACGCCTGTCGTCAAAGCAGTGGAAGGCAGAAGAGGGATCGCCATCGCCTACGAGGACGAAGGATCTAAATGACTTTATCTTTTCTGTCACTACTTCACTGCACACTGTTCTCGACAAAGCCACAATATTATTTATTATTATACAGATGATCCACTATCAATGTATTCACATATTTGCACAAGATTTTACTAAAAAGTCACTATCATGTAAAGTGATGTCCTGTCATTACTGTTGTACTGTTTTAGAACACAGCATCTCACCAAAAGTGTGGGTCTAAGAAAAGGCCAAAGTTTGTATGTCAATCATCATAAAAAATCAATTACAATATGTATTTAACATTTATTTACATCATATTCCTTTTAGATGTTAATGATCTGGCTGCTCAGGGATCAGTAGCTCCTCGACAAAAGATGCTGGAAATATTCCCGTATTCTCACCACACTGGCCTTCAATCCATTCCTTGTTAACTAAATGGAAGATGTTATCAAATGGATGCATTACATTTTACAAAAACTAATAATAACTCACTTCTCGACAGTAACACAATCTTGTCCCCTTCTCGAAAACTAAGATCCTCTGGATTTGACGACTCGTAAGTGTAAAGAGCACTGAAGCAGATTTGTGTTTTGTGAGGTGGCTACAATAAAAATGAAAGAATTTTAATACAAAACCTGTTAGTATGTTAAAATGGAATAAAATGCCCAGATGTTTTGTTTACCTCATAGATTTTACACCACATAGTGAGGTGTCCTGCTTTGGCCCGATTCCACACACTTTTCATGTCTGTGTCTGCGTCGATGATGCTGTCCTCTGTCGCCTCTGGGGTCAAACTAAGAAAAAGTGATAAAAATAGTAAAACAAATAGTCCATTGATGTTTTTAGAGAAAGGAACAAGTGAGATTTATGAATTACTTCATTATGTTCCAGGTTTGAAAGCAAGGAACCCCAGCTTTAATCATTTACAAGTAGATAGATTTAAATAAATAAAAATCTATCTACAATAATTATACTGATTTAGTGAGTTTCTCCATTATTACATTTGTTGGTCTTCGACTGTATATTGCTACATTAACTGTTTTACTAATTGCTATTAATCGGTCAATTATTACCTCAATGTCAAAGATGTTGTTTCAAGTTTCAACTTAGAGTTTATTTTGTTGATGAGCACTTGATAAGTCGACCCGAGCGGGACTGCTATGGCAAAGGTAAAGTTGAAGTGGATTTTGACGATACAGTTGTCTGAAGATTGCGTGTCCTGGTGAGAAGAAAAACATTATTCTTATTTATACCCCTTTGAAACACAGAATCTTAATATTCTTACCAATTTTTTATTTGCTCTGCTTTTCTGATTGGGACTTTGATCACCTAGAGAGTAACAAAAACATGTGTAATTCAACACACAATTGAGAGTTTATTACATACCTGTTCGTTTAGGTCTTTTTGGTGGCTCATGTGACGGAGATCTGGGTATAATCTGTTGAATTTTGTCTTATTTAAACTTATGTAACATGCTTTGGTTATTAATGTTATTACTACGGAAGCTTGTTAGGTTCACTTGTGAGTGTGTTTTTTTCCCGCTGGTATCATGTTATTTCATGATACTTTCATGAAATAACATGGTAAATATCATGTTATTTCATGATACACAACTACCTTGTTATTTCATGATACACAACTATCATGTTATTTCATGATACACAACTATCATGTTATTTCATGATACACAACTATCATGTTATTTCATGATACCAATTTATCATGTTATTTCATGATACCAGTTTATCATGAAATAACATGATACTGTAGATACAGAAGAAGAAGCTGTCAGCTTCTGCTAAATAGGTATCATGAAATAACATGATAGTTGTGTATCATGAAATACCAAGGTAGTTGTGTATCATGTTATTTCATGAAAGTATCATGAAATAACATGATAAATTGGTATCATGAAATAACAAGGTAGTTGTGTATCATGAAATAACATGATAGTTGCGTATCATGAAATAACATGATAAATTGGTATCATGAAATAACATGATAGTTGTGTATCATGAAATAACATGATAGTTGCGTATCATGAAATAACATGATAGTTGTGTATCATGAAATAACATGATAAATTGGTATCATGAAATAACATGATAGTTGTGTATCATGAAATAACATGATAGTTGCGTATCATGAAATAACATGATATTTATCATGTTATTTCATGAAAGTATCATGAAATAACATGATACCAGCGGAAAAAAAACGCACTCACAAGTGAACCTAACAAGCTTCCGTATATTACAATAGAAAACTCACCTCAGGTTTTTTAGAAGTGGGTGAAATATCCAAAGGTTGTAGGTAATTGAGAGGAACAAGTCCCTTCTGAAATAGTCAGTTTTGATTAGATAAGTACAGAAATGATATTGACTAAATATCTACACTCAAAGCTGGAGAACCTTTTAAGCCATTTATTATTAGAATACATGGGATCTTTTACATACTGGGAGCTGATTGGATGAGTCGGGCTGGTCAAAAAAAACAGGCCAAATACAAATCTGACAAATGGTGATAGAACCAAGCTTTTTTGAGATGGATTTTATTGCAGTTAATAAAAGTTATAGTGTGCCCCAGGGCAGCTGTGGCTACAGTAGTAGTTTATCACCATCATGTTTGGAGTGAAAGAATAATGACATATAAAGCGCTATATAAAACCGATGCTTTATTATTTTCTATTATTAGATGTGGTTTCAATGTTAGGTACCCCAGCTTTTGTGTGAGAATGAAGTTTGTGGTCTTACTCGTCCGTTGAAAACCACTGACGCCCAGTTGTCTTCCCCTTTTTGAAGCACGAACACAACATTTCCTGGGACGACGGCCAACTCATCACTGGTTTCAGGAATGAACTCGAATAAAACAATGTGGGGTTTTCCTTCCAAAGCCCTAAAAAAGCAAAAGCATGTAATGGTATAAAAAAAATAAAAAATTTGGAAAAGTAAAAGTGTTTGGTTTTACTTAAAGACTTCGGGTTCTTTGGGCGTCACAGGGCCATCTTGCACCTGTCAAAACACCACACCTCTATTAATGCTTCTAGGGCTCATTTACCAAATAGAAACTCTTTCTAAGAATCCTATTTTTAGGATTTGAATTCATTTCCAATCCTTTACAGCGTTCCTAAATATGCTCTTTGTTCAATTTAACAGAAGATTTTTGTTTTATTATTTAAGTTGAAGGCTATATTTTTTTTTATTATGTAAAAACTAACCATTAGCAAATTATTTTACTTGTCCAGTCATATTTTCTCAAATCAAGAAAATATGAGTAATTCAAGTACTTTTTACCCATCTAAATACTCCAGTGTTTGGGCTGTCATTACTTTACTCAACGTTCTATAGCCACTAAAATATAGTTGCATCAGAGTTCAATTACCTGCGGCTGTAATGGTGCAAAGCCAGAAAACTTATCCTGTGGAATTACTGAAGCTACAATCTAAAACAAAGAATATCATCAAAATAATGTTATAGCTTTTGTTATTATAGAAATGTCTGTATGATTGTTACCTTTGCTTTCCCCAGATAGTCTTTCTTCTCCAGCTCCTTCACATAGTTCTTATTGGGCCTGAAAAGCTCGGCGGATGTGAACTCCACAAGTTTGAACAGCTTTTGTTTCTAAGTTCAACAAAACTTTGATAAATACAAACTTTGCACAAAGAATAGGAAATCTGTGTTGTCTGTCGGCTCCACTGGATCCATATAATTCAATTACTTGTGACATTTCCTGGAAAATTGCACACAAAAGAGAGTAGTGTTGTAGTGTGGACAGAGGGCACTGACCAGAATAGACTGAAAGGCTTTGTCGATGAGGTTGAGTTTGCTCTCGGTTCTGTAGTCCTGAGCCTTCAACAGGTTTTCTTGGGCGTTTTTCCAGTTTCCCAAATGAGCTTCAGCTAAAGCCATGTTGTGAAGAACCTGGATCGAATATTTACATAAATAGCATCGCATTTAAGCACAATCTTTTTTTTTTCTTGCAAGAAGGTGAAGAAATTCAGACATACTGTTTTATGGCTTTCTCTATTAGCGCTTAGGTCACAAATAACATTACATTATAGAATGCTTGATTTTATAAAGCTGGTACTTCAAAAGATAATTAATTATTTTACTGTTTGTTTTTATTATCTCGTCTGTTTTTGGTGAATGTAAACTTCAGATTTTCACTATGTTTGAGGCGCTTCCAAGCACCAAGCACCACACATGCTTAGAAAATATAATTCTAATGTAGCCACAACTGCCCTGAGGTAGTTTAAAGATAGCAAAACACAAGCCGTTCCAGCACCAGACTTTGACCAGACAATGTAGTTGAAATGTCTTGCCTAAGGACACAATGACAGTTTTAAACTCTTAAGTCGTCTGTGGCACTTGTATAAGATTACAGAACATTTATTCAGCCTGTAGTGGTCTCCCATCACAGTACTAGCCGGCCTGGCACTGCTTAGAAATCTTACAGGCAAGCATAGCGAGTGCTGTTGCATAAAGGAGTGTCATAGCTGATAAAGTGTCAGTGATGTGCCCCCAGAAAAGCCCACTGGTTTTGTGTCAAGTACCTCACACGCAAACAGCTTGTACCGCAGACCGAGAGCTTTGTAGTCGATCAGCTGGTTTCCCCGGAGTGCTTTGTAAGCGTTCGTGAAGTCTCCCAAGCACTCCTCAAACCTTTAACAAAATGTTCTATTCATTAATTACAACTACCGCAAAAAAGTATTTAAAAAAATGTCTTTAAGTCTTTTAGTGATTTTGTATCTAAAACCATCATACTGTTTACTGACATGTTATAACTGGCTACATTCATTCCATACACAGCACTTGGGTCATTTGGGTCACTGATGTCTCACCTTTCCTTTTTGTAGAAAGTAATTCCTCTTTGAAAAAAGGCCACAGCCAGGTGTTCGTCTTTGCGTATGCTGCCATCAAAAGCCTGCAATAGGAGAGAGAATATTATAGATCCATTGAAAACAAAAATACATTTGCAGTGGATAGTTAATAGCATTGTTTTGTGAGATTTCATAACACTTTGAAGCAACTTTTGTTAAAGTTAAACTCATCATTCTATCAATGTGCAGAAGCCTGTACTTTTCCCTTGTTTTGTCTATCTGAAGGCCAAGCTACAAGCACACCGTGGCAGCTGCTGATTGGAGGTCTCCATGCCTCAGCTCTGTATAATACACTTGCATTCTGTTGTATCTGTTGATCGTGCTGTCTCTACCATTGACAATAAAACATGTCTTCTGTCTGAATTTAAGACGCGATCCCAGACTTTGTCATCTTCTTCAGTTTTACCAATGTTGTGTTTTTAAGACATTTGTGTTTTCTGAGGAAAACATGGCAACTTCTTGTTTTTCATCGACTTGCACTGACAATATAGTTCAGCTTTTCATTTTTATCACCAGCATTTACTTAATATGTTGTTATAAGTTATTTGTTTGATCTGTTTCACGATTGGATTTAACCATAACAGACCCATAATAACACAACCAAACCATGAAACGTGCAAATTCTGCCTTAGTGATGAATGAGGATACCTTTTCTGCTGCATCAAAATCACTATTGAGAAGATGGAGGCAGCCAATGTTGAAATAAATCTTGGAGTTTGGTTCCTCTATGGCCAGGAATATTCTGAGTGCTTCTGGCAGGTTCTTTTCATCCACAAAAGTCACAGCCTCGTCCCACTGTCGCAGAGTGTCCACAAACGACATGGTGTCTTCTCTAAATGCAACAGCGAAATACCAAATCCAGGAAATTTGTGATTTGTACCTGACAGAAGAGGAAGTGTGTGATTACAAAATCATGTGGGTCAGTTCTTGTTTCTAGCACTTTTGAAACATCTGTCAAGTCAAGTTGTATCTGTGTGCAACTTTTAGGCTCAGTGTTATAACTACTGTAAGGAAAAAGAAGACTTGTGAGTTGAAAGTTACAAAGCATACAAAACAAAACAAAACAAAACATACAATAAAGCTGGGGTACCTAACTTTAAAACCACAAATTAGTATTGTATCTATCATGAGTTATCACATGCTTATTTTTTAGTCTAATACATAATTTGATCAGCTTTTTTGGACAGAAAACTGAAAATGGGAAGATCGCCCTCACTCAGCTAATTAACTCGAAGTAAGTAAGTAATCTTTATTTATAGTGATTACAAAGTGTCTAAAAACTAAATTGTTGGGACAAATAAAATACAATATTTTTTTTGAAAGTTACATATCAGAGCTTTAGTCATTTACATTATCTATGCTTATGTATGGGACAGTGTATATTTTGAAAAAGGGGGGGTATTTAATTTATTAAAAACGTGTGCACTACTCCATTACATCAACATTTTTCATATTTAATTATTTTTTTAATCATTTACTTTCAAAGGTATGAGTTGAATACAAAAAAAGCAATGATATGTATAAAACAAAACAAACAAATCTGAATCTTTATTTTGTAAAACTATCGTGTAGTTTTATTTTGTAGTAAAGGACACACTTCCGTTTTCTTATGACTCATTGTGCCTTGATGAAACAAACATGGCTCTGCAACATGTCCAAACAACCTTAACAAATCTGGGGATAACACTGGGGGTAAATATGTGACAATTACTTTTGAATCAGGAAACTTCACGTTGTACTTGATGTCATCTTAAACCGTGCGAGTGTGAGCAGACTTTTGTGCTCGTGTTTACACAGAGGTAGCTGCAGCTTATTGGCTAAAGTAAGCAGCGAGCAAAAATGGACCTTGGATCAATGTTGTACAATAATTTAAAAGATGTTACATGGAGTACGACGTCCCTGTCTCTGGATCAGCTCGTCGGCACCTACAGGTTACCTCAGATCGCCAAACTAGACAGCGGTAAGTCACTTTTGGACGTGTGTCAAGTGGCATGTTGCTAGCTGTTAGCCAAAGTTGCTAAGTTGAAGCTAAGTGTAACTAATGTCATGTTTGTGAGAAAAAAAGTCACGTTTTTTCTATCTATGATCATTTGGATAGGCATAATATTGGCCACGTATAACACAAAGGCTTCATTTAGATAAGTGGTAATCATTATAATTTATCCACTTTATTTTGTCTTATTATTAAAACCAAAGTTTGACAGTAACATTTATATATATATATGTTTTATGTATATATGATTGTGCCTTTACTTAAACTATGAATAGAATTGCATCACTCAAGATGACTGCTGTGAGTTTATAACTTTATGATAAGTAAACATGTCATATTCTGTGTATAAGTGTATCTATGCAAGTTGCTATTGATATTAAACATTTCATTGGTAGATCATAAATCTCAAACTATTGTGGCAGACACTTGTGGGTGGAAGAGTTAATGAAACATAGACCAGTCTATTGACTTGTTGGCAATATTTATTTAGCAAACATGTTTGTGGTCAACCTACCCAAGCAACATTTTTGTGCCTCCCACGCTTAGATCACTGATTTTAAGTTTCATGATTGCTTGCATTACTACATTTATTTTGTATTTGGACATTTTGGACTGGCGCCTTCTTCATTGAAATGCTGTGTTGCTTTTAAGAGCAGTATAGATAAAGCCATTAGACGCTGTCAATAAGTGATGTGGAGCGAGTGTGCTGAGTAATCCAGTGCTTGGGCCCGGCTGGTGCATCAGGACAACACAGGCTTTGTTTGGCAGACAGATTTATTAATTTCTTTGGTAAAGACAATAAAAGAATAAACAAATTCAATGCAAAAGAAAGTACTTTTACACTATTTATATTCGTAATGGCGATACATAGTTGGTCATTGTTGATTATTACACGCGGAGTGAGATGTAAGGTTTTATTTGTTGTAGTGTTAATAATGTCTTATAGCTTATAAAAACTGTCAATGCTGATTCTAAAGAATAGTTGAACCTGGACAAATCGCACACAGAATAAGTTCAGATATTCTTTTATACTTGGTAGTCTTTTCAAGGAGAAATGACTTTCAGAGGACAGTGTTTAGCACAACCTCATCCAGAGCAATTCTGACCCAGGCCAAGCAGCAGATAGGTTTAATTGGAAAAGAGGACACCCTTTCATCATATGCATATAATGGTGGGACCAACAGAACAAAGGAACATGTAGTTGCAAACCAGGTTTTCTCATGGAAAAATGTATTAACATACAAGCTTACACAAAGCCTTATGAGAGGCATACAGTTCACATGAAACATGAATAAAACATGGTTGGGTAAAGTTGTGGCATGATCTATTTGCTACAAGATTAAGTTATTTGAAGGACTCATATTGTAATATGTTTCGTTAACAAACCAGGCACGTTCTCAGTTTTTTGTTTATGCATCTCATAACGTACGCTTGTTCAGCCTGTTCTCTATTCCACTTTTCTCATTTCAAATTGCCTTTCAAAAGGAAATGTGTATTCTTAGTGTTGAATTTTATCAAATACATTTCCCCAAAAATGTGACTTATACTCTAATTCGATTTAAATGTTTTTTTTTTCATCTTAAACAAACATTTTCGGCTCGTGCGATTTAAACTCCAGAGCGATTTATAATCTGAAAAATACAGTAATCACAATTCATTAAATAGATAATCTAAAATAATTTTCTTAATAAAAAGGAAAAAAGAAACATGAAAATTACCTATAGCTAAAACAGGTAGCTAAATATATAAAACTAAAATCATTAAATAATTATAACAAAGGTTTGACATGTGTCAGTTTGCATGTAATAATTCTATATCATAATAGTTTCACATTTTAGTTTGAATTACAGAAAAAACGAAACAAAATAAATTCACTTTTAAGTTTCATCTGTATACATTCGAGGCTAGCAATAATTTGACTGAAATTTCATCTTTTTAGTAGTTTCAACAAACCACAGATATTTTGTTTGCAAACAAATAAAAGTTACTGTATATCACAAATGTTAGAAATGTCTAAATATTGTTAAAATATCTTCTTTGATTAGTTTTAAACTCATGTTTTCAGGTCAGCTGGTGGAAGGGCTCAGAGAAAACGACTACCTCTTGATTCACTCATGTCGTCAGTGGACGACCATCACTGCCCACAGCCTGGAGGAGGGACACTACGTCATCGGACCGAAGATCGAGATCCCAGTTCACTATGAAGGTGACCCAGACTTACATTAGTGATCCCGTGGATATTGAGTCATTTAATTCCCTTTTATTAGCTGTACTTTTTCTTTAGCGTTGTTTTTATATTGGGCCTGCCACAATAATTACTTAATTTATTATTATGACTTACTGAAAATTGCTAAAACAAATTAGCATTGGAATTTGATTTGCGTCTTATATTCAACGTTAATGGAATAAGTATTGCCTGGCTGTAACAAACCGTAAAATCCGTTCAATTAGTATTTCCCTACATGTACCTGGTCGGATGCGATACAACCAAGTAACGGATCAAAGTGACTGCAGTTACCTCGGTTGTATCACATCCAACCATTCAGCGAGTGGGGGAGGCGGGTGCTGTAGGTAGGTGTTGGTGGCGTCAAGAGTTTGCTCCGAATTTGCTGGTTGAAGTTTGGCAATGGTGGCAAATGTGATCTGTAATCCGTTCTGGTTCGTCTCCCAATTATCAAGAAATTGAAACTGGAGCAAATGGAATGTTTAGCAAATGTTATTGCTGGCAAATATGTTGTGGCTCTACTCTCCATGAGCTCTGTTAGTGGCAAAGGAGATGGCTGAAGCTAGGCTGAATGCCTCACTCCTCACTCCAGCGCATTACATACATCACAGCAAACTCGGATTCAATCATTTCCATCTGAAAAAGGAGTTAAACGCAAATCCACACCTTAGTATAACAATAGTACAATGGTGTTGTAAGAGCAGGTTAGAATTAGCCTGGCTCTACAACACCATAGTACAAATTACATTTTGTTCTAAGGTCTGGAGGTGCTCCATTGAGCTCCGTTTACAGTTGGGAGGGGTTAACTCCTTTTGCAGATTGAAACGATTGGATCTGAGTTCACCATGACGTATGTAATGCGTCCGAGTGAGTCGTTAGCATTTAGCCTAGCCATCTGCTTTGCCGCTAACGGAGTCCGTTGGGAGTAGCGCCACAATTTATGCCAGCGATTACATTTGCTAAACATTCCTCTTGCTCCGGCTTCAATTTCTTGATAGAACCAGACTGTATAACTTTACTATCGCATTGTTCGGCATTGCCAAACTACAACCTGCCCGTTCGACGCAAACTCTTGACTAACTACAACCCCTCCCGCACTCGCGATTGGTCAGATGGAATTCAACCGATTGTAATCGCTAACACAGGGACCAGACCCAGACGTTGCATGCAGGGAAATGAAGGCCAGGCTAGGTTAGAATAAGTATAAAATGACTAGCAGTTAAAATTGTGTTCAGTTAAATTATTATGCACTGGTATTCATAGCACACTTAATTATAATTTTTTCACAATTGTTTTATTTTAAAAGTTATCAAACATTTGCATTTTAATGATTTCCATCATGACAGGACAATTTAAGCTTCTGGAGCAGGACCGAGACGTGAAGGAGCCAGTGCAGTACTTCAACAGTGTGGAGGAAGTGGCCAAAGCGTTTCCTGAGAGGGTTTACGTCATGGAAGAAATTACATTCAATGTCAAGGTCTGCCTGAGATCAAATACTTGACAACAAACCATTTTACCTTCAAGGGCAGCCTGCAGTAGTTTTATACTACTTCTAATCCAAACTATTTTGAGATGTTGTTTACAGATTAATTTGATTGCATATTGAATAGTAGCCAATTACATTTATTTTTTCCAATCAATCTAATCGCCACCATGCTACTATGCCCTTACTGTACATGTATTGTATTTGTACTTGCAGATGGCCTCTGGTGAATGTAATGAAGACACTGAAGTTTACAACATAACTCTAAGCACTGGAGATGAGCTGACACTAATGGGCCAAGCTGAAATCCTTTACGCCAAGTCCTCTAAAGAGAAGTCCAGATTCAACACAATATTCAAAAAGATCGGGAAGCTCAACTCCATCAGTAAGATCTGCCGGGGAAAGATGCCGTGTTTGATTTGCATGAACCACAGAACCAACGAGAGCATCAGCCTGCCTTTCCAGTGCAAAGGGCGCTTCAGCACTTGTAGCCCTCTGGAGTTACAGATGCAAGACGGGGAGCACACCATTAGGAATATAGTGGAAAAAACGCGCCTTCCTGTCAACGTCACGGTCACGAGCAGCCCTCCGAGAAACCACCACGACCTCCATCTCATCCGCGAAGGCCACCGTTACAAACTGGTCAACATCCAAACCAAAACAGTGGTGGTCTGCTGCCTTTTACGGAGCAACAAAATCCTCCCCGTTCACTTCCACTTCCAGCCCTCCATGCCCAAGTTCATTATCCCAGAGGAGCTGGTTCAAGGCGAGCTGTGGCTGGAAACCATGGTGCACCGCTGGTTTTCCTTTTGTCAAGAGCAGTTCGACATCGACGACTATTCTCGAGCGGTGCGGGATGTGCGCACAGACTGGACCGACGAAGGGAAAAGCCCCAAGAAAAAAACGGCGAATGGGAGCAGTAGCGGGAGCAGTAGCGGAGGCAGCTGCAACTCCAACGGGTGTCCCAATCACATGCACGTCCCGAGTTCGTTAACGTACGCCCGGGAAGAGCTGACGCAGTCCTTCCATCGCCTTTCTGTGTGCGTCTACGGCAGCAACTTGCATGGGAACAGCGAGGTGAACTTGCAGGGATGTATGACTTTATGTGGAGACTGGACTCTGCTGCCCTCAGACAGTGCCCCGGTGGAAACGGGGGAGAGCGAGCACTTTTTCTCACCGCTTTTGGAGAACTCGAATCCGACTCTCAACAGGTCCGACGTCTCGTACGAAGAGCTGTGGTTGGATCGAATGGGAACGCAAATACCCAAAAGCAGTGAAGGAATAAGGGGCATAAACAACGGCTGTAGTATGTCCGCCGCACTGCCATACCCAGGTCCCTGCTCCCCTACACCTTTGGATATCTCTCTTACACCGCCGCCAGTGCCACCCAAATCTGAAGCCGTGAGTATTATAGTACATTTGTATAATTTTATTACTGTAACGTGGTCAATATAAATGTTTGGGCTCTAAAACTCAAGCACCCGCAGCACATGGTGAAGAGTGTCCCTGTTCCTGTAGAGTGAAACGTTTGATGCAATCATTAGAAGGTTTCACATAATCTAATTTTGGGGAAATAGGTTTGATTACAAGTTATTGACCATATGCATCGACGTCATCCAGTCACGTGATTGTTAAGGAGCTTACGGCGGAAGTAGTGGAAACTAGCATTGCGGCGAGAGAAAAACGGACACAACTCTTAAAAACTGAGACTCGTCTCCTAAATCGAGACGTGGCTGCTTCAAGCACATGTTCGATTACGTTTTCGGTGAAAGTAGGACATCTTGTCAGGGTTCACAAAGAGCGGTATTTGGAGAAGTTAAGGATGGCTGAGCTGGATGTTGACTCATACCTTCTCCCCCTAGTCCATTTTATCGATTAAATGAAATGTCCAATGTTTGCCCGAGTTCACCCCACATGGTCTTTATCATTATGTCGTTAACAATGCATCTCCTCACACTGGAGCAGATTTATATGCACATTTTACTGGTAGCATTAGCACATTAGCAATGCACTTTTCTGTCTACAGCCAAACATGATACATATTGACAGAGAGGAAAACAGTGAAAAAAGCAACTGACGTCTAAGATCAGATTGATCTTTTATTTGTGCCACAGTGAGGAAATTTCAATCTTTCAGCGCACATACAGCACAGTAGTAAGAGCACACGTTTGACTTCAAGTGTTTGTTGTGTCATTGTCCTCCAAATAAATTAATGGAAAGAGAATAAATACAAAATTGTGATTGATTTATCTTGTAAAAAGTAAAAAAGTGCAAGATAAATAAAAAAACTGCATATTGGGGAGTACTTGGATGGCTCCCAGTCCTTTTGGTTGATTGCCGCCATCGTTGTCTTCTGTTTTCATGACGAGAAGGTATCAGATAAAAGACTCATGTCCTTGCCTGTTAGTACAACCAACCGCACTGCCAAATATCACAGTTTTGGCTGTTATTCAGTGAAACAGGTTGTTTTGGTGAAGTTTCCGAAGGTTCGCAGTTAGACTTCCGCCGTCTGTCATGAGGAGTGGGCGTGGCCGGGACGTCACATGCACGGGGTCAATACTAAAGGAATATAATCATGTTTGAATCTTACTTCAATTTTTGCACCCAAGTCTCTATTTCAAATGTGTAGATCGATCAACAACGACAACTGGATTACTAGTATGACACTTACAAATGAAAAACTGTTCTTCTCCTCAGGTCAAAGAAGAATGCCGACTTCTGAACGCTCCCCCCATCCCTCCCCGCAGTTTAAAGCAGATGCCGTCAGTGCCCATTTTATCCAAACCTCGACAACAAGATACTCGCTCTCCAAGTCCCACTCTCTCCTACTACTCCTCCGGTCTACACAACATGTACGATTCAGAAAAGCATTCCTCTTTATTCTCTCAACTTTTCAAACCAACAATTCAAAGCAATATACTATGGTATATAATGTAATGGAAATGGCAGTCAAAAAGGCCATATTGTAGTTCATACTGTTTATGAAAACTAATTGAAACAATATTGTAGCTTGTAGATACTATGTTGTCTCCTATCAGACCCGTGTTCTTCCGAGGGTTAGAGAGTTGGACACAAGAAAGACTTGAACAAATATTTTTGACTGTTATTTCCTATGAAATGCAAATTGTTCAAAAAAAAACAAGGGGCTCTTTGCAGTTGGAGTTAGTATACTAGCGTTTAGATTGAAAATTGTGCCTGCATCCGAATTTCCCATACTTAAAAATGTTTGCTTTTATGAGACTGGGTATCTCCTGGTTACGTCTAATGAAAATGAAAACATTTTAAAGGTATTTTTAAATCCACCTGAGTCAAATTGCAGGCCAGGTCAGACATGAGAAGTTGTGACAAGTGAAGGATGGGAAAGGATGTTTTATGAATTCAGATGCAGCTTGTTTATGAAGAAGCACTTGGCAGTCTGCTCCAGTTTTAGTTAGATCCGGGGCCATAGGGTGGGTGGACACTTTGCACCTCCATAGACCTGAAGAAGACTTATTACACAATTTTAAGATCATGATCGCAAATGTAAATATTACATCCCTGCTTGCTAATATTTAAATTTCTGTTTTTCTTGGTAGAAGCCCTGGCAGTCCTGAGCAAGATGCCCCAGAGCCTGTTGACCAAGGCCAGGTGTGCTACCCCTGCAACTGGTCTAAAACAAAGTCCAACAGCCTGGAGCCTCCTGCCACCACGCTACCAGCTCCGCTCCCTTCTGAAGGCATGTCGTCCCGTTTGTCCTGGCCCAACCACCTCACCAGAGAAGATTCACAGTGCATGGAGGAATTCCTACCATCCAGCTCCAGAAGTTACTTCAGCTACCCACGGAAAAGGACCTCGAGCAGTCAAAAAACCTGCTCGTCCAGCCTGCTTGACTTTGATGGACGGGATAAGTCTCACGCGAGCAGAAACGCAGAGCTGCAAAAGGTGTCTATTAATCAGTTTTGCGTCAAATCCTCAAGCTTCAACTCAGAGATGCACAGGGACAAGCCGATAGAGGAATCCAATGCCAAACAAAGCTTATCGTGTCCGAGTTTGCCACCAAGGACACTAAAACCTCACACTATGAAAGCAAGAGCGGAGGAGGAGTTTACTTGTGAAACTAATGAAAATCCTGACATTTGCGTCGAACAAGAAGCAACTGAAGCCAGTAATAATAATCCTTCTAAATGTCCAGAATCCTGTCCTGCGTTACAATGGCAGCCACCGTCCAGCCTGGCAGGTCTTTCCATTGAAGAAGTTTCTAAATCCCTCAAGTTCCTCGGTCTACCGGACGACATCGTGTCTCTATTTGTGTCCGAAAAGATTGATGGTAATTTGCTCATGCAGCTCACGGAGGAGATTTTATCTGAAGACTTCAATCTGAGCAAACTGCAAGTGAAGAAACTCATGCAGTTTATGAACGGGTGGAGGCCAAGATATGACTGTGTGTGATGCTAAAAACCTGGCCAGTTACGCGTTTGGACGGAAACTTAAATAGAATGCAATAATAGGACTCAGAAAACAAAGTATACTTGATTGGCTCAATAATGATATCATTGATGTCAAGAACTGAGGATGGGGCCTTATTCTTCTCTGAAAAATCAAATTCCAATCACTCAAAACTTAAACACTTTTCTCGAATAACGTTGACATAGTTGTTTTTGATCCATCCATCTCATTTTAAGGCCCAAAAATAATGCATAATATTTCCTCTTTGAGCCGTAGAACATCAACATTTCTCAAATACATTTGAGCAGCAATAATAATTTGTGAAAAATAAATTTGTTTCCTAAATTAGCTACGAAAAAGTCCTTTATACCCTTAAAGTATATTTGATAGTATTGATTTGATATGCTGATTATTGCATTCTGTGTTTGGAGTTAGTTCTTGCCTTCAGTTTGTCTGCTATGCACAAAGCAGTTCTGAACTTATTTTCTTGTTACTTGTTTGTGAGAAGGACAGTGGGGTTATTCGCCTCAAGTGAAGTTAAAACATTTAGCACTTTTTTTTCTTAACAGTAAGACATTTGAATCATACTTTTATTTTTGAAATGTTATGCAGTTATGAAAACCAGTATGCAAATGGTTGGAATTGTACAAATTACTCCAGAAAAGTTTATTGTTAGAAGTTTGATAATTTTTTTGCACTTATTTGCAGATTGGGGCCGGTGCTACGGCTATTGCCAAATTTCAAAAAATACATTGTTTTGAACGTAAATGAGACCGGAATCAACATTTTACAACAATAAAACAAAAGTCAACAGATCATAGTAAGAGTAAAAGTTAAGTGTTGCTGTTTTCTGCGATCTTAGAAAAATGGAACCTTAAAAGCAAAGCATTGGCTTCTCCGTGAAGACGAGCCGGCGGAACAGCCTCCATCAGAAAGTTTACATTGGGTTCCTCAAACACTGTTCCTCTATTGGTCATTGGTGCCAAACAGTAACGCAAGATTCCCTTCAAAAACCCTAGTTTCTAATCTCCTTGAAATCCATCGTGAGAAGTTTTACAATTCATTTGTTGGAAGTTTTACAACACAAATACAAGTTTAAACTGTCTACATTTAAACACAATTACTCCATCTACTCCGTCTTTGGCCATTCTTTCATGTGAAAGTCAAATAAGCTGTGTTACTTTCTTTTAGATAAGATTTTGCTAGAATCCTGAAAATCAATGATCTTGAAATATACAGGGGTCAAATAAAGTGACCAGAACACTTTTTTTTTTCTCTTCTTTAAATAATAACTTTAAGACTTTTGAGTCGGTACCATTTCTCATGGTTGTCCTCCTAAGTGTCCTAAAGGAAGTAAAGACGAAACATTCTATGCCTTAATCCTGAAACCTTAATTTGTACTACTTACCAATATGGTAATCATTCAGATTTTGGTAAATATATGTTTGTATTGGTCTATCAAATGAATCGAAAAACTAACTAAAACCAACTTCAATATTTTCCCACCAAAGTAAAAGCAATGATTTTGTGTAATTATCTTTGCAAATGTTGCAGCACATGTGACATCAATTATGTGGAAGCCTTTTTCCTCAATACTTGGGGAAACCTGATGCAGATTTGGAAGCATGTGTTTTCAGCATTTAATTGTATAAGAAAAAATGCAACTTGTACAAGTTCTTTAACAAAAACCTGAATTATTAATTTAGCAGGTATTCTGCCCATTTTGCTGAGTCTAAATCTCAAAGTCATTTTAAAGGTACTTTTTAACCTAAGGTTTCTCCATGTGCTAACACTACACTGTACACCAAATGCTAATACCCTCTATATTTATGCAGTAACTTAAAAATACAAAAGTATGCATTCTTTATCTTTTAAAGCAATGTTTTTTATTTGTTTTTGCCACTTGGCAATTGTGTCTTGTGGTGTTACATATTTTTTGATATTTTTTATGTCAATAGTATTTTATATAAGAAAAGTAATTACTAATGCAGAATATTCTAATGACAAAGCTTATGTTCAAATGTGTTGTTTCTTATACACTTTGGGTATTTTACGATGTGAGTAAATAGTTTTAATGAGTCAGTCACACACAGCTACGAATGCTAAAAAGCCATGTATCAAAGTCATTTTCTCCATTTGGTTTGTTTGGTTTCAGGTTTTGTCCTCATGTAATTTATAACTACTCCAGTGATTCTAAAACTGACCACATCAAATGCGAACCGCTCCACTGTGGACTAAAATATGCATCACTTTCAGTGTGTTCAAAGCTTTAAAGAAGACGTATTATGTAAACTGACATTTAGCTTTTCACTATCTGACAACATTGTTCCTTCAACAACGATAGACCTGAAGTTGTTTTCAGATCTATCTGCACTAACATGAAGAACTTCAAGCACAAACATTACTCTGAAAGTCCTGTAATTCACTGTCTGTATATACGTCAAGCTCAGAACGCATCATTTTCCCTTGATACTTGTCAAATACTTTCCACTTAAGATTTTTCACATTATAAAACCTGAAATGACAAAGTATCATAATCATTTTCAATTGTCCAAATATGTATTCTTTAAAACAGATTTCCAAGCAATGAAGCAGCCCATTGAGTCAAATAGTGCCTCACGTAGTTGACATAATTTAAGATACATTTTAATTAAACTTATTTTGCAGATTTAGTTACAAGGTTTAGTGGTTGTAGTGGTCATAATTACAATTATAATTGAGCCTTTGTAAAGTGAATACTTTGCCCAAGTAAGAAGTAAACCACTTGTGCTACTGAAGCATGACTTAAAGGCTACACCTGATTTAATGCAAACTCTCAAAACAAAAGGTGTTTGTTGTACGTGCTCTTCAGTTTGAGAACCACTGGAATTTGTAGTGTTGAAAACAGCCATCTCAGACAAAAGTATTAACACTGTCATTATCAATAGAAACAGGATTGTCACCACGGTACTCTTAATGAGAAGCATTTAATACAGAAGTATTGGTCAAAACTACAGGAGGTCTTTTGTCCTCTCGTTTTCTTATTTTTAATGGTATTATCTATTAAAACATTTACTAAAACCCATTTTTATTTTTATGTTTGACTCCAATGAGATTGCAGTAACAATGCACATGTGTCAGTCAGTTCCAGTTTCTATCCCTGTTAAACATACCACCTTTGCCATTTACAGAATGAAGAATATAGTGGCTTTTGGAAATGGATGGTTATTAGACTCGTACATAAAGTACAAGCTCTTACAACAGATTGTCTTTGGGAAATCATCGACAGGTTTCGCAAGAGTTCTGTTTTTGCAAGAGGTAACAGTTTGAACTTGTGGCCAGGAAACGGCTCCTGAACCCAGACTCTTTAGACAAACCAATTACATTTCAACAAAAACTATGATAATAATAAAAAGATAAATGGAGACTTATCTAACCACTTGTGCTGTGTGGTATACATTCCACACAACACAAAAACAAAATATTTGTCCGCCTATGATATTTGATCGATATTATCACGATAAAAATTGTATCACAATATGACTATTATCGATATATTGGTCAGAAATATACAATATGCCAATTTATGGCATAAATAAAAAAAAAAAAACTTTATTTCATGATAAAAAGAATGGAGATGCGTAATGTAGCCATATATTGAGTATTGATACCAATTAAAAAATAATAATTTGTAAACAAACAAAAAAAATAATCTTTTTTTTCTTTTCTAAATTGATATTGATACTTGGCAAATGCATATCAATAATCGAATCGCGGGAGAAAGTATCGCGATATTTCGAAAAATCGATATATCGTCACACACCTAATGAAGACCTTAAAAAGTTTAGCCATTATTTCATGTTTTGCTTTTCATTCACTGCATACAATTCACTGCACAAAAAAATGTGGGAATTTAATACTTCAATGAATGGATCCAAGAGAAATAACTTGTCTTTGCGCAGTTTTATTGTATTGTTTATTCTGATCACCTTTACAATAAATTGCACAGTCAGACAGGCACGATGCAAAAAGCTTCCCTCGCACCTCTGCCCCGCACACATTCCACATCATCGTATCATAGTTGTGTAGAGAAAAGGAGAGGGGACAAAGAACAAGACATGTCAAGTGGGGGCTAGTGGATTTGATTCATGCAGAAAGAGAAGTTAGGATTAAGGAGGGGAGAAGAGCAATGTCTGACACATGTCAAAACTTAATATATACAGTCTATGGTCAAAACATATGATTCAATGAATCAAAAGGGAGTCTTGATCCTGGCCAGTCCCAGGCTCAGGTCTTGTGAAAGTGACCTCAGCACAGGAGGCCTTTGTTTCAATGTTATCAGTGGATTTGGTGCAAGATATTCAAATATGAATTTTGCCACAAGACATTACTTGTGCTTTATATTGAAATAAACAAAAGGAGCCTGGATAGCACTCATACAAACCAGTGAGAGATCTTAGATACAAGGCTGAAATATGGTTTGTTATAACCAGATGTGTTTTCCCTCTCAGACGAGAACTGAAGGTGATTGTCATCAATCCATCAACTTTTATTTGTAGAGCACCTTTTCTACACAAGGTCCATATACATTAAAAATTACATTTACAATCCCACAGGGCTTTAAAACCCAAAGTAAGATCACAAGAGATATTAAAAACAAAATTATCAAGTAGTTAAAACCTTAACACACGTGGGATTAAACTCATGAATAGCAACAGTCCATTAATAAGGTAAAGGTAAAGTAATTCAGTTGTATGCACAGACAAACAGAACTGTTTTTGACCTAGAGCCTGTTTCACATCCTCAGAAAGCCTGTTCAGGACTTTAGCAGTAGCCTTTGCAGCAGACTGGCTGGAGACAAATGCATGGATAAGAATTTTTTTAGATAGGATTAAGCTGATGATGTTACTGATTTGATATGGCTATTGAATGTCCGACGCCATTATTATTTTAGATTTCTGACCTGATTTGAGAGTTTTATGGAGAGAGGCGGCAGGTGACAGATGACGCTCTTTTTCCTAGGGGCCGAAAACAATTTTTTGTGCGGCTCTAAAGTGCCAAACTGCCGTTGTGTCCTTAGACAAGACACTTCACCGCCATTGCTTAGAATGAGTCTGGTGTGTGTGTGAATGGTTGGTGGTGGTTGGAGGGGCCGAGGGCACATACTGGTTGCATCGCTTCTGTCAGTGTGCCCCAGGGCAGCTGTGGCTACAGTAGTGTTTTATCACCACGGTATTTGGAGTGAATTAATAATGACATGTGAAGCGTCATTTGAGTGTCTAAAACAGCACTTTATAAAACCAATGCATTATTATAATCTTATCAGGGGGATTCTATTAACTGTTGAAAAAGGAACACGCAGATTGTTGCTACAGCCTTCAGTGGTTTTCCTCCTTCTGCGTAGCGCCCTGTTAAACTTGCAACACTCATCTTTGAGGATCTCATGACATTCATGTGAATCATGTGTAATAGTTGGAAAGTGTTTCTACATTATTTCATATGCTGGAAATCATCATATCCTCAACTTCAGTAGGACGTCACAGATAGTTACTCTAGACCGTGTGAAGAAATTCATTTTTGTTCAATGTCAATGAACATTAAGCAGCACATAGAAAAAAGTACACAAGGTACACGCCCAATTCAGAGTTTGAATCTTTATTAACAGATCAATCACCAAACACATGACAAAACATATTCAATTAGAAAACTGTCTCTTCCTATGAGAGATTATATGAATAAGATTTGTGATAAGATGCACGTTTTAGTGGAATCTTTACACCCAGGGCTCCCAGCCAGCCCACACTCTGCCCAAGACGTTTGGGTCCATGGCCTGGTCCAAGAGGCAGTCCACCTGCTTCTCCACCGACAAAGCCTCCGCTGGGAGATCTGCGCGCACATTCACTCCTTTAGTCCCCAAAGCCACCGATGCAAGGCCTTGGAAGGCAGGATCTTTCTCGAAGCCCAGCTTCAGCTCCTCACTGAAACAATTAAAGCAATAATCAAATGTATTAAACATTTTGACCAGAGATGATTTTCTGTTCGTAATCAGCTTGAAACGGAAAAAGGAAAAACACAGATGCACAAGAGCCTTTACAGAAGTCACAGCTCTGCACAAACCAAGCATGGAGGAGTTTTTACACAAAATAAGAGACAAGCTTCATGAGAGAAGCAGCCGCTCAGGGACCTGCATCTGGAGGAACTTCATCCAAGCAAACCTTAACCATTTCAAGTTACCTTGTAATTGTAGCTGGGTTAGCGCCCTCTAGCTTCCTCCTGGCAAAGTTCACCTTCTGGAGGGGATACCAGTTTATTTCTTTGGTGTCCACATCCTTAGTCCAGGTGCCTTGCTTCTTCAACTGCTTCAGCTCAAAATTCTGCCACATAGGAAACAATAAACATAGTATTTTCTCTTTATTTTCTGGAAAAACATTGACCTGTTGGGCCCAGAGATTCACTTGTAACCAGGTGAGTAAGTCTGACATCTTACTGCCTCACCTCTGTTTTTATTTCACCCTTTCCTTAATCATAAAAACTTCTGTGTGATAATAACAGCTCTCATCAAAGCAGCAGAATACCTTCCAGTCGAGGGATGGCTCTTTGACAAACACATCCATAGTGTTGAGCAGCAGGTCCGGCTCCGCCCTGAAGGCTCTGAGGGCGTGTGCCATAACGCTCTGGATCAAACCAGATTCCTTCAAGGGCTGCATCACGTTCACAAACTGCTGCGTGAGGCGGAAAGGCATCAGCTCCGGAACAGGCAGGAACTGGCAGAGAAACAAAGACACAGAAGCTGAACAAGCAGTGAATAACATATCAATGGTGTTCACGATTGTGCACAGAAACGAGTTTTAAAGCTCCCATATAACGCTTTTTGACTTTTCTCTGCTTTAAACATCATTAGTTCACAAGTGCCACTCCAGCAGACCACACTGTACAGAATCATGATGATCTTTATCTTCGTTGTGTTTTACGGCAGTTGGCAACCAATTAATAGAGCATTACCGCCACCTTCTGTTACGGAGTGGGTCAGACAATAATCCCACATATTAAAATCCAAACCATAGACTATATAGTCTATGTTCCCAACAAGAGAAGAATAAAGCCTTCTCAGCCGGTAGAGCCTTCTCAGCAGTAGAGCCTCCTCCTCAGCCGGTAGAGCCTCCTCCTCAGCCGGTAGAGCCAAAAGTCTGGTTTACTATACACTTTAACACTCTTTCAATATGATCCAAGACACTGACTTGTGTGGCCGATCCGAAAGCGTGTCCGAAGTCTATCCCAATCATGCCACCCGTCTCAGTGTTGATCATGAAGTTTGAAAGATGGCGGTCGCCGATGCCCAGGATCCAGTGACTGACGCAGAGCAGAGCGTGAGAGCTGATGAAGTGAGACCTCAGGGACAGGAAGGCCTCAGGACTGGTGCACATCTTTAGAAAGGCTCTCCTAAAAACAAAAACAGATGCTAAGTAGTAAGGCACCATTCTTACACAAGAGTTTAAAGCTTAGGGAAATGGAAATGAAAACGTAGCATCATGATACAAACAAGTGAAAACACTACAACACATGTTTTGATGTATTTCACACACTGTCAGACGTGACTGCTTTGTAATCACAAGCATGTACTGTATATTGCCTTTGTCACAATGTTGTTGATTTCCAAAAACTGCTTCTTTCCACAAGCTGTTATCAGCTTGAACAAAGCACTTTAGTGACCTTTAGTGACCTTTGTATTGAAACTGTTTTGTCGATCAATTTCACAGTGTCAATCTTTTCCTGTTTTATGTTTTTTATATTTTTAAGCTTGTTTTATTTATGTACTCGTCTTGTGCACACTGGGGACTTTTTGTGGATGTATTCCAAAGTGGTTTTACTGTAAATGGCAAATAGATTCAGATTCAAATTCATCTAACTATTATCACTGCTGACAATCACCACATTCAGCCTACATATTCTGCATAAATTTGATACAAAAATATAAATCCAGTTAATAGTACTGTTGTAATGTAGATTTCAAACTCACTTGAGGAGATCGTGAGGCACCAGCTGCAGCACAGTTTGGAAGTTTTTCACCACATCAGAGCGACTGGCTTTCCTGAAGGACAGATGTTGGTTACACCATAATGACCTCATTGTTGCGGAGTTTTAGGGGACCATGAGAATCTTGTGCAGAGCTCACCTGTACGCGATGATGTAGGACGCAACATAACTGGCTTTTTTATCATATTTCTGAGCTAAGCTGCTCAGCCAGTCGTCGTACACTTCTCTGGATCTAGAAACAGTGATACAGAAGTCATTACAGTAAGAAACAGAAAACTGTATCAAACTAATGAATATCATTTATTGAATTTGAAATACCTTTTTTCGTTTTGCTTCTCCTTGTCGGTCATTGTGTTTATCAAAAAGTCCTTTAGAGTACAAGTACTTTCCATCCATTCAATTAATCCAATTCTGCACAAATTAATATTGAATAAAGAGGAATATATCAAGAATTCTGCTTCAATTAATTTGTGATTTTAAATGTCATATTAATGTGGTGTATTGTCCACAATTGAAATAAATAAGACAAAAACACTTATAAAGGGTTGCTTTTAGGCTTCAAAGTGAGGAGATAAAATGTTCATCATTTTCATATAAGCCTTTACTCACATCTTATCCAGAACTCATCACTTAAACAATCCAAATAATTAAAGTTGTGCAAGAAAAGGACTTTAATTAAATTTTTCTGTGCATTTTGAAGACTCAATTATCATTAAAGCCGCAAGCGGCGTCGAACGGCCCTCGCCACACCGCGCGACTCCCCTCACCACGCAGCTTTGCACCACGTCGCCATAATAACTTTTATCTCATGTCTTGAGTTGAGGAACATGTTTATCAAATTTCATGGCTATACGACAAACTTGACCTTGAACCCCTCCCATACTAAAAACTTTGACCCCATCTGTAGGGGGCGCTAATGAGCCAAGTTCATTTATTTCACTTTTATTTGACCTAGACCCTAGACCCTAATTTAATGTTGTCAAAAACGGCCAAAAAAACCTCACATTTTGCCGCTCTGAAGCTCGAACAACGTTTCACTGATCAAAAATCGCCGCAGTCATTTCAAAGGTACATGTGTTGAGATGATGTGGAGCGATTTTGAGGCGAATCGGTGAAACGGCCGAGGAGGAGTCGCTTTCCAACCGACATGTATGAAAATTATTGCTGTTCATTTTTCCATTTTGCAATGAAATTTATGGGCTTCCTTTTTGTCAGAGGGCGGGGCCATAATATTTTTTTCATGTCTTGACTAGAGGAACATGTGTACCAAATTTCATGGCTCTACGACAAACTTGACCTCTGAAAACTCCCATAGGGGTTTTTTTTTGGCTGTTGTAGGTGGCGCTGTTTTGGCATTTTTGGAGTACCATAAAAAAAACACCAAAATATCAAATTTTTCGCCAGGTCTGATTTTTGGGCAAAATTTTACAACTTTTCATGCATGTTCTGAGGGGGTCAAATTAAGGCTGAAAGTGCAGAATTTGACATCTCTCGAGCAAAAACAATAGGCCCTTTCCCCATCCATGATGTGATACCCAGACACATGTGATTAACACTTAATAATAGTGATAGTAATCACTTTCAGAGTGACACAGAGAGCGCACGGAGAGTTTTGTGAACAATGACCTGGTGTTGATGGGAATGACTTGATAGGTGCGCAGCTGCAGGCCTCTGTGTGTGCAGGCTGTGTCGTGACTAAGGACGATGTTCATGACGGAGAAAAGCTGCTCTATCCTCTGGTCCTGCCTCAGGTCCTCTCCCCCCTTCACCAGGAATGGGTGGTCCCTCTCATCGTCCCCTCGAATGATCAGCTGCTTGGGACGACGTATAGAAGACATGACTTTCACCTGCAGCGAGAATTGAGGATTATTGGTAAGACACAAAAACATTTGCAGACAGCATACGGTGGAATCGACCGCTGTCCCAATATCTTATGATACTAGTCTAAACTCATACAATAAATTACAGTGACAATATTCTTCCCAGAATATATACTTGTTCAAATCAAATACAGTAATATCTAGGTAATAGAGTTATCAATATTCAGTGACTCGTGGTGCACAAATAGAACTATAGTAATCAGACACTGCTGACAGAATATTGAGTTTGTGCTGGGAAATGCAGACCTTTTTATCTCCCAAGGGAATTTGCTGCTGTTTTTATATGTGCTGTATAAGTCTCCCTCAGACACTAATGGAAAACTAGCACTAGCATAAGTTTGTATAAGCTCTCAGTTAGGGATTAGTCAAAGCAAAGGAAGGTTTCTCACCCATCATCTGTACTTCTTAGCAGGGATCATCTGTACTTCTTAGCAGGTTTTCCCTGCTAAGAACTACAGATGATGGGTGAGAAACCTTCCTTTGCTTAGCGCTAGCATAGTTACATGAAAGCATCAACACCAGCCTGGTCACACACCCTGACCACGTCTTTTTAGCAGCAGAGGACTTTAATCATGTTGACCTAAAACTGTGTTTCAGTTAACATTGCCAGAGTTAGTTGGTCTAGAGTACACAAATAACTGTCAGTTTGTGTACACTAGACCAGATGTACATTTTACAAAACAATCACTTGTTACACATTAAGTCGTTTGATTAAAATACACCTTTCCATTTCAATTCTTAGAGAAAGATAGATTGATAGATATCAATCTATCAATTTATTTATCTATAAACAGTTTGTTTAAAAAAAAAAAAATGAATTAGCAAAATAGATTAAATCTGTTAAAGCCCCATCTCAAACCAAATAAGCAAGTGCACATTTTAAATCATCATTATTATGACTCATTTGTGTGCATAGTTTCACAGCAATAGAACTCACCCTTTCATCAAAACCAGTTATTTTGGCATGGTATTCTGGCAGAGGCTTAGATCTGCCATCATATTGCCCTGCAGGTAAAAACACAACTTTGAGCTGAAATCCAAGTGTATTCATGCGCAGATGTTTTGTGACTGACCGGGGACCTCCAACTCGTCGCCCAGAGGGCCTTGTTTGAAGCTGCTCATCCAGGGGGAGTATTCCTTCAGGTTCCCCGGCTCCTTCTTCCCTGCCCCTAACCATCCACGCATGGAGCCTACCAGCTCCTCCACCTTCTTCACAAAACTCTTATCTTTTCTTTTCTCAAACAGTTTGCTGCCTTTAGCTCCCAGCAGGCTCTCCACCTCCTTGGCAAATTTCTGAGGGGATACAAATCATTATGAAATCATTATGTCTTATTAGTTGTCATCTTCCTGTCTGTGACCAATGAAGCTTGAAAGACTGTTGACTACTTATTTTTATATGTGCTTTCATTTAAACAAATGTGTGGTCCATTTTTGTTTGATAATTCTAAACTTTTGTTCAGAGAAGATCAAAAAGATTTGTACATGTGACCCATTATTGGAAGACAGATGTTGATACAAGTTAAAAAGAAAAATGTCCCATTATTTCCGCTCCTAAAATACAGTAGTACAACAATGATCTCATAAATACAGAACACTAGAGAAGAGGGGGAAAGGAGACTTTTCACATTAAACTATTGATAACTCTCAATAGTCAATAAAAAAAACATGTTTACTTTACATTAAGGCTTCATTTATAATCCTATTTGAGCTTGCCACAATAATGACTGTATCTACAATAACTGATGAATAAAACTATATATGCTGGGTCTCAATATTTATTATTCTTACATTTTTGTGGAAAGTTTGTTCTAATCTACATCTAAAATGAGGAGGTTTTAGTTGTAGATGGTTTAACTAGATATTACTTGTTTATTTTCATGACACATAAAAAATATTTATTATCCTGCTTCATTGCAATAGCATCAGCGACATATAGTCAGATCTATATAATTGATTATTGCAATTATTTCCCAAATCAATAAAAGTTCCACAAAAATCAGCGACTGTGATGGGCCTAAAGGTACCAGTTAGCCTAACACCAGTTAGCATCATTTACTACTACAATGTAAAATCCACTGCTCTCACCTGGATGAATTTACGTCGAAAGGCCCCGTGTTCTTGTGTGTTCTGATTCCCGAGTAAGGAGTTAATTTCATTGTAAAGATGTTCCATCTTCGTCTTGTCAAACCCTGATCTTTCCAGTTCATTTTTGACACTGTCCCACCAATCCTACGGCCAACAGAAAAAAAGTGTCCATACAATGACAGCCATCGAGGTGTGATTATTATTAATACCTTAAAGATCATGTCTGGGTTTGTGAGCTGCTGCAGTGCTGCTACAAAACCTTTCACTGTTCCATTTTTGTCCAGGACGCTCCTCAGGCTGAAAACACAACCAGTGACACTCATTCAAATTACATCATTGTTGTGTGTTTTAAGTGTCTCTTGCAAAGGATAGGATCTCTTGCCAATGATTAACCACTAAATAAGAAAAAAATATATGTATTTGTTTATTTATAACTTTCATGAATGGGGTTATTGGTCAGACATACATTTATAATTCACTGTGATTAGTGGGATCAATGTCTATTGATATTATGCACATGTGTTAGTTTGTTTTTACCCATTAACAAACTCCTGCTGCTGGTGTCCTGAGGCAGAGTCTTCGAACTGGAAGCTCTCGCTGCTGATCATGAGGGCGTAGACCAGCGCTTGAGGATAGGACTTAGCAATCTGCTCAATGCAGTGCTGAACCGCCACCGCCTCCGGTTTGTCCAAAAGAGCCACCATCTGACTGATCCAGCCAATCAGCATCCAGCAAGGCACTGACGTCATCTTAAAGACAAAACTCCTTTTATTGACGTAGGGGCTAAACAACATGTAAGGGCTCTTGACCAGGGCCTTTCTGAGTGGAGTTTGCATGTTCTCCCCGTGTCTGCGTAGGTTTCCTCCGGGTACTCCGGTTTCCCCTACCACTAAAAATATGTACAATAGGATTGGCATGCGCCTCCTGTTCGGCGACCCCGCTCCCATCTCTGTGTGGAGTGAGAGGACAAGTGCCCAAAAATAACAATTGTAAACCGCTTTGTGACTCTGGTTTGTGAAAGGCGGTATATAAATAAAGATTACTTACTTACTTACTTACTTTTGTTATTTTGTATAGTCTGCTGAGCTGTATCTTGGTTTGGATAATACAATTACACAAACTTATTTTATCTTTTTTTCTTCGGACCCAAGGCTTTAATTAACAGCAGAACAAATAAATAAATATGTTTTCATGAAGGGAGGAAACTCTACCTATTAACCACCCATATCAAAGCTGGGGATCCTAACTTCTTTTTCTTATTTTTCTCAAACACAAAAACAAATGCATGTCAAAACCAGACCAGAGGAGCTAGTTAGAGTTTGTGGTTTTAAAGTTAGGTGATCCAGCTTTAAGTTGCTATGTATAAAATGATGAAATATGGCATTATTTCCCTACATTTGGGCAACGCCTAGAAACCTATCAATCATTCGCTTTTGAGTAAAAACACAAAGAAAACACCTCTTTGGTCATGATGTCCAGTGTTTCGGAAGGGTACAACTCGATGATTTGCAGAAGACGTGGAAATTTAAGTCGAGCCTCTTCAGAGTTTAGTTTGAGAGCTTTCAGCATGGTCTCAATGATCTGAGCTGGGAGGGTGAGCAGCTCTGGGAATCGGCTGTCTGAGGAACAAAATGAGAAAAGCTATGGCATTACCCCAGTTATGGAGGCATATTAAATGTTCAATCCATTTCTCACCAGTCTCCCTCTGCTCCTCCTCTCGCAATTGTTTGTCACAGAAGTTTGCCAGAGCCATGTAGGTCTCGATGAGGCTGCTGGGATCCACACAGTCCTGCTGGTACGACTGCTGCTCCTCCTCTGCTTTTCTAGAGCCTTCACGGAAACACTTCAGGGCTCTGAGATGCAGCTCCACTTCAACACTCTACAATCATTGCATAGAGTCAATAAATAGATTTGTTAATATTGTCTTGTTTTATAAGTTGGTAAATGATTGCTTTTGTGTCATCTTTACCAACTCATGTTTTTAAAGCATTTTCTTCTGCAGTTAAACTCAAAAGTTTACCACTAGTTTGATCTGTTTTCACTGCCATAATGTATGCCTACTGTTCTTTACTTACTTTCTGCTGACAATGAGGCAATTGCGAATACAGAAGTCACTCTTATAGATCAGTATTGAAGTAAAAAAAAAAAATCCAAATGCATACAGTATAAATATCACATGGTATAAGAGAATGTTGTGCTTTTGTTTTCTGTAATAATTTCTTTCAGTGCAACCCAGAAAAAATATTTGGTATCAGATACAAAAACACGTCAGAAAAGGCAAAAAGAAACACAAAATACAAATTATTTTTTACTTGAATAGTAGAGTAAATAATAGAAACATAATAGAAACATAATATGGAGTTTTGGCATGTGTACCTTTGGATCTTCAGTCGGCCATGTTTTTCCTGCTAGTTTCGCCACCTTCTTTGCTTTATCAGCATCGATGGTCCCCAAAACAGAGGGACTGGTGCCCAGAGCGCAGGCCATGATGTGGAAGGACGTGCCTTGGAGGATTTTCTGATTTCGGAAAACTTTAGCAGAGGAACTTTTGACGTCCGACTGAAGGTCATCTATACAATTAAATAATTAATTAATACATACATGTAGGTCAGCATGCATTTATTGCCACATCACAAGTTTTAAATATTCTATATGTTATATGGAGAGAAGCAGAGTGATGAAAAGTTGCACGAGTGGTAGTGAACTGAGAAGTAAAGCAAGGTGTGGATGGAATGATGGCATGAAGAGTGTTGAAAGAGAGGTATGACAGAGGAGAAGGCGAGAGTTTGTGCACAGGATAGGGAAGCATGGAGAGTGATTGTGAACGCGTGAGGTAAGCCAGGGGTTATCCAGTTTATGCTCCAAGACCCCTGACCTTGCCATGGGGTCAGCAAGCGCCGAGCGGCAGTGCTGCTGAGAGGTCTAGACGTGTGAATGGGGATGGATGAGTGTCCTACTGGTAAACCGTGCTCATAGGAGGAAATAGTTTATGGCTATAGAGAGATTTTGTTACTTTTAAGAAAAATATATCCAACTGTATTTCAACCAACCTATCAAATGATAAATGCAAGAATCTAACACATTTTAGAACACATTTTAAAAATGTTCTACAGTAGAATAAAAGTTATCTATAATAATGATCCAGTTGAAGATTTGAACTGCGGTTGAGTCTTTCTTTGGATCAGGCAGCTCTAAACAATGACTAGTTAAGTATTTTCAAATCTTCATTTTAGCCCGATTTGTGTAGATACATTATTTGTTTTTCCCTCTGTCCATGGAGTCCTCCCCCCACACATACCCAGCAGAGGGACGGTCTTTAGCATAGTGCTGATCTGCTCCACGGGGCTGAGCGTGTGGCTGCGCTTGTGGCTGTAGCGGCTGTAGCTGTGGACCCAGCGCAGTAACCAGCTGCGGTCGGACTTGGCGTCTCTGTGGAGATCCTTCAGCAGTTTTGTCGCAACAGGGAAGTTATTCTGTGGATAAGGAAAGGCCTATTACTTTCTATGTCACATCCAAACCAGTCATTGAATTTATTGAAGTTGAGCAATTATGCAAGATCAAACTCCCTCACACAGAGCTGCTAAAAGCCCTGGTCCCTGTGTCTCCAAGCTGCACTCCGGGGGTGAAAGAACCAGAGCAGAATTTTCCCTCATGTGGTGTGCTGTGCCGGTATTTTAACCCTGTGTAATGTTGCCATACTCAAAAACAAATTCAAAGTAAAAGTCAATGGGCCTCATTCACGAACGGTTCTTAGGAACAGATTTGTACGTAAATCCTACTTACGTGGTTTTTACGAAGAAAGTGGCATTCACGAATTTTTCTCGTAACCAGAATTTCTCTTGGGCAAGTACAAATCCTACGAGTCCTCAGGAGCACTCGTACGTATTCAGTGCCGACATGTTCACACGCCGGGGTTGTCCTCTTTGGTGAAGTTTAATAAAAATACAACATTCCAGTGATATTTCCGTCATATTGATGTATGTATTTATTTATTTAAATGTTAATGGTAATTTAGCCTATTTTTTAATTCATTTTGAAATGAAATGTCCATCCATCCATCCATCCATTTTCTTCCGCTTTATCCGTTGCCGGGTCGCGGGGGCAGCAGTCTAAGCAGAGACGCCCAGACTTCCCTATCCACACACACTTCCTCCAGCTCGTCCGGGGGGACCCCAAGGCGTTCCCAGGCCAGCTGAGAGACATAGTCCCTCCAGCGTGTCCTAGGTCTTCCGCGGGGCCTCCTCCCGGTGGGACGTGCCCGGAACACCTCCCCAGGGAGGCGTCCGGAACAGATGCCCGAGCCACCTCAACTGGTTCCTCTCGACGTGGAGAAGCAGCGGCTCTACTCCGAGCTCCTCCCGTGTGACTGAGCTCCTCACCCTATCTCTAAGGGAGCGCCCAGCCACTCTGCGGAGGAAGCTCATTTTGACCGCTTGTATCCGCGATCTCGTTCTTTCGGTCATTACCCAAAGCTCATGACCATAGGTGAGGGAGGGAACAAAGATTGACCGGTAAATCGAGAGCTTTGCCTTTCGGCTCAGCTCCCTCTTCACCACATCGGTCCGATACAGCGACCGCATCACTGGTGCCTAGATATTCTGTCCATAAATACAGTGAACAGAACCGGTGACAAAGGCCAGCCCTGTCGGAGGCCAACATTCACCGGGAACAGGTCTGACTTACTGCCGGCAATGCGAACACAGCTCTGGCTCCGGTCATACAGGGATCGGATGGCCCTCAGCAGAGGACCTCCGACCCCGTACTCCCGGAGAACCCCCCAAAGGACACCCCGGGGAACACAGTCAAACGCCTTCTCCAAATCCACAAAGCACATGTGGACAGGTTGGGCGAACTCCCATGAACCCTCGAGTATCCGATGGAGAGTATAGAGCTGGTCCAGTGTTCCGCGACCGGGACGAAAACCACACTGCTCCTCCTGAATCCGAGATTCGACCATCGGCATGGTCCGACCATCGAAATGAAATGTGCCAACGCTTTATCAAATACATTGGAAATCATGCTGTGTATTAGTGACCCCTTCCTATTTATAGGGGGCATTTCTTTGTCCACGGGCCACAGAACAATGGAATATATACTGCTGCTGCAGGAGGCTGCGGGGTCCGCTCTGAGTCTCTGCGCTGGTCTCTCCCATGGATCTATACAGGTCTGCACTGGTCTCTCCTATGGATCTATACGGATCTGCACTGGTCTCTCCCATGGATCTATATGGATCTGCACTGGGGTCTCCTATGGATCTAAACGGGTCTGCGCTGGTCTCTCCCATGGCTCTAGACGGGTCTGCACTGGTCTCTCCATACGGGTCCGTGCTGCACGCTCCTGGATCCAAACGGGTCCGCGCTGGTCTCTCCAGTCTGGTTTGCGGTCTCTCATCGGTCCGCGCTGGTCTCTCCAGTCTGGTCTACAGTATGCGGTCTCTCTTCTTCAGTCAGGTCTCTCAGTCTATGCGGTCTCTCCTGTCCGCGCTGGTTTCTGTGTGCTGGTCATTCCAGTCTCTTCTCGGGTCTGCATTGGTCTCAGTGCTGGTCCGCGCTGGATCTCCTCCCAGGGTCCAAAATATTTTTAGATTAATCTCAAAACATTTTGAGATTCATTTTTAAATTAATACATAATATATTTTTAAATTTATCTCATAGCATTTTGAGATTAATCTCATCATATTCTTAGATTAATCTCATAATTTTGCTAGTTCGACTTTATTCTTATAATATTTCGACTTTTAAGTCAACATTTTATGACTTTATTCTCAGTCTGGCTAAAGAAGAAAAAAGGGTGACTCTTTTGCTCCGTGTAACTCTTTGCTTTAGGCCTGTTGCTGTTTCCTCTGGCGTCTGCACACGGCCCTGCAGTCCCTTATATGGGCATTAGTGGGCGGTTACCTATGCTAAGTACCTATGCTAATGAAGCACCGGGCACGCGCGCTCTACTTACGAGGAGTTGGCATTCATCAATCTGAGAGAACAGCTGCGAACAATTCAGCGGCTTACGAGCGCCTTGATGAATCCCACGGAGGGTCTTCTTAGAAATCTACTGAAGAACGACTTGAGTAGAAATTTAAGAAGTTTCTTACGAAGTTATTCGTGAATGAGGCCCAATGTCATTTCCCGGCTCTCTCTCCATTGTTGGTGCACTTCTAGTTCCACAAGTACAACATTGAGTGCTCATAGAGTATAAATATTGCATTCCCTTTTACTTGTCCTCAAAAACAATTTATCAATGTTCAAAGCGTATGTGTGTAAAAATGCTCATGTGTGTAAAGACTGTATTCTTTTCACCTTGTCATAATAGAAATGCAATGTTCCACACCTGGTTCCACGCACTGTCAGCCATGTGTAGCTTCATGCTAAACTTGCAGTTGTTCACCAAAGAGGTTATATCCGGCTCCCCATCCACCTCTATGTCCTCAGTGGAGCCCTGGCTTTTTAACTTCTCAAGAATCTTGTCCAAAAAGAAGCACCTAAATGACAATAATAATATTATTTCTAAAAAAGTGGTTGTTACATTGGTTTTTTTTATACCTTGATGTAATGATGTCATCCCAGACATTCACTGGATCCACTTTAGGATCCGGATATCGCTCGGTCCAAACCCGGGTTAGTCGCTTCAGAGAGGACACTGACACTTCAAATAGACAGTACAATAGTCTTACTTTCTACTACTTAAAATGTGATGTGAAGAGTTGGATACAAATTTGAAACGTTCCCACCACAATTCTTTATTATACATTATTGTAATGATAAATATTACTAAGCTTTCCCATTACCCATCCATCCAACCATTTTCTTCCGCTTCATCCATTGCCGGGTCGCGGGGGCAGCAGTCTAAGCAGAGACGCCCAGACTTCCCTATCCACACACACTTCCTCCAGCTCGTCCGTGGGGGACCCCAAGGCGTTCCCAGGCCAGCTGAGAGACATAGTCCCTCCAGCATGTCCTAGGTCTTCCCCGGGGCCTCCTCCCGGTGGGACGTGCCCGAAACACCTCCCCAGGGAGGCTTCCGGGAGGCATCCTGAACAGATGCCCGAGCCACCTCAACTGGTTCCTCTCGATTTGAAGGAGCAGCGGCTCTACTCCGAGCTCCTCTCGTGTGACTGAGCTCCTCACCCTATCGCTAAGGGAGCGCCCAGCCACTCTGCGGAGGAAGCTCATTTCGACCGCTTGTATCCGCAATCTTGTTCTTTCGGTCATTACCCAAAGCTCATGACCATAGGTGAGGGAGGGAACAAAGATTGACCGGTAAATCGAGAGCTTTGCCTTTCAGCTCAGCTCCCTCTTCACCACGACGGTCCGATACAGCGACCGCATCTCTGCATTTCTCATTACTTCTCATGTATATTCTGTTCTGTGGAGAAAATTCACGACTTAAAGCTGCATTACCTCACTTTATTTTAGTATTCATTACAAAAATTAAATCCATATCCATGCAATGCATTGGGATATATGTCCTTTTGAAGAATAAGTAGCACAGGTTTGTGCTGGCGAGTAATTTTATTTTAGATCGAGTTTTCGTGCAACAAGATGTTTCAGGACCAGACAAATGACCACTGGCCCCCGCTTTCTTGAAAAAAGCTACAGGTCTCTCGTAAGCACAGACAGTTGAGGTAAACAAGCGGCGGAGGCTAACCTGAAACTTCCAGTGTCTTCGTTACCGGTTACTGCTTACACAGCGAAACATCCATCCAAAAGAAACTCTTGTCCCTTCGCGTTTCCCGGTTCTATCATTCTATGTTAACACCACCCACATTCAAATGTGCGATCCATATTGTGAGACGGTAGTTCCGTATACATATAAGCACAAGCTGAGTGGGGAGGTAGTGGGGGCGATAGCTCCGTGACCGTGAGTGCGGGGAGGGTGAGCAGAAAGAGCAAGGCCAGCGCTCACATTCGAAAATTTCACAAAATGAGTTAGTGCCTCATTCTTTTGAATGAGACTCTGACTCTAAATGAGTTAGAGTCTTTTCTCACATAGAAGGCGCTCAACAATTTGTTATTCGGAAATGTATACAATGTTCTTCTAAAAAATGTACCATTGTATTCACCATAGCACTAACAAGCATGTACTTGTAGTTGTGGTGTTTGTGGTAGTTGCCTCACTCGTCTGCTGACTTACCTTCTCCTTTAACAAACAAGAGAAAGTCTTGGATTTCCGTTAAGGCCTGTACTGACTGCAGGATGGTCAGACGACTCTTGCTGAGCAGCGAGTCCACACTGGAGTAATTCTGTTTTGAGGAAAAATAAGCAGCAATGCATTAGCAAAGGGACCTGGCCACATCAGAACCGCCAGCTCAGTAGAATTTAAAGGTCCCATATTGCGCCTTTTGACTTTTCTCTCGTTTAAACGTTATTAATGCTCTTTAATGAATCCCTAAAGCTTCAGTTAGAGATAAATCTTTTGTTTTCATTCTCGAGAGGCACAAAAACGAGTCGTTTCAAATCAATACTTGCACCAAATCGTGATGTCAGAAGCCCACCTCGAGGAGGAGATTGACCGTGGGTATGCATAATAATTTTGTTCAAATAAAAAGCAAATTTGTAAAACCAGATATTTTAAAACTTCACCATGCACGAAATAGCAGTTCACTGTGTTTGCATTATAATTTGATGGTGGAAAATAATGTGAGCTTCAGTACCTGCATGAAGAGCTGCATGGCCAAGTTGATGTAGTATTTTGCGCGGTCATAGTCTTCCTGGAGGATGTACAGGAGGCTGAGCTCTTGGCTGTAGTAGTTTTCCAGAAGTTTCTTGCGCTCCTCGACTCTCATGGCTTTATCGATGAAGCTGAGAAGGGTCTGGTCCGCGCCCCCGAGCTGCAGCTGCTTCAGCATGCTGCGAATCATGTGCCGCAAGTACATCTCCTACACAAAGGTTTTGGAAGTTTTAGAAAGAACAAACCTTTGGTACAGAGATACTGAGAGGAAGTATAGACATGGATGAGGTATTACATCTGGATTTACCTTTTTAAGCGTTTTATTTAGGAAAACTTAACCCTTTAATGGTTTCCTCAACCATTTGGTCAGACACCATTGTCAACTTGAAAATTGGAACTGAACTTGGAACTCTATGGAGAATCTCACTTGGTTTTACGCACATTTACCATTAAACTGCATCTCAACCAGGCCTATAATAATAAAAAAAATTAGGGTTTAAAAAATAAAAATAAAACCTAAAAACTAATTAATTGTGTCATTAGAGTCCTGAATATTAGAAAGGGTTGATGTAAGACTAGTTGTTTGCAATCATGCTGTTGGCTGGAACAGGTGACAAGGAAATGGCTACTGGTTTCATGTAATGAGAGATGGTTTTTACAATGGAGAAACGTTAAGCTAACATAAGACAGGAGAGGGAGACATATGAAAACATTGTCTTATATTTATAAGAATGATAAGACCAGATATCTTTTGAGATATGAGGTTTGAATCAGGATCAGATGTGAATGTAGAATGTTTTCATGTAATGTAATCAAGAATAGACTTATATAGAATATAAAAGAAACAATGAATGTCATTACTTCAATACAATTTCAACTTTAGAAAAAATTGTCTTTTATCTAACTTAAGTTTATTGGAATTGACACAAGCATTCATATTTGAGGTAAAAGCTCACACCTGGTGGTACGGCTCGGCCCACATCTTCTCCAGGTCCGGCGGGGAAGCGTCGTCGATATAGACAGTGGAGCAGTACTGCAGAGAGGCCCACTCCGTCAGGTGGCTGTAGGCCTCCATCGCCGCGATCTCCCAGAAGTCTTTCTCCGCATCAGAGGGCGGGCCTTCAGTCCAGTCCTCAGTGTTCAACGCCTTTGATTCCAATGCAATATTAATTAGGCAGTTATCCATAGAATTAGATCTCTATCAGAGGTTACTGTTGCCATTTAGTCAGTTGTATATTCTTGGAATGGGAAAATGTACTTTAATTCTTTTGGCACCAAATAAGGTATCCATTATGCCAAATCAATGGTCAAAACTTTAGACCTCAATATCTCCATTATATTCAGACCTATTGCACGTGGGTATAGTGGCAGAGGAAACCGGAGCACCCGAAGGAAACCTATAGTCACTGAAAACATGCAAACTCCCAGTCTGGAGGTGGAATCAAACCCAAGACCTTCTTGTTGTGAAGCATAAGTGCTAACCACTGTGGCCTCCTTATCATTTAAAATGGTCTACACTGTTCTTCTACTATCTCTGGATTCATTTTGCTAAATCAATGAACTGATAACTTTAGATGAATGTATTTAATTGTCCCCCTCCTTTTTCTTTTTTCCCTAAACATTGAAAAACCATGAGATCACATTTCATGGTGAAATTACTTTATTTTTTTGCTTGACTAGTTCAAATCCTGAAGAGTCTGGGACCAGGAGTGTTGGTTCTCAAGACTCCGACTAATCATTTTGCTCCCTTGTGTGAAAAATCCGAACCCTCACATAGTAAGTGAAAATATTGATAGTAAAATGATGTGGTTCTGGCTGGTCATCAGATTCAGATTCAGATTCATTTATTTGCCATTTGCAGTAAATTGGAAAAACTGTGCAAGACTACCCCAGTGTGCACCAGGCGGCACACACCAGACCTCTTGCCACGGCGCCATCTTTACGGCGGCATGCGTCATGTCAACACATTTGTATACTCTCCAAATCATAGTGACTTTTGTACACAAGCTCAACACAAATAATCCCTACATATGCGTCTAGTACCTCATTGTAGAGTTTTACTGCTTCTGCGTAGTCTGTTTGAGCTTCAGCCTGAAGAGCAGAACACGTGATGGATTTGGTCCCAACTTTACTGCTGAAGATTCCACGCACGACATCGTAGTCCTCCAAAGATCTGTACAATCTACAACAACAACAACAACAACTCATTCCCTGAAACAGTCACTGCAGTGTGAATACTTTAGGACGCAGAAAGTAAATAATGAAGACCTTGCCAAGTGAATCCACTTGTTGGTGTCAGGAGGGAGCTCTTTGGGGCCTCTGGAACGTTTGGACGGTGGCTCAGATGGGACACATGCGTGCAGCAAACCCTCCTCCAAAAGCAAGATGCCCGACGGTTGTTGAAGACTGACCAGACAAGACGAGCTAATACTTGCTGGATTTATGTCACGAAGCTCCTTATGTTGGTAGCACATGTCCTACAGAAGGAAAATAAAAACATAGAATTTAGGTCATTACTTTACAAAATTATTACTAACTACTAAATGATCGAGAAAAATTACCAAGAAATGCAAAGACGATCATTGTTGCAATTTCAATGATTAAGCAAAATTATTATTCCAAATGTGCAAATGAAGTGACTAGTGAATGACAGAAATATCAGATGTATGGATATGTAATAATTTAGTAATAGTAAAGTGACTAGCGGCTTATTTTCAAAACAGGTGAGTGGCACAGCAATAATTGCGTTGCAACATTTGTTACATTAATCCAGTGTCTCCCAAAGTGGGGTCCGCGGCCCCCTGGTGGGCCGCGAGGGTACTGCAGGGGGGCCGCGGGAGGTCATAAAAAAAAAAATAATATAATTATTTAATGTTAAATTTATAATGTTTTGTTTGTAATATTAAAATATTTGTGTTCATTATTTGACTTGAATAATCCACTGTAATCATTTTTGTATTACAATGTTTGTAGCAGAGGCTATTTCCCCAAAATAAAATAACCAGAAGAGCCTATTCTTAATGTTGTCTTCTTGGTTATTATTTTGGGGGGCCACGCAAACCCGTCAGATTTTTAAGGGGGCCTCGGTGTTACTGAGTTTGGGAATGGCTGCATTAATCAATATTGAAACAAAAATACTATTTTTTTTATTCTTTAATCCATTACAAATCTGAAAATCTCTACATAACTCATCTTGTTCTTCCCTGTAGCTGTATATGTGCAATAGTTCAGGGGGAATGAATGAGTGTGTAATTGTGAGTGTGAATGTGGGACAATGGATGCAAATTAGCCCATGGCTACAAACCGAAGTAATATGTTCATTAACATGTAGTGTCCCAAACAAATAAACAAAAAATAAATGAATAAACGCGACTGACGCACCTGCACACAGGCCACAAACGGAGGGAAGCAGACGGTGCTTCTCTTCAGAAACGTGTCCATGCTGCTTCTCAGATCGTCCTCGATCTTCCGCCTCTCTCCTGGAGATTTGCTTTTCTGCATTTCTTGGAGAATCGCGGTGAACAGAGAGCTGAACAGCTGTTTGGCTAAAATAGGATCTTTCTATGGACAGAAACATTACATTTAATTCATGCCAATGTTCTAATTCCAACATCCATCCATCCATTTTCTTGCGCTTTATCCGTGAAGGTAGTGGGGGCAGCAAAACTAATGTCCAAATCCTACTGTCAGTGTATGTAGTACCTGGTACATGTGTGTGTGAGTGTGTGTGTGTGTTGTACCTGGGCCAGGGCCTGCAGGGGAGTGATGAGGCTGCTGTGAGGGATCTGAATGTCCAGAAAGTCTCCCACTCTGTAGTTACGATACAAAGTCACCTGAGCCTCTTTTCGAAGCCTTTGATCTGCCTTTTCCTCCTAAAAACACATCAGAACAAGACCATATTGCAATTTCTCCCCAATAATTTAAATTAATCGGTAAAGCTAATAAACTGAATGGTTACCTTTTTCTGTCTCTGATGTTGGATCTCTTTCTGAGCATAATTCAGACTCACTTTCTCCTGATCTTTGAGGAATCTGCGACGAAGCCTCAGGATATTTCTGCGCTGTTCATTTTGTACTGATGTTTTAAGAACACATAGCAATTCATTATTATTATTAAACTGGACAAGAACAGGTTTTTCATATATATATATATATATATATAGTATATACTGTAGGTGTGAGTTAGAATATTGTTATCCAAATCCTTTTCAAAATGAGAAACCGATATTTGATAGACACTGATTATATTCAAAGAAACAATATGAATGATTATGGCTAACAGTTCATTCTCAAATGTAATTATGTTAGTTTTATTTGGGTTTTACAATTATCAACAATAGAACAAAAAACAGCTGGATTTATCTCACTTTGTGTGTTATGAGTCTGTCATATTAGTTTAACATTTATTAGTTGAATTTCAGAAATAACTTGAACAACTTTCTAATTTTCCAGTTTCATCTGTAAACATAATTAATAGTAAACAAAAATTATTTTAGAAATTGCGTATTTCTATTCCATTACAGTATGCCATTTAAAAAATATTAAAATGTATCCTACTACTGCTTTACTGTGACACTGCAGTAATAAGAGATGCAGATATTATTTGAAGTTCCTTGACTGCAGAGTATGTTCTGACCGTGAGTGTGACTGTCCACTTGGTCTGTGTTTGCAGAGAGACGCTTCAGTCCGAATCCTTCTCCCACTGGTTTCCTGCTTAATGTTTGTCTTTCAGATTTTTTATCAAAGACCATCAACGATGACAAAGACTCAGAGCCCAGCGAGTACTCTGCCAGAGTATCCACACTGCTGTCTGTGAGCCAGTTGTAAGAGCGCCGCCCTCCTGGAGGAAAATAATTTAAATAATAACACAATTTGTATTGTATCAGATGTTCAGAAACGCTCATATGAAGTTTTGCAGTAAACAATAAACAAGCCATTTTCAAATTATTCAACCAGAATAAATAAGTATGAATGAGTTGGATTGCATAATGTTGTGTTTATGTAGTACTTTGATCTGAATATTTGATGCTATGGTTGAGTACACAAGGGGGCCCTGCCTGCAGTGCTTTGAGAGCTCCACTAATCTGGACTAAAAAACATTTCGTTTATAATCCCAGTCTGACACAATATTGCTTGTCGCGTCGCAAGCAATATGTGCTGCTCACCTCTGCCTGTGGTCAAAATGTATTCAAATGCGTAAGAGTACAGTGCCCCAGGATCAGAAATATACATTCCTTTAAAAGTGTTATTTTTTTAGAAACACTATTCAACTGTTTTGTTTCCAATGATGAATAAAGCTACATCACCTGGAGCCTGGGTTTGGCTGAACTCCAGTGTGGACTGAGTGGCTCGGAGTTTCCCTTTCATTGAAGCGGATGGAGACACGAGGCTCTCTGGGCCCTGAGAACTCTGCGTCTCTACGAACATGGGCGTCATCACAGTGCTCCTGAAGCGCCAGTTTGAGTCGATCACATAATCCTGCACAAACAACAGCCACTTGTAATCATCTCAGACTGTTGTCCATGGTCGGTGGACAAGCTTCAGAATACTAAACATTTCCCCCCTTTTGACAGATTGTGTAAATGTTACTAGAATATTCACTCATTTCATTATCTATTAAACTGATATTTATGAAAGTACATCAAGTATTGGGGACCTGCTTTTATTGATTACTTGTGGACAGATTTTCAAAGTTAAAATTATATTTTGTTGTATGCAATTCTTAAATCAACATTTACAATGCACCATAAGTAATCATTGTTCATATATTCTTTAGTTTGGAGCGAGTGCTGATGCTGACCTGAAAAGTGCACTCCGACAGCGGATACTCAAACATGTTCCTCTGGAAGTCTGGGCTCTGGCTCGTCATCTCCAGCAGCAGATTTGTGGCCAAACTCAAGAAACAACGTTCGATTTGAGTCGTGTAAAGTGAACTTAGCACCATGGTCATGCGTTCGAAGGTCGCAGTGGGAAGACGCTTCTCCTGGCTCCAGAAGTTACGGACATAAAGCCTGCAGTAAGACAGATTTGATGGCTATTAATTTTCTCTTCTCGAGTTCCCCATGTCATGAATTCGCCTGAATGGTTTTTATAACTCGTAAAATTTCAATAATTTACAATACAACTATGGTGAGACATTGAAGAAAAAACATTTGACTGTTAGATGGGAATATTACACTGTGTATCTGTATTTATACAAATTGTGTAACTTACTGAAGACCTTGGTTCTCCTCAGCCAGTCCCTGAAGTAAAATCTCTTTGGCTGCATTTAAAACTTCTACTGAAGTGTTGTCCTCCATACTTTCTGAATCACTGAGAAAGAATAAAGAAAACCAAGTGAGAATATTGCTGGGGTTAGGATTAGGGTTAGGGTTTGGATTATCATAACATTGACATGAATTAAATAACAAAAGTTTCTTTATTAAAAAAATCATTAGTAAATATGTATTTTTAGCAGAACACGAGTTAATGCTCGAAAGATGTGACAGAGCCCAAAGAATGCAACTCTGAAAACTAGTGATAGAACCAAACTTTCTGGAGAGGGAGGAAGTAGATTAATTTGACATTTTTTTAGTGGTACCAAAGCTTTAAAAGGGATCATATATTTGAAGTTAATATTGGTAAATATTTGACAAATACAGATATCGTCACACCAAAGATAATAGTAGCAGTAGTGACCTGTAGTTGTCCTGGATCCACATCAGGATGTCGAACATTCTCTCTCGACAGACGGGGGACGGGTGGGACACAAACGCAGTCACGGGTTGGAGCAGCTCCTGCAGTTCCACCGGACTCAGCACCGAAAGGATCTTATGAATGATATCCAGACAGACACGCTGTCTTGCCTCATCTCTGTGGGGAGAAAAGGAAGAAAAATATCTAATATCAAACAGATGGTAGGAAACTGTTTTACACATGTGGTATTAATGCTAAGGATTTGAATGGAATATTGTAGAGTTGTGCATTAAATCATCAACAGAAATATGTCCCGTTACCTGGTTTCCTTACATACCATAAGTAGATTAAAATATCAAATACAATCACCGGTTTGTTGATTGACCATAGACAAATATTTGCGATGTATAAGGAATCCTTACAGTTCAAAAATAGTTTAGTGAAATAATGTCCCGTATGTACTGTAATGTAATGTAAAGTTGATTAATATGCCCCTGTAATGAATAAATAAATACATCCACTCTCACTATCTTCCTCTCTGCAATAATTGACAGGCAATTAAGCAAACAAGAATTATACAATAGGCAACTTCACTGAGGAACACGGTTTTTCCTCCTCATGATTAAACACATTTTAACAAATGCATGATTTCAAGTTTCAATTTAATGTCCGTTTCTAAATGAAGATATATTTCAATGAAGAGAAGCAGAAAATCAATCATAGTAGATGCAGATGCTTGAATGGATTACCCTCCAATTAAAACTAGCGTACCCAACTTATTTAATATATAATACTTTTCTGTTTATCCCAACAGAAAGGGTCCTGTAAAAAGTAAATGTTGAGTAAAAAGTACACCACAACATGCTGTATTCCTCTAATTAGAAAACAAATCTTGTTAAAGAAAGAGCTCTTTCTGTCTGAAAAAAGCTGAGGCCAAAATGACATGCATGTGAAAACTAGAGATAGAAACTGTTCTGATAGTTTTTCACCTGTGTGCCATCATCTGAATGAAGCCGGACGTTTTGAGCTCCATAAATATCTGTGGGATGACGTCTGCGCGGCTCAGCACACACTCCAAACAGTTTGTTTTCAAGACGCCGTGAAGCTTCGGCAGCAGGTAGAACGTCAGATTCACAAATCTGAAAATCAGGATTTGAACAAAAATAAGTGTCTTTTAAAAATGATAGTCTTGTTTTATTGAACTGACCTGTCCATAAATGGAGGGAAGTGTCTGGAGACTTTGTTCACACAGATGATAAACTTGTCGTTCATTTCCCTTTTTCCCAGACTTGCAATTTTTGTGGCAGCGAGATCGAAGAGTTCCTTATGTTGCTGGAGAAATTATTGTAAAAACTGCCATTGCAGTTTTAAGATCACTTGATGGAATTCAAAGTAAACTTACATCATCTTGTTCTGTCACATTCTTCAGTATCAGGCCAATGATCTCAGCAGCAGCGGAGTAGACTTCCTTATACCGAGTGTACGTTAAGTTATTGGTAAGGGACTGAATGTATCTAAAGCCAAACATATTTAAAAACATGGGTTAGCATGGTCTAGTCTCAGTTCAGTCATGTATTTAGCTTCAGTATTGTTCACATTTTGACAGTGGCCCAAAACACATTTTATTTTTGAGTCCTTCCAGATTGACCAAATGAGACAAAGCTTATATAATTTGTCTCAATGTGTATAAGAACAGATGTCATCACTTTAGATATTAATGATGCATGCTTAATATAAGTTGTAATGAACGTAATAATAATGTGTAGCAGTCATACAGATATAACAGGGTCTACAGAACAACATTTGTCATAGAAAGTTTCTGAAGCCAACAGAATACTGAGGCTGTTTCTGTATGGTGTATTGACCACTAATGTGTTTAGCTCAGGGGTGTCCAAACTTTTTAGTAAGAGGGCCAATTTTAGTTCACCAGACAAGTCCAGGGTTCGACATCACGGACTGAAACACTGTCTTGACTGGCATTGGGCTGTTCTGAGATTTATGATGATCTATAACAGAGCTGAAGTTGGCTGAATGACATTAGCAACATTTACGGAAGTGACATCAAAAACCACGTCAGTACAGTATGTGCATATAAAGTCAACAACGCACTGGGCTTTAAAACAAGGTCTCTAATGATTGAGCTGAAGTTGGATGGATGACACAGTAAACTTGTGTTTATGATCTCAAAGACTACTTTGGGTTAACACATGGCAGAGGGCCACATAAAATGACACTGAGGGCCGCATTTGTCCCCCGCGCCTGAGTTTGGACATGCCTGGTCCAAATATGTCCATACCCACCTGCTTATGAGCTCTTCTCACAAAAATAAACAGAGCTTATAAATATAAATGCATTTATCATCTATAAACAAAACCAGGTGTTGGCAGTAGGAGTGTGAAGAAATATCGATTTGTCGAGATACTTTCTCCCGCGATCGATTGTCGTTATACATTTGCCAAGTATCGATTAAATTAATTAAATTTTTATTTTATTTGTATCAATACTTAAGATATGGCTACATACACATCTCCATTCCATCTATCATGAAATAAAGTGTATTTTTTCACTTAACATTTTTCTATTTTATGTATGCCATATATTGGCATTTGGTACATTGCTGACCAATATATCAATAATCGTCATATTGTGATATAATCGTTATCGTGAGGTACCCTTAGGTTCCCACCCCTAGTTGGCAGTATTGTAATAGTTCCTTACTGTACTTATTGAACTTCCATGTCTTAATTTACACCTAGAAGATTGAGATTAGGGCTAAAAAGACATACTTGTCATAGCCAATGCCACATGCAGCATCATACGCAGGGATGTTGTTTGCCAAGATGATTCCCAGCAGCTGAAGTCCCAGAGAATTGTCTTTATTGTTTGGGTCCGTGCCACAGAATCGATCATAAATCAAACTATAAGAAAAGATAATATTAGTCACATAGAGCTTGAAAGCACAGTGAGAGGCGTCCCGCACCTGTAGGGCACATGCAGAACGTCTTTCCAACATTCAACCAAAGTGCGAATGATCTCCAGGTTGTGGCGGAAAACGGCACGCTTTGAGTTGAAGCAGTTTTTCATCAAGAACTCCAACAAGCGGTTTGCCAGCACTTCATCTCTTGTATTACCCTGAAACACACATGGAAGCACTTTTAATTTGCTTTCTGATGTGTCTTCTGGCTACAATTTATAAATATAACCATCTTCTTTCAGATTTTAAAAGTTTCATCCATCCATCCATCCATTTTCTTCCGCTTTATCCGTTGCCGGGTCGCGGGGGCAGCAGTCTAAGCAGAGACGCCCAGACTTCCCTATCCACACACACCTCCTCCAGCTCGTCCGGGGGGACCCCAAGGCGTTCCCAGGCCAGCTGAGAGACATAGTCTCTCCAGCGTGTCCTGGGTCTTCCCCGGGGCCACCTCCCGGTAAGGAGAGGTGCCCGGAACACCTCCCCAGGAAGGCGTCCAGGAGGCATCCTGAACAGATGCCCGAGCCACCTCAACTGGTTCCTCTCAACGTGGACGTGGACGTAGATGGAATATAAACATTTCATCTACGTTATTCAACATTTTTATTATAATACATTTTATGTAACTTTCTACAACATGTTAAGATTAGGGCTGTCAAACGATTAATTTTTTAAATCGAGTTAATTACAGCTTAAAAATTAATTATTCGTAATTAATCGCATTTCAAACTATTGGCAAAATTATGCCATATTTTTCTGTAAATGGTTGTTTGAATGGAAAGATAAATGACAGCTTAGTGAACATACTGTATGTACTGTATTTGTTTGTTATAACAATAAATCCATATAAAATGGAATTAACATTATTAACATTCTGTCTTTCTGTTTAGACTCAGACCAAAACTATTGTTTGTTACAGATGAGGGACATTTCAAAATAGTCTGAAATGCAGAATGTCATTAAATCTGTTTGATTTGCTCACACCATTACTTTTTTTGGCACAACTAACATGAACTGATGGTCGAAAGGAAAATTAGGTGCCTCAGCTTTAATTTAGCGAGTGCGCTTAGGGAGAAGACACGAAGGAGACTGAGGCTCCGCAGTCCAGCTTCAACGCTGTACATATTGTGTGCATCGGTTACGCAAAGACACATACGCACACTAGAGAATAGTTCTGTAATAGTTCTGTGCGTGGTCTTGGATATGATCCCGTTACGCAGCGCCGTTCGCCGTGATCACAGCCGCTGGAAGTGGGACATGCTGTCCAGAGCGCTGTCGCGCCCGCAGCTCATCATGCAGAGTTCATACAGGAAACTACAAGGGTCACGCGTGTATTCTTTCAAAACTTGAATTCCCAGAGGGCCTACCTGCTCTGTCCCCATCTTACACACGTGCATGTGTCCGCGGCATTCTGAGTGTTATTATGGGATGCATGGGCATGCGTCAAATGCGTCAATTTTTTTTAACGTGATTAATGAAAAAAATTAATTAACGTGCGTTAACGCGATAATTTTGACAGCCCTAGTTAAGATGCATATCAAATATATCTTTACAGAAAAAGATGATAAGTTTGTAAACATACAGTAATTTAAAAATTATATTTCGAGTGCAGTTTGGTGCCTTGGGGAAACAAGCAAAATTTGTTTCCCATTCTCTCCCTGTAAAAATAAAAACAAAGCTAAATGTGAAACTCAAAAAGCAGAAAAGCAGCAGAGCTCAAATGCAGCAGGTGTTTGATGGCCTGCTCTCTCCCTCTTCCTCCCGTCCCTCCGTCATTCTCGTCCCAACCACGTCCTGTGAGACGTGCCACACCACGCCGCTCGCTTTTGTTTGATTTAACTTTACACACACTTGCACTAAACACGTAAAACACACAAAAGGTTTTCATACTGACTATTATTTGCACCACAGCTCACTACTCACTTACAGAACATAACAACAGTATCATATTCTCATTCAACACTTAAACATGTCCTACTGATTATACTCGCATTCACGCATATTACAATTACACAGATCGCAGTAATATTTACATTATTTCCAAAGAAACACAATTTTTTGGCACTAAAATCTATTTGTCGCATCATCCCCACTTGATTTTGTTGCAACCACAGAGCCGGGCTGTAACACAAGTAACCTCTGAACTGTAAAACACTAAATACTATACTCTATAATTGTAATATTGGGAAAGAGAAAGTCTTTGGAGTTACCAAGGGGAATATGAAATGCCAGTTTTTTTCAGCCGTAGTACATTTTACCACTAACCTTTGGACTCGCGATAGTTGTCCACGAGAGCACAATGACCACAACATCCACCACCATGAAGTGAATGCCGTCGCCTCCGTTCTTCTCAGATACAACGAGCTGAAGAAGTGGTCCCAGCCAGAGCTTTGCATATGGCCGGAAAACCTGAACAATAATGAAGTAAATAATGGTGTTGTTACAGAATTCACACTGCTGACCCAATGTGTTAGACTTCAGCTCTGGTCACAGTATATACACTAATATATTGTTATTATTAGTACCAACGATAATAAAAATACCTCCTCGGCGTTGATTATAAGTTTTGCAATAAAGAGACGGATGTTCAAAGGTGTAGATGGATTTGACAGTTTCCCATGAAGAAATTTCATCCACGGCGGACAATCAGTAGGAACACTTCCCTGTTGAAAAATACATTTTACAACAATGTTTTTGATTTTATTGTACACATATTTGTTTAAATATATTCTACTATTACAGACCTGTTGGACTTTAGGGGTGATGTTGTTCCTCTGCATGTGTCTGATCAGAGCCGTCATGGCCGTCATACACTCATGCTGGTTCAGCTCATCCATTTCCAGGTCCACCAATGCATCCTGGGAGGAATCTGTGTCCTCCGTCTCCTATACAAGTATTTCATTATTGATCTATTATGTACTGAGTTTTAGAGAAGCTATACAACAGGATAACAAAACTCACAATTTCAGTGCTAAAAAGGAAACAAATTTGAATTCAAAATCGGCAATGCTCTCGGCCGCTCGTTCATTTAAAAAGGGAGATATCATTTCTCAATTCATATGGAGCCAATCTAAATGTGCCCTTTATTTATCCCTGTAGGTAACTTTGTCCTAGCCCGACTCTCGCCAGACCCTTGTAGTTGCGCCATGCTCCATCAGAGGCGTTTGGCTGAACACAAGGGTCTGGGATCGACGCCAATGCAAACTCCTTCAGGAGATCCAAAAATAATCAGCCAATCAGGATCGCCGGTGTAACATCGGGTTTGCACCGCCTTCTAGTGTGTGTCTCACGCATGGATGTATTATATTAACAGCAAAAACAATCCAAGATGGCGGACATAGGGTCCGTGATTTAAAGGGGACATATCATGAAAAATCCACTTTTTGTGTCTTAAATGCCTTATGTTGTGTAGTTGGAGCCTCTAGAAGTGCAAAAAAGTTGAAATCAGTCTCTTCATGGGTTGCAGAGAACACTTCATATTCTGTTTAGGTAAGATTTTTCAACCCGTTCTGATTTTGCCATTCTCTATTACGTGTTTGGAATTATTACGTCACAGTATTTGCAGCGAGACTGCTATATAAGGGCATGGGCGTCTAACAAAACACTTCGGCCCAGCCCTCCTCTACTGTGCATCACTTCGAATTTGTAGTCCAAGCTCAATGATGCCAGCGCACAGGGCTGGACTGGCCATCGGCCGTACCGGGCAATGCCCAAAGGGCCGATGCCCATATTTGGGCCGGTCTGTCTGCCTCATACAAAACACATGTTTATGAGAAGTGTAAATCCGTTGAGAATTGTTCGAGGGGGCGCGCGTATCCGCGGGGCACCTGCTGTATGTACTCGAACGGGATTCCGCCACCTCAGCGGCCGTAGTGTTCCGGGGCATCTGCGGCCGCTTTGTAATGCGGCTGCGAGAGGCTGTGAGCGTCCAGCCGCTCGCAGCCGCTCCACCGTGTTGTGGCTGAGCGCGCAGCCTCAACGTGGCCATGTACCCAACCCCATAAACGCGCACAGGACCATGCGTGTCTTTGAGTAATCTGTGAACCCAATAAATACACTGCTGCAGGAAACAGTCCGCGTCTCCCCTATCCTCTCGAAGCGCGATTAAACACCCTAAATAAAGCTCTGATACCTACATTTTGCATTGCATTAAAAACTCATGTTTGAGCCCAAAAGTAATATGTTGTGAACAAATTAAACAGATTTAGAGCCAGCAAATGGCTGACAATATGCATTTCAGTCTTTTTTGACCAATTCTCATCCTTGTAACAAACAATAGTGTTGTCTGTGTCCACCTCCCTCACTCTGAGACATGTTCATTACTCTCTTGTAATGTAGACTATTGCATTTTATTTTATTGTTGAAACTGCACATATCCTGATCCTCTACAGTATTTGCTTCCACATACTGTATAAACTAGGAGTCGGCAACCTGCGGCTCCGGAGGTGCATGTGTCTCTTTCCTTCTGTAGAAGGAAAAATGTTCTTTACGTTTTTAAATGCTGTAAAATTGTGCATAAGTAATATTCAATTTAAACATTTCTGTCAACGTAGTGCGTCTTATCCTGCGACGTAGGCCAGCGCCAGGCGGCCGCTGTTGTAAACAAACCGGCATGTGAGCTCTGCTTGTGTACAAGTCTCTCCATGGCCTCGTTCCAAAATATATTAGTGACATGTTAGTCCCATATGAACCAGCCCGGACTCTGAGGAGCACAGGGACTGGACTCCTGCTGGGACTCTGAGGAGCACAGGGACTGGACTCCTGTTAGTGCCCAGAGTCAGGACTAAACATGGGGAGGCTGCTTTTCAGATTCATGCTGCTAAAATCTGGAACAGTCTTCCTAAAGATGTGAGACAGGCCTCCTCTCTGACAATGTTTAAAACCAGGTTAAAAACAGTTCTGTTTAGCTGTGCATACAACTGAGGGATTTTATATTTTTATCTTTCTTTTTAATGTTCTGTGATTATTTATGATTTTAATGCTTTCATATTTTGTTCAGCACTTTGAATTGCCTTGTGTATGAATTGTGCTATATAAATAAACTTGCCTTTCCTTGCCTTGACTGTGCGCATGGATCCCAAAGCTAAAACGAGAAGAGTCGATAATAAGACTGGACTAAGAATGAAAATTAACATTTGCTTTCAGTCAATGAGGAAAGCCTGCTTCATGTTTGCGATGTAATGAGAAGTTTCTATGGAGATAATTGTATCTGTGCTTAGAAACTACAAAAATGGCCGCTCGGGGTGGAGTTGAACCTTTGTCACCTGGATGGGGGGGTGGTCAAAAGCGCCTCATTTGCATTTAAAGAGACAGCACCAAAACAGGTTGCTCTCAGACGCACCTCAGAACAGGTGTAGAAGAAAGGCCCGTGTAGCTACAAATAATGAGACTCAGACCCAGGCATTGCAGTTACGCTTTATATAGGCCACAAATTAATGATTTAGATGTAAAAATCAATTATTTGAAAACACGATATGTCCACTTTAAAAAAAAAAGTTTTAATACAAACGAACCAAGATACAGATGTCACTTTTAGCAGCACCCACTAATGTCTGCTGTCGTTGTGTCCTTGGGCAAGACACTTAACCCCACATTGCCTGAAGCTCCCAGTGAAACACCAAGGCTGTGGCACCACTGATGGAGCAGCCATCTTACTGTGGACTCACCACTTGCAGAGGATCAGCAAGGGACTGGTGCTATGAGCATTGGGTGGCAGCTCTACTCGTCACCCCCCCACCCAGAAATGGACTAATAAAGGGGTAGAAAAGTAATGAATGAATGAATGTCACTTTTAATGCAATATGAGGCGAGATGTCGATGGTTTCATGTTGTTACATGCGCGTTTTAAGAGTCAAATGTTCGTGTAAAGCGTGGTTTAAGAACTAGTTACAACACTACGCAGCAGGGTTGCCAGGTTGGGTGGTTTCCTGCATACTTTTTTTTCCAAGCGACTTGTAGGTAATAAATAAACAGAAAGACAATAAACAGAATCATGATAGCTTACGTTTTCAGCCCAATTTTTTTTTGGGGCTTTCTTGCGGGTTTTGCGCTGGAAACTCTTGCCAGCATTTGGCAACCCATGGGAATCATGTGCTAAATAGTATGCTTCAATGGGATTGGTTGAGGGAACACGTCATTCAACATAACAGACAAGTGTTTTATCCAATCACAGGCCCTGCCATCTGAAATGTATACGCTATAAAGCAGATCCAAACCCTTGTGTGAAGCTCAGCGAACTACAAGGGTCTGGCGAGAGTCAGGCTAAAGTCTAGTGTATAGTCGCGCTGCGCGGAGCATACGATGGTGACGTGACGTCACATGCGCAACGCAAGGATCACCGCAGAACCCTTTGTTTGAATCTGCACTCATAGCTTATCGCGTCTGTTGCATTCCTCCTGCACTTGTAAATAGTTAATGTTTGTCTCAGATATTTACCACTTATTGTTTTGCTGTTTGTGCTGACTACACTTTAATAATAACTATACGTTTCCAACAAGAACTGTGTCTTTATTCACAACATCACAGTTAAATGAGTTGAAACTATGACTTTAGAACTATCACATTAACCTACAATAGAAACACATTGATCTCAAACAGCTTGGTTCGCTAATGTTTTCGTTCTGAAGAGGAGAAAGTAGCAGCGTAAATGGGATGGCTTTGGTTTCCCAGGCGACTCCTGTTCGCCATCACGTGGTTGGGTGTGAGATTACAACACTCTTTCCAAAACTACGCAGGGGGGTGCGCTCGAGTGTACCAGCAACTGTGGCTACGTGGGTCCAGTGCAACCGCAAACGTTACCAGCACCGCACGAGTGTACACAAGCCTTAAAGTGATAGTCTGTAACTCTAAATGAATTAAAAATTTTAGGAAATGTGTTAAACTGACCTCCTGGCCTTAAATGTTGATATAAAATAAGTCATTTTATTAATTCTAATATTACGGGCAAGTCCCGTCTTCCCTGCTCTTAGCTATAGTTCAGAATCCACGGTGCCGTTGAGGTTAACCAATCGAGTCATGCCAAGAGCTGTCAATCATCGGCGCTGATGCTCGCAGCTACGCGCATGCTCAGTTGGTTTTTGCGGAGCCTCCGAATCAAGCCTCTATTAGGCTCTGGAACTACATGAAAACTGAACAAAGAATTCTGAACATCTGCGCTGAGTTACCCATTTATATACTGAACCTGTATCCATAATCAGATCCTCTGCAGATGTGTCCTATAATGTGCAATTCATAATAATAGCACTTCCTGGTTTGCCGCGATCGCTTTTTTTGTGCATAAAAACATTATTTTTTTCATTAAAACGTTCACAAATAATTCTGAAAACCTCCGTGCATGTGTATTAATAATGTATATGTATAATATGTTCTCTGATTAACATTTCAAAGTGTTACGAAAACGTAGGTGTAGACCAATCAGAAAGGAAGGGGGAGGGAGCTTGCGTCATTTTTTTCAAATCAAGTACCTGTCTGTCTCTCTTTCTGACAAACTCCAGACAATCACTTTAACTTTGTCCTCTGCATTTGACCCATCCTGATGCCACTAGGGCATCTGTCAGCAGCAGTGATCGCCAGTAGTGCAGCGCCTGGGCACCCATCTCCAGATATTGATGCTCTGGGTCAGAACCGGAGCTAGAGGATTTAACTTTTGGAAGCATCCGGAGGACCAGGAGGAAACCTTTGCAGACCCAAGGATAACATGCAAAATTCACTCAGAAAAGCCCTGTTCTGATTGAGAGTTGAACCCAGGACCTTCTTGCTGAGTAGCAAGAGCAATATCCACTCAGCCACTGTGGTAAAAATGTAATAATTTTTGACAAGATTTTAAAATTCTTACAGTTTTAGAAATGTGATTACTGTACTACTTGATGTAGAAGTGGAGAAAAAAACGAACAAACTGCACCATTGGCTCCTTTCTAATGACTCATGTTAAACCCTACCCTCTTCACAGTGGTCTTCCTGCGCCCCTCTGGATGCTGGGAGCTGTAGGAGAAGCTTTGGACTCCAGTGGAGAAATCAAACTGGCTCATCTCTTCACTCAGACTGCTGTCCGCCATGTACGACTGAGAGGACAGATACACTGGGGATTCTGCACATGAACAGATTAAAAAATGCCATCATTGATAGTATCATTTTTATCACTAACAAATTTATAACAAAAAATGTACCTCCGTTCTCTTCATTGGCCTCTTTTCGGATCATGACGTATTTCTTTTTTCTCTCCAGAGGGACCTGCAGTTACATTCACACATGTATTATGAGGCTACATATATTACTTAATGGGTTCAGGAATAGCATCATTAGTTGAAATTTAATTATAAGTTTAATTCCAGTACTATTGTGATTAGTTCTACTCATAATATAAATCTTGGACGTCAAATAGGCATTTCTACAATACTGTCCAAATAAATTGTAAAAAAGTGAATTTTGAGTGAATTTTGCCCATATTAAATTTTGTCTTCCTATTAGCATACATAACTTGGTTGTAATCAAAACACAAGTACCTCAACTTCAATAGGAAAGTGGTATGTCCTCGTAACATCAATGATATTTTCCAGGATGAACTGATGCTACAAGAAGCAAAGGAAATTTTTAAACACACAACAACAAAAATCAACAATATCAAAATCTTCTTCAAAATTACCTTTTCCGGTTTCTCACTGAACAGAAATCCTTGGTAAAATTTGGGCTCATTAAAACTACAGCTGATGACGGCGATGGCACAGTTATACGCAGTGCAGTGGAAAAGCCTCCGCAGTTCAAGCAGCTGAGTCTCCCCAGCCATGTTCTCAGTGAAGGACTCAAAACAAGATCTGGGAATTACAAGGAATCGCGAGGAATCACAGAGAAATTACAAGGATTCAGAGTGAATAACAAAGATTATTATATGACTTGGACCGTACGCGTGCTCTGATTGGCTGATTACCGGTTTAATATTTTCCCATCTCGGACCGTTACCATGACAATTGGTCCGCAGCACGTATCACACAAAATCAAGTCGGACATGTACATACTTCACAAATATCTCAAAAGCATTGGTAAAGACACAGACGAGAGTCATATAATAAAACATTTATTAACCTTGCTTGCTCGGTCTGGACATGGAAATACCAGACCTTGGCCTTTTAGCACAGACCTCGCCATGGCTCGGTCTGTACATTAAGGCCGCGGTCTGATATTTCTCCATACAGACCTCGCGCTCGGTTAATAAGCCGTTAATATCAAATTCAACAAAGCAATACTTAAACTGTTGGCAGTATTTACTTGATGAGGGCTTTGGACATCTCATTCCCCTCGGGTTTGTCCGTGCAGCAGTAGGCCTGGTTGATGCGCGAGTCTTTGGAGTAGACATCGTCTTTGGGGAGGCGTGAGTAAAGCAGCTCCATCAGTTTGTAACAACCGATTTTCTTAAACAATTGGAGTTCAAATGTTGCCTCACTAGACTAAAAATACAAAGTTAAAGTTGTATTAATGAAGCAGTAGTGTTGTAATAAATCCCTGACCTGCAGTTAAAGCTGGGGCACCTAACTTTTGTTGTTTGTCCAAACAGTCTTGTTAAAGTAAACATTTTAATTAGTGCTGTCCAACGATTAAAATATTTAATCGCGATTAATCGCATGAATTTCATAGTTAACTCGCGATTAATCGCAAATTAGTCACACATTTGCGTGCTGTGTGCAATTGCTTTTTTTTATTGAAAACAATGTGTAGTGTTATATTACACACTAACATTTGATGCAAAATCATCAATAAATGGATGACAAAATAAATAATTGGTAACAAAAAGCCCCTTCAATGTGTGTGTGTGGGTGTGTGTGTGTATGTGTGGGTATAGACCATAGACTGTATAGAAACATCATGGTGTCATTATGATGATGATAAACAATCTGTAAATATTTTGTAAATTTGTTCATGTAAATACTCTATGCTGTTTCTCTGTTTACCTTCGGTATATCTATGACTGTATACTGTTTGCTTGTATTGCCTTTTTTATTAACCCCTCCCCCCATCTCCCACTTCATGTCCCCCCCCCATCCCCCCCCTCCCCCCCCGTCCCCTCCTATGTGCCCTTTTGGGTTTCTTCTTTGGCCCCCTGTATCTCCAACTACATATTGTTTGTAATCTCTGTCTACAATGTATCTGAACTAGTCCTTTTCTTTGTTTCTATTTTTTTTTCTGTATATGTGTTTGTCTGCAATAAAAAGTAAAAAAAAAAAAAAAAAAAAATCTTTTTTTTTTTTTTTTTATTGCGCGATAAAAAAAATGACGGCGTTAATATTGATTTGCGTTAACGCGTTAATAACGCGCTATTTTGGACAGCCCTAATTTTAATGTTTCAATAAATCAGACCACAACATAAAAGACTACAAAATATAATATATTGCATACTTGTAAGAAAGAACCCTGTGATTCACAAAATGCCGGTCTGAAAAAGCTGATGAGAAACAGGAGCTTGTTGATTTTACTACATAGTACCAGAAAGTTAGGTACCCCCACTTTGATATATGACTCATCTTCCAGACCTTAGTGAAGCGGACCAGCAGTAGATTTATCATGTCGGAAACGTTGGCCACGTAAAAGTGGTTGAGGGCCTGGGTGCCGCAGTGAGAGGCCAGAGGCAGCAGCACTCTGTCGGTCAGAGACTGAAGCATGGAGTTTGTGGGAACATCTCCATGCTGCACCTTCCTAAACATGTCACACAAGAACTCCAGCTGCTTTTCTGGAGAAGCCCTATTACAAACAGAAAAATATATTATCGCATCAATCCTTTCTAACATTGAAAAGAGCACTACAGGTTGTGGCTTATTCGTCATTTATAGGCACTACAGAAATAGAGTAGACCTACTGAAAACCCTGCGGGATATTTTGATAAGTTGTTACTTAGTATGGAAAATGAATGAATTGAATGATTGAATGAATGAATTACTGTATATAGGGTGACAGTAGCTCAGCTGGTAGAGCATTGGCTTTTGGGCCTGAAGGTCATGGGTTCCATTCCCCCATAAGACCTACTCCAACTTCTCCCACTCATGTCTGCTATCGTTTGGTCCTGGGCAAGACACTTAACCCGACGTTGCCAAAAGTCCCAGCTGAAAGAACAAGGCTCGGTCACCCCTATAGAGAGGGCATCTTCCCATGGACCCACCACCTGCAGGAGAATCAGTGAGGGACTGGTGCTATGAGCATTGAGTGGCAGCTCTCATTGCCAACCCCCCCCCCCCCCAAGACATAAATTGATTTATAAAGGGGTTTGAAAATGAATGAATGAATGGTATGGCCAAATAGTTCCTTCTGCCAGAGAATCAAAACTGTGTGGGATTACCTGCTGCTCCCAGAGGTTCTCCATCTAATCTAAAGCCAGAGCCTAAACGACTCACTTACGAATGTAACAAAAGGGTTACCTGTAGTTCATCAACAATAATGAAAAAAGTATTTTTGCGCTCACTTCAAAGTTGTATGGTCTATAATGACACATTATATAAAATAAATGCAATTAAACAAACTTGAATTGCAATCCTTCAAGCAAAGTGGTATTTGTGTGCTTTTATTTTAGAAGTTTTACACCCGCTGATCATTGCACAAGTTACAAAGAAAGATCTTTATATCAATATGGCTCATCGCTGGACTCACCTTTTAGCAATTCTTTGGAAACTTGTCTGAAACTGTTCTTCCATGATGTGCCTTTTGTCCCGACATAAAATACCAGCCATCAGATTCAGCAGCAAAGGACTGTGGGAAAGCTCCAATGCATCCAGAAGCTAAAACACATAGATATTCAAGACCTAAAGTTAGCTCTGGTCAGAAGTAGATGCATCAGATTTTTCTCAGATTCATGTTTTGATTGATTGGTTCACAATCCATAACAATATTATTGCTGCAATTAAAAAAAAGAAAAAAAGAAATTAGAGCCTCATAAGCGGTGTAATTGCCGATGAATTTGCAGCCTGATTGGATCAGAATTATGCATGGAAAAGTTCATTAATAGGATTCAATGCGCCCCCCAGTGGTCACCTGTGGGACATCAATCAATCAATCAATCAACTTTATTTGTAGAGCGCCTTTCCTACACAAGGCAACGCAAAGCGCCTCACAACCCATATAACATCATGCATAAATCATCAAACATTAGAATTTAAGTAAACATAAAAAGACAGATTAAGAGCACAAGATATATTAAAAACAAAAAAATAAAAATCACACAAGTAGTTAAAAACCGTAAAACATTAAAATCACACAAGGGATTAAAATCATAAATAGTCATAGCGCATTAAAAAAATTAAAGATAAAAACAAATATAAAATCATTCACTTGTATGCACAGCTAAAAAGAACTGTTTTCAGTCCAGTAAAAAACTAAACTGCTAGAGTAGAAGCTTAAAAACTGCTAGAGTAGACGCCTGTCTCACATTCTCGGGAAGACGGTTCCAGACTCTAGCTGCATGAATCTGAAACGCAGCCTCCCCATGTCTAGTTCCAACTCTTGGCACTAACAGAAGTCCAGTCCCTGTGCTCCTCAGAGCCCGAGTTGGTTCATATGGCACCAACATGTCACGGATGTACCCTGGTGCGAGGCCATGGAGAGACTTGTACACAAGTAAAACTGCTTTAAAGTCTATTCTCTGAGCCACAGGAAGCCAGTGCAAAGACCTGAGGACCGGACTAATATGGTCGTACTTCCTGGTTCTAGTCAGGACTCGAGCTGCAGCATTTTGGATGTACTGCAGCTTTTTTACCGCTTGTTTAGAGAGACCTGTGAACAAGCCATTGCAGTAGTCCAATCAAACTGGAGACAAATGCGTGGATAAGAATCTCCAAGTCTGCTTTAGACACTATGTTTTTAATTTTAGCAATGTTTCTTAGGTGGAAATAAGCTGATGATGTCACAGATGATATGTGGCTATTGAAATTTAAGTCTGAGTCCATTATTACTCCTAGATTTCTGACCTGAGTTGAGGGTTTTAGGGAGAGAGACTGGAGGTGGCAGATAACGCTCTCTTTGTTTTTGGGGTCCGAAAACAATGATTTCAGTTTTTTCTGTGTTTAGCTGGAGAAAGTAATTTTGCATCCAATCACTGATTTGTTGGATACAGTGAAGGAGCGAGTCCACTGGTCCATGTTCTCCTGCTGTCAGGGACACATAGACCTGAGTATCGTCAGCATAATTGTGATAGGACACGTTATTACTGTGTATTAACCTACCCAGAGGCAGCATGTAAATATTAAACAGGAGAGGCCCCAGGATTGATCCCTGTGGCACTCCGCAGGTTAGGGCCAGATGGTCTGAGATACAGTTTCCGATCTCCACAAAATACTTTCTGTCCTGTAGGTAGGACATAAACCAGCTTAGGGCTGTGCCAGAAACACCAACCCAGTCCTCTAGTCTCTGAATGAGGATACCATGATCGACAGTGTCGAAAGCAGCACTTAAATCTAACAGGATAAGAACTCAGACTTTTCCTGCGTCAGTGTTAAGTCTGATGTCATTCGTTACCTTCACTAGAGCAGTCTCTGTGCTGTGGTGGGGTCTAAAACCAGAGTGGAACATATCAAAAGAGTGATTGATTATTAAAAATTCTGTAAGTTGTTGATAGACAACTTTTTCTAGAATTAGAAACACATTAGATGACATGCACCACTGCGTTATGTAGTAATTGGCATTGATTTGACACTGCGACTTTGGAGAGAATCGGAAAAGTTTAGGTCGGAGGCCTCCCATAGGTGGCGCTCTAGAGTAATATTAGGGGTTTGTTTTCACATCATTACGCTCAGGCCATTACCAACTATTGGTTTCAGCTCTGTAGGTCTGAGCCTGTGGCCAAGAGAGCATCAAACATGTAGAAACTTTTTTTCAGTGATTATACAACCGTCCAGATGTAGAAATGACATGGTAGAAGTCTGTGATGAAAAACCAGGGACTACTGCCCATAGTTGGCGCTGATGCACGCACAATAGAGTGCTGCATACTGTTGTGTTTGGGGTCATACATTGTTTTTGTGAATTCATTTCTAGCTTCATAACAGAAATTAGAACAGGGAGCTTCTGGTATCCAGCAAAAAGATGGTGCTCATGGAAGGAGGCAATAGAACGTGCAGAGAAAAATCAGTTCCAGGCACTCATCATTTGCAAAAGTAGATGGCTTTATTTATGGGCCAGAAACATTAAAAAGCACACCAACGCGTGTCGGCTTGCGCCTTCGTCAGGGTGTGTGTAGAGACAAACAGTAAACCAATTTATAATGTCTGACTGCAGGTGTGCAGCCAGGACATTGAGACACATGCTGTCATAGTCCTTTTGGACACAAGGGGGAGACATTTCGTCTTCACAGTATAGTGGCAACAAGAAAAACCATAGACAAACAAAATTATTATAAAAAACAAGAGGTCCAGATCTTCATTCAGGCCAGGGTATTTTGTAGCACTAAGAGCATGGATCCAATATGCTTCTCTTTGCCTTAGGCGTAAGATTTTATCACCACCCCTGGCATTTAGAGTGATAACCTCAATTCCTGACACCTTTAGGGTGGAGTCATGGCTATGATGGACATCCATATAATGTCTGGCCATAGGATAATTTGGGTTATTGGAGCAAATGGCATATCTGTGTTCAGCCACTCTATCCCTCAGCCTCCTTTTAGTGAGGCCCACGTAGAAGCACCCACAGGGACATTCAAGGCGATACACTACATGGGTGGTGTTACAGTTGACAAAACCATTTATAGAATACATCCTATTAGAAGCCAGATCCATAAAAGTGTCAGTCTTCACCATGTTCTCACAGTATCTACAATGGCCACAGCAAAAGTTCCCTTTTGGGCGGGAGAGCCATGTGGTGGGTTTAGTAGATGGGAGATAGCTCCTCACAAGCTTGTCTTTAATGGTTGGGGCTCTTCTGAAGCTGACTCCTGGAGGCTCAGGGAAAACCTTTCTCAAAAGAGGATCACTCACAATAATATCCCAGTTTCTTTGTATAATTCGTTTAACATGGGTAGCCTCTTTACTGTAACTTGTGACAAAAAAGGGCTTCTGCGTTTGCTCCTGTCTAGGTTTAGGAGTGAGCAAGTCAGTCCTCTTCAATGACAAGGCTCTAGTATGAGCTTGAGACAGCAGCTCCTGAGAATATCCCCTTTGGGTGAAACGTGCTCGCATGTCAATAGACTGACTGACGAAATCTTGGTCAGAGTCACATATGCGTCTAAGTCTTTGTATCTGACCGTTAGGGATATTTTCAATTAACCAAGGAGGATGGAAACTCTCTGCATGCAAAATTGTATCGCGGTCTGTTGGTTTACGAAATATTGACGTATGTAGGTTACCATGGTCATCTTTAGTAATATTTAGATCAAGAAAATGTACACTCTTACTGTCATATTCCAAATTTAGTTTAAGGTTGGCATTGAGACTGTTAACATAAAGATGGAAAGCCTTCAGTTCACTTTCTGACCCTGAAAAGAAAAGGATAACATCGTCAATATATCTGCCCCACCATAAAATCTTGTCCTTAAAGGGATTGTGATCAGAATATATGTACATTTCTTCCCAAAGGCCTAAAAACAAGTTTGCATAATTTGGTGCAAAACATGCACCCATAGCCGTCCCTTTCTCTTGCTTGTACAATTTATCTTCAAACAGAAATACATTATTCTTTAGCGTCCACTCCGTTAGCTGTATTATAAAATCTGTGGGGGGCATTTGATCAATGTCTCTACTGCCTAGGTAGTGTCTTAAGGCCACTAGTCCTTCCTCATGAACAATATTACTATAAAGAGATTCAAAGTCCATTGTGGTCATAATACTGGGGCCAATATTTTCCATTTGCATGATCTGTTGGAGCACTTGGGTGCTGTCCTGAAGATAAGATGGCAATTGTGAAACAAAAGGTTTTATAAAGTAGTCCACAAACTTAGAATCATTCCCGCTAATTATTGGGCGGCCTGGTGGGTTTAACATTTCTAGCTTCATTGGACAAACATATTCAGAGTCAAAATAATCAAATAATAATCTGAAACCGCGAGTAACAAATACTAAAATACAAATACTAAATACAAATACTAATACTAAAAAAAAAAATTGCTCAGCATAAATTATGTCACAATTATTCTGTATAAAGTATTTTCATAGTTTGTTTCTCAAATTCATACAAAACCTCTTCTCTGCGTGTTTTAGATATAAGGTTGTGAAAAACAATGAATTGGTGGCCATTCTGTGTAGAGTTTGCATGTTCTCCCTGTGTCCGTTTCTCCCGGGTGCTTATCGAACACCATCTATGTTCACGAACGCACCCTGATATATTAAAAGGTGATACAAACACCACATCTACCTTGCGGATGCAGTCCATGTAGTTGTTGCGATGAAGAGATCCTTTGGCAAACTCGTCCGACTGCATTGGGAAATGTGAAGCCACCAGGGCATCCAGCGCTTTCTGCAACTGCTCCAAGGGTGTGTCGGGCAGAGTCGTGAAGAAGGGCAGCACCAACAAGGCCTGGCTCTGAACACACACACACATTATTAATAAAACAGTTAGAAACTATTCAATCTACTGCATGGTTTTATTCTGACCTTGAGATTTAGGGGAAGGCTGGAGTCCGTCAGCAGTGATGTAAACGTAGTGAACACTGGGCTGAAAGCATCGTGGGTGTTTGAGGAGCAGACAGAGGAGTCGATCTGTTGTGAAAAAACAGTTGCTAACAAACAACTTGCAGGATTAATGAGTTTAAAGAGAAGCACAGAACATGTGGGACAAATAGTTCCTACTTTTATTCACTGTAGTATTAAAATGTTCAAAGAGACTATATTATGGGTTCTCTGTTTGAACAATACAAGGAATTTTTGCTCTTGGTTTATATAATGTGGGCTTTATTTAGTTTATTTATTTTTTTATTTTTATTTTTTCTGGATGCTTAAAGACACTTCAAATGGTACATTAATTCATTCACACCCTACAAAGTGGTAACTAACTACTACTGTGGTTGCGGCTGCCTTGGGCGGCGAGGCTACTAATCAGCTACTGTACCAATCATTCACACTCACAACAGACTTGCACTAGACTCTGCAGTTGTCTGAGCAGAGATTATGGAAATCTGTCAAATGTGGAAGAAGGGGAAGAAAATTGATAGATGGGAATATTGATATCTTATACAGATTTGAACAAATAAGAGCAATTTGAATATTGCTGTTGAAATGTGTACTTTGTATAGAATAAAAAGGATATAATTAAGGATATAAAACAGAAGTAGCTTGCCTGCAGGAGTTTGGACAGGAGCACCAGAGTGGCGGTCTTGCTCTCAGGAGTGGCCTTGTCCCCGACCCACCAGGAGCTCAGACCACCCCATCGTCTGAGCACCTCCTCCACCAGCTGTTTGCCCTGCGTCTTTCTCACCGCACGCTCACGAAAACTGTGGTCCAGCATCCCGTTCAACAACAGACTCACCTGAGAAACAAACACTATTCAGAGTTTCTAAAATAAGTAAAAGGAGGTGGTGTGCAGCGGCTACACCCCCTCTGGTGCTGCTGCATTTCATCACTATTGTTAGTAACTTTTAGAATTATGTATTTATTAATTTTAATTGATGGAATGCGTTTCTGCTGCTGGACATCTGCATTCCTCCTACAGGGATCAATAAAGTATCTACAGTATCTATTATGGTATCTACAGTATCTAGCTAACATGCAGACAGTAGGTACCAAGGTGGAAGTGTTATGGTTCACATGCAGACAGTAGGTACCATGGTGGAAGTGTTATGGTTTAACTGCTGACAGTAGGTACCATGGTGGAAGTAGTAGTAATCTTTAGTAGTAGTAATCTTTATTTATATACCGCCTTTTCACTGCAGATCTGACTCTCAAAGCGGTTTACAATTGTTAATTATGGGCATTTGTCTCTCACTCCACAGGGGGAAACCTACGCAGACACGGGGAGAACATGCAAACTCCACTCAGAAAGGCCCTGGTCCGACCGGGATTCATACCCAGGACCTTCTTGCTGAGAGGCGAGAGTGCTATCCACTCAGCCACCGTGCCGCCCAGGAAGTGTTATGGTTTACATGCTGACAGTAAGTACCATGGTGGAAGTGTTATGGTTTACATGCTGCCAGTAGGTACCATGGTGGAAGTGTTATGGTTTACATGCAGACAGTAGGTACCATGGTGGAAGTGTTATGGTTTACATGCTGACAGTAGGTACCATGGTGGAAGTGTTATGGTTTACATGCTGACAGTAGGTACCATAGAGGAAGTGTTATGGTTTACATGCTGACAGTAGGTACCATGGTGGAAGTGTTATGGTTTACATGCTGACAGTAGGTACCATGGTGGAAGTGTTATGGTTTACATGCAGACAGTAGGTACCATGGTGGAAGTGTTATGGTTTACATGCAGACAGTAGGTACCATGGTGGAAGTGTTATGGTTTACATGCTGACAGTAGGTACCATGGTGGAAGTGTTATGGTTTACATGCTGACAGTAGGTACCATGGTGGAAGTGTTATGGTTTACATGCTGACAGTAGGTACCATGGTGGGGTTCTGAGGGGCAGCTTCGGTGAGTCGTGGGACTGTAGTGGTCAGGCTTCTAAGCAGCTCAGCGTTGACAGTTGCTTGGAAAAGGCTGTAGAAATACTCTCCGTGGGAAAAGTTCAGGAAGTTGTAGCTGTGACTCCCAGATATCGGCACGGAGACTACGATGGTGTTCAACAACAGGTCCACAAGCTGCTCGTTCTGAAAAGTGTCACATAGCATTCTATGTAAATAACAAATCAAATGTGAATACAGTTTAATCTCATAAGCAAACATTGAAAAAGTGTTTTATTGTTTATGCCCGCTATTGTTATCCTTTAGTGGGCGGGCAAAGTGCACGCTGCCAAATTACGCCTACTTATGGTGAAAAAGTAGTAGTACCATAGTATGAAAAGTAGCTGTTGGAAAAGGGGGCTATAAGGGCTACTATAAGGCTCGGGGCCACTTTGGTTCACCAGTGTCCGTGGATATACACCGCAGACCCAGCAAAAAACAAATATGAAAATAAAACATCTGAAATCAAAAGGTTCTGAGATTTACAACAGGGTATAGCATGACCATGACTACGTCGGTGGAGCTGAAGTTGGCTGTGAAAGAGCCTCAGTCCCCAATAGGATATAACGCAAAATGAGTACAGACAGTATTTACCTGCTGACTGAGTGAAAAGCCGAGCTGAAGGACTCCGTCTGCCAGTCTCTTTGTGTTCACATCTAGAGAAGGCAGCGTGCTCCTGTCTTCCCCTGGAGCAATTCCCTTGTACACAGTCATAAGGAGTTGAGACGCAATCGATTTGACATAAACTGGATCCTACGAAACATTAGAAAACACTTATTTCCAAGAAGTTATAGTTTATACCTTGTGTTCTCAGTGTTTTTAGTTTTTATTTTTTTTACCTGGAGTATAGAAGGAAGGAAACCTGCTTTGTTGATTTGTTTGCAGGCAGAGAGAAGCGTTTCCATTTGGTCCTGATGTTTTAGTGACTCTGTGTTATAGAAGTCCACTGCACACAAATCCTCCAGACTATAGAGACATATGGACAATGAATAAAGTTTGGTTGATTAAGACTAGAATGATTTTCTGCCAAACCAATCACACACAAGAACTGTGTGATTCCTCATACAGTATAAATAAAAGAAGAAACACATTTGAGATATTTTTTCCTCTACAGATCTTCCTGGACAGATAAAACATTACACCAACATATTTGAATGAATTTTGTTACAAAGATTTGAAGACAGACCTCAGAATCTTTTAATCCTAAATGCTATTTGAACAATATATTCAGATCAATAGTATAGTGTTCATGTAGAAGCAGTAGAGGATTGTAACGATACCTTTTCCGTGATATTTTGTCCCGGAGGCTGCTCTTCACTTGGCTCTGGAGTGGAGAGGCCATGAGGGCTTTCAGCAGCGGCACGCACACTTCAGGCAGGTTGCTCATCACCTCCACGTCCGCCATGTTGAATCCCACTGAAGACGGATCACAGACGACCAGTGCCACCAGCTCAAAGAACACAGCACTGAAAAGGTCTTGCTCAAGAGCCTGAGGACAGAGAGACCACAGAGCCACACGTGTGCTGTTAATACAGGCAATAAACAAGAGATGACACCTAAACAATATATGGCTTTTATTCTTATTTTTATGTTACACACATTTTATGTAATTTGTATGAATAAAAATCAACATGTATTTATACAGTTAACACACCCAGCCAGATTTGCAATAGTACTGAGGCCATACCCTTTTGCACTCCTCGTTTGTGGTCATATGAATCCATGAATTGCCAGATAAACGTGTTCAAATGATAACGTCATCAGTGAGGTGCTGTAAGGACATCTCAAACAAACAGGAATATGCAGGAACATGAGACTTTTTGCCAAGAAGAACAGGTGTCCAATCAGAGCATGAAGATCCTCATCCGACTCCTAGCTGACGTAGATGTTAAAGCTTTTGAGAACTGGGGGATGGAAGCTTCTACTTAGGGGCATTTGAGTATTTTTGGTTGTCACATATTGAAAATAGAAATCATGTTTGATTGAATGGCTTCACACAAACACTAACAATGAGTGTGGAGAAAAATTAACCTTTGGAAAGCTCGAGACATATAGTATGTATTGTTTTGTTTTCATTACCTTCACAAAACCCTGATCTGCTTTGAGCAGCATCATGGAGCTGAAGTCCAGCAGACGCACGATGATGGTGCATTTGCTGTAGTTGTACTGGTCCACTTCTCTGGGGCTGAAGTGAGACATCTTCTCACCGATACAAAAACAGCTCTCAGCGGTTGCCAGATCTCGAGTGGCCAATTCCGACAGAAAGAAGCTCACAGCCTTCAGGAAGTGGGACTTTTCTTTAGACGCTGTAACAAAGGAAATGTACATATCAAAGTTGGAGGACCCAACATTTAAACCACAGAAAGTAAGGAAATGTATGCAACTAGTATCGTGCTCTCTAAACAGTTTAGTTCTATCACTTATTTTCACATACAATTTTTTGGCCTCTGCAAAGGATAACAAGCTTTCTAATAAGATGAAAATGGCACGTGGTCCTCTTTTGTGTTCATAACCTATACATGACTTTCTGCCAGGACAAACAACATGTATTGATTTATGAATAAAAAGAAAGAACATCAGTTCCCCAGCTTTAACTATTATTGTAGCATTAGTTTACAAGATGTGCTAATTCTTTTCAGATGATTGTGTATTTGAGGCTTTTGCAGACTCACCGAGCATGTGATGAGGCCGGATTATGTGCAGTTTAATAAAAGTGTTGTAGCAGTCCAGAGCGGCCAGCAGGAGGTCGTTCCACTGCAGAGCTGCCCTGACGCTGAAGGGACTGGACAGGTCTCGCAGAGTGGGCTGAGACCAGAGACCACCGCCTTCGAATTGTGACACCAAGAACTCTGTCCCATGCTGCTGGAGCATAGAGTCCAGCCACTGAGACGCAGACTTCTTTTCTATAACAAATACAGAGAAATAGGAGGGATGAAATAGAACTAATAGTAGTACAAGTAATACATCGATTGTTCCATTTCAAACCTGGAAGGAGAGGAACAAACTCATAGAAGAGCTCCATGCACTTGTGACGACATTCAGTCTGGGGTCGACCGCATTGTTCAAGGAGCCACAGAATAACATGAGACAGACACAACTTCTGATCAGGAGGAAATCCCCTAAAGAACAACACAAGACTCATTAAGAGAAAATCTGGCAAAGCTTGGAAAACTCACAATGTAAAGATGTTCATATCAAATCAAATGGTATTAATGGTATTATTCATTCACACCCTACACAGACACAATTAATGA